TTTTATCTACGATTTGATCTGATTCATCTTAGGTGAGATATTATGAGACATACAAGTAATATAAACTAAAATCTATGAGTTCTGATTGAGCATGATGAGTCAAATCATGGTAAGCCAAATCATGTGTTAAGTCATTGCAATCAGAATAGCTCAAAAGAAAATATTTATAAGAACAACATAATAAGTTTGAGAATCAATTCACCCCTCTTGATTTGCCTACCTAATCTATTAGGGACTTGAGAAATATCACATGATGTAAAGACCATGATCTGGTGCCAACCAAAATCTACACACACCATAGAGAAATCTCTAGAAAGTCTTGGAATAACTATTAAAGGTTGGACCATGGCAATATAAATAATACCTTGTAAAGACATCTTTTGTTGAACTTATTACTCAAAACCCAAATAATAAGACTCAAAGACTAAGCAAATACTATCAAATCAATTCCTACCTAATACCCCTTTAAACAAAGTCTAATTTCTCAAATCAAATTCTCTTTTATTTTTTATGTGTCTCTTTTAGTTAGATATGATCTAATTTGAAAGTTCCAACTATTTTGTGAGGAAGAGTCATATCATACCATAATTTAGATTATCCAAGTAATAAAACCTAAAATATCAACTTGCCAATGAGAGAGGGTAGGGTAACCTTAGAACAAACCATATTGAGAAATAGTGAACAAAATAATACCAACTAATTTTGATTTTGATATAACACAGTAGTAAGAAGAATCATAGATAAAAATATTTACTCATTCATCTTGCCAATGAACATGAGTTCTAGTCAAAAGCACTCAAAGTAGTTCAATATAGAATTATTGTAATAGTTTTTAGGCAAGTTGAAAAATAAAAATGAAGTGAATTGATGACTTGAAAGGTTTCAAGACTGACAAGCTTAGATAAAAAATTCATGTGCTCTTAAATCTAACAAGGTCAATCATCTAGGAGTAATATTGTGGAGTAGATTAGTATAGTGATACAATCTCCTCCTCTCCTCTTGGACAATGAAGTGAAAAAGATCAATTGATTCAACAAATATAGAGAAATTAATGTAACATGTGAGAATTAGTTTGAGAGAATTGATCAATCTCTACTCTTAGTTCTCTTCTTCTAAGATACTCTTTCTTATTCATAGGGAAAGAGTATTTATATTACTTAACTTACTTTTTCTCTAATGTTCATTATAGAAGTTTCTAAATTGTTCACTTATGACGAAAATATCTTGAGGGATACCATATCAATACTCCCCTAGTCAAAATCTATATTGTCCTCAAGGTGGAAGCTAAGAAATCATTGTATAATATCTAAAATTATGTTCCATGTAGCTTCAAAATTTTCTAAATATGCCAATTTGATGAGGACCTATGGTCAACTAATTGTAAGTTGAATTGATTGACATAACTTTGGCACAAATTTCTAATCAAACTCTTATTTTAAATTTAGAGGAAGTGGTTACACACAATCTTAGGGTTACAACACCCTTGGATCTAGTGATATTTTCTTATTAATCTTAATGAGATTAATCTTAATTATTTCAGATATTTTTTTTATAGTTGTAAACTGAGACAAAGCATCTACTACCTTATTATACTTCTCTTCTTTAAATCTGATTTCAAAATCTATGTTCATTAGTTTAACTAGTCACCTATGATAAGAATATAGGGTAGTAGGCATTGCATCTCAGAGTTGATCAAAATTATTTTGAGTGACTTGATTCTAATAAAATGAATATATATATTCAATAATTTAATCATAGGTATTGAAATTGATAAATATTTTATGTCATCAAGTTCTTATATGATCTTCTTAATTTCATCCTTTAGATAAGGTGAATATTTATACAATCTCATAGTGACCTATTTAACTCTGAGGTAGATGTGGATTAAATGATTTCTCTCTTGTAGGAAGTACTTCAATTAGAGGAAAAAATACTTGTGAAAATTGACTCTAGATAGTAAATTCAATTTTTTTATTTAATTTTTTTTATAATTTTTTGAGAAGTTGTTACTTGATATAATTTTAGTAAAAAATTTTGTTTCTTCTTGATTAGTTTTTTCATAGCATTTAATAAGATATCAGCTTTTGACAAACTCAGATCTATTTTCAGAGTTTTTACTTTCTCATCCACCATAAATTTCATGATTAATAGTCACCAATGAACATGTATCCATCATTACATGCCAAGCATGAAGTCCATGCTCCTTAACTATAGAGGTAAAAAAATCTTAAATAATAATATGTCCTTATAATTTTAGAGGAACATCTTTACAATTATCATAATCTTTGACTATGTGTCCATTACTCATAATGCTTTTATAGTACATAGATTCATTTATATGTAATCTAAGTTCCTTCAATATACCCACACATATGAAATTATGTGTGGCCTCACAATCTATTATAATAGTAACATCTTGCCATTACAAGGTCATTTTTAACCACATTGATCATAGTTGTGTAAGTCTAACACTAAATTTAATGATATATATGTGTAGTAAGTAATCTTACCTCCTTGTTGTATGATTCTTCTAGATCAGCTCAATTAGCTTATGATTCTTGTTGAACCAATTTATCATAAGTATAAATAATTAAAATGTGAAAAAACTTCTTACAACAGTGACCATATCTATATTTGTCATCACAATAGAAACATAAGCCTCTGATTTGTATTCATTTACTTCAACATTCATTAACTAAATTATTATTTCTACTTGTATTGAAAAGGTATGACTTTTATTCTAGTTTATTTACTTCATATTGTGTTGACTTGTAAGAAGAATCAGGTCTTTTCTTAGCATTTCGTATAAAAATTCATCTTAACATAGGTAATCTTATTATTCTTGGTGTGTAGCCAAATATTAAATATGTCTTCGTTCTTGTTTGCTTTGGTAGATTGATAGTATGTGTAAGTGTTCCTCTACTTTCAATAAAACATAATTCTTAGTAATCTCACTAATTTAGTTTTAGATAATTCATATTGAATTTTTGGCTTCATACCTTTCAGATATGTTTGTTCCACAATTCATTCTGAAATATTGAGGAAAAAGGTGGATAAGCATTCAAATTCTTCTCTCTATGTAGATATTGATCCTTCATACTTAATATCAAGAAAGTTTTATCAATTATTGAAATATGTTTTTAGATTTAAAAGTTCCAAAATGCTTCTCAAGATGAACTTGAAAATTTTATCAATTATTGAATGAATATTAGTCTTCCGTATAAATGTACCATTCCAATTATATGTCATGCAAGTGCATAATGATTACCTCCATTTTTTCCTCTTCTTGTATTTTATTGATCTGAAAACACCATTATACACATTAGAGCCATTCTTCAATATTGACTCCTATGAAAATTTTAAGTTCTCATTTTATTGTTTGCCAATTTCCATCTAAAACATGATTTAGAGTTGGCACAAAGGTTGATACCTCAAGTTGTGGATTAATTCTTTCATGTTGATCATTCTTTTGAGAGTTATTGGCCAATTGAGATGCCATTCTTCATGTTGAATCCCTCTTTTCTAATGTTAAAAGCTTTTTCTTGATTGAGTTCTTGAATTCGTCAAACTTGTCATTCATTTGTTGAATGAATTTTGTTAACATATCTATTGATTTAGACTTTGATTTATTTAGCTCCTTCCTTGTATATCATTGTTCTTTCTTAATATCTTATGCATCTACCTCAAATGTCTCTATGCAGTTTTATGTAATTCTCAATCCGATACTTCCACGATGATGCTCTAATACCACTTGATATGATCCCTTCCTCTCCTCTCAGACAATCAAGGAAAAAAGATCAATAAATTCCAGAAAAATAGAGAAAATAATATAACATGTGAGAATTAGTTATAGATAATCTTTACTTTCCACTCTTAGTTCTCTTCTTCCAAGATACCCCCTCTTATTCATAGTGATGGGGTATTTATACTGCTCAACCTACTCTTTTCCTAATATTCACTTTAGAAGCTTCTAGATTGTTCACTTACAACAAGCATGTCTTAATGAGTATCATATCTTATAGAAAACAAAAATAATAGATAGAATTATTATGTGTAATATGAGAGTGGAAAAATTTCAACAAATAATCTATAACTTCAAGATATCAATACATTGGCTCATTATAATTTAGAAAGATGATGTGGAGAAACTCTATGTGGTAGTCCCTTTAAGGAGAGACATAAAATTCTCTACTAAAATAGGTGACAAATTCTCTTTGTCCAAGTTCTACCACAAACAAAGAGTAATATTATGTAATTGATATCGTTGAACTTTATGAGGTAAAATTTTCCATCTGAATTATATTAAGGAAGCAATTCAAATGAATTAGAGGTGGGAGATACCATATAACACTTGCTTAAAAAAACTTACCAAGATTTTGGAAGTAAAAATTTAATGATCATTATGAGTGTTGTTTGTTTTAGTTATGACAGACACTGATAACAATGATCAAAGAGACATTTATTGAACTAATGTAAAGCATATAGATAAGTGAATGCATATTATTTGATTCTTAACTGATTAGGAGTTTCATCAATGAATACTAGAGAGAAATTTAATCCAAATCCAACACAAACCAAAGCTGTAGGCCCAATTATTTTGAATTAGAAAAAAAGTATTTTTGTCACAAAAATAAAAAAACACGACTAGTAGAAATTTAATGTAAACCTAAAATGAACCAAAGCTGTGGACTTCATTATTTTGAACCAGAAAAAAAATATTGTGATAGCAAGGACAGAAATATTGAATAAAGACAACAACTTAAAAAAGTTGGCCCATAACTTTTAAAGCTAGGTTCAATTATTCTAAAAGTTGGACTAAAGAAAGCAACTCGGACATGAATACTTCTAAAAGTTAAAGTCTCCCATGAATTATCATAAAAAACAATGGAGTCTGAGCTGAAATTATTTGAGAAATCTGGAACCCGGAAAAAATAAATAATAAATAACTGCAAAGTACAATTGGGGAGCTATAAGCTTAAAAAAATAGACTCGAAAATCAGTCATGAAATGAATGTGATCGTGCAGCCACCACCACTGATGAACATGAACTCCACGCACCCTGAGCAAAGAGAAAATTTGCAGGAACTGCTCATATGTATGGTGGTATTTGGGGTCCTCCCCTGTGGACAACATTTCTGCCACCGATTATAATGGCACTCCAAAAAGATCTCATCTATCAAAAACATTCGGCACCTGTGTCGAACGATGCTGGAATCAAGTCAAATTCTGTCCCTTTCATATCCAACTTCATCACCACAAAATCTGCCATACTAACTGTGTTCTTCAACCACTCAACAAAATCAAAGACCTGAATATTTTCTACATTGCTGGTCGTCTTCAGGCTTTAGGTACCTTCAGTAGATCGAATCCTAGCCATTCCTCGACCGTTCACTTCTGTCTTCTGATCTGAATCATCACTCATCTCAAAAGAGAGCGTCTCATTGCGCACCCAGGCAGCATAGGGGAGCAATGACACTCCCTTCTTCGATCCATACTCACTGTGGTATGTCCTATCAGTCTCGATTGCATAAACTTCAAAGATCTTACTCTTCTTTGGATACTGTTTCTCAAACCAACTTCCAACGCTGGATCTATAGCCTCGGGCATCCACATCAATATACACATACCTGCTTTCGAAAATCATGTCCACCATTGAGGCGAGAAACTTTTCTCCATATTTCTCTTCAGTGTGATCCAGGGCTTCAGAGGATCCTCTTTAATCTGCGGTTCGGCGGAATACAGCAGCTTTAATTTATGTTCCAGAATGGAGAACTTATTAGTAGAAATGGCAACAAGAGAACCATCTTCCTCGGCCTGTTTCATCTCATGTTCATCTCGGCCACATTACCTCTCTCCTTCCGCAGGATTGCTTCAGACTTTAGCCGAGGGATCGAATCCATCAATGTTAGCGGCTCCTAACCAACTTAAAGCCAGGGAAACTGCCCAGAAAAGAATGGAGACTGTACAGAACTGATTCGAACCCTTCGGATTTCATTATCCACGAAATTTCTAGAGCAAGACTTGCCGGCCATTTTGGCAGCTCGACTGTATCGCAACATGAGAAAATAAAATCGAATGTGTTGTTACCAAACGGCTGGTCGAAGATGTCACCAGAAGTGACTAGCGGCGAGCATTTATTTTCAGAGATCCCCACAGAATCTGGCACCCAAATCTCCTTCAACGCCAAAGACCTCTTGCCCGCGCGTCCACGCACAGGGACTTGGAGTTCAGCGCAAGAAAACCACCCGTGATCAGGTCCACAGTGCCTTGCGCCACTCCTTTCCGAACCACACGGTACTTGCAGACCCTTCCATACCGCAGACGAAGACGCCGACGCCAGCGAAAGTGATCCTCCCGTTCGAGGGGGAAGAAGCAGAAGTTCTCGTAATCACAATGCTCTCCGTAGACAGTGATAACGTACGCGAAGCGGAGGACGAGGACGAGAAACTCCGCGAAACAGCAACCTAACGAGAAGATTCCCCATTGAGCTCGACTTAGCCGAATGCCTCCATGGCCGATTGCCGAAAGAACCAAGCAATGAAACGCAGAATTCCAATCGCATGTGGAAGAAACCTCGAGATTGATGCCTTGCACTCTGCCGAACACTAGCCAGAGCAGTCACAGAGGGAGGAAAGAGAGAGGAGAGAGAGAGAGAGAGGAGCGAGAGCGTTAACCTCAATAAATATCACTGTACTTAATCTAAATATCGATAATGCAATCCAAGAGTCACGGAGCACTAACCTCGCGCCATTTTGCCAGTGGAACGCCGTCCAATGGTTACTGTGGGCGGATGACGGCGGTACCACCCGCTGCAGCCGGTTTCACATTCGCGGCAGATCCGACGTGGGGACATCTGGATGGTGGAGTGGACCCCACAGTTGACCGGAGAAAACGCGTTTTTATCCACGTCATGTCGCATCATCAGATATATCCGCTCCGCCGAACTGATTGCGGCCTGAGTTGGGTGGCAATCAATATCGTCATTATTTAATTTATATTTCAGGATATTTTTCTCGAAATATGCGTCACATATTATCGATATTTAATTTAATACCATCCAGCCTTCTGAGTATCCTCGCTACCTCGGTGCCACGTGCGACTGGCCAGGATACTTCTGGGTGACCTGGATTAGAGGGCTTAGGAAGACGTTGTCATTAATTATCGAAAGAAGAGAGTTATTGCTGCGGGGTGGTGGGGAGACAAAGTGGATGACGTCGCTTCACACGTGAGACACGTCAGTAAAAGGACCGCACTGTTGGATCCGAGGTGGGAGAGGTTCATGCCATGCCACGTAGCAGAGTCTCCTCTGTCTCCGTAGGCCAGTAAGTACAAAGGCGAGGAAAGAGGAGGAGTTGGTAGGTCAATGTCGCAGAGTGAAAGAGGGCCCACCGGAAATTAAGAAAATAGCTTTCATCAGGAAGGTGGTCACCGCCGAGAGTTGACCAAGACTTTTCAACTCTTCCCTCCATTCGCTACAACAAGTAGGTGTTAGGTTCCAAAAAGAAATCCCGACTCAATGGTGGGTGTTGTCGTTACGCGGACAGTCAAGTTTTCTTGTCCGAACGGGGAACGAGAAGGAAGAGCTCACATGAGGAAGGAACCTGCGAATCGTCTCTCTTTCTCTCTCTCTCTTGCTCATCTGTGCACAGACGAGCACAAGTGGTACTGGATCTCCTTCAACCAACATTATCGAAGACGAGAGAAAGAATGTACAGAGCCCGTCGGAGGGATCTCATCTCAGCAGAGGAGAGACTCCACGAAGAGGTCGTCTCTGGGCTCTTCCTTCGCTCTGGAGAAGAACGACTCCGGGGGGTTTGAGAAGGAGAAGCCCCCCTGCTGAGTCTGCACCATCTCCAGAGTGAACGGAGCTTGACCGCCGGAAGACTGGTTTCTGCCGGAGAAGGAGTTGCCGGCGGTGGCGGAGGGCCTGATGGCGGTCACAGCTGCGGCGGCGGCGCCTTCCCCGGGGAATCTGACGGCCGGCAGGCCGCTGCCGCGGGCGACGGGGACGTCGTGGTTGTGCTTCCCCTCGTAGGTGGTGATCACCGCCCTCAGATCATGGGAAGCTCTCTCTACTTGCTTCCTCACCGGGCAACCCATGCTGGTGCATTTGTAGTAGCTCCTGCAGAGCCCAGAAATGGAAAGTTTAAGAACATCCCCCCTCGAGAGAGAAACGAAACCGCAGAGGGTTTAGACTGCAGAGAGGGAGGGGGAGAGGAGGAGATTCAAACCTCGGGTTAGGATTCCCCTTCACCACTTTCTGCCCGTACTTCCTCCATCTGTATCCATCGTCAAGGATGTCGATGTCGCTCGTGGTCTGGACTACCACTCTCGGCTCCCTCGCCGCCTTGTTCGCCGGAGCTGAGATCCCCTCGTGTTCTCCATTCTTCCTGAGAAAACCAGAAAAACACCATGCTGAAGCCGTCTCCCCTGAGGAAATCTACAGGAAAGGAGGGAATGAAATCTTTAAGTTGAGACTTACCGGCGCTTGGCGTCTGGTTCGTCGTCGTCGTCGATCTCCTCACCGCCGAAGGAGAGCGAAGAATTCTCCGGCGTGGCGGGGGAGTCGACCACCGCCGCCGATCCGCAGGCCGTGGGGTGGCAGATCTGCTGGGAATACGAATTCCTCCTCGTGCACTGTGGCTTCGGATGGTTATGGTGGCCCTTGTAGATGATCTCCGTAATCACCCCCTCCATGTTCTTCTCCACCTTCTTCTTCGTCGGACAATTAGGATAAGTGCACTTGTAGTAGCTGCGGGGGTTCTCGCTACCCTTCACCTGCTTCTGCCCGTACTTCCTCCAGTTGTACCCGTCGTCCAGTGACCTGCGTTCGTTGACTGCCTGAGCGCCATGGCCGGGATGGCAGGAGTCGGACTCGTACCCCACGGAGGAGACCTCGGGCGAGGAGTTCGTCTGATTCGGGAGCACCTGGTCCGGCGGCGGCGCTGCCGCCCTGTTGCTGGGTTCTTGATACATCCACTGCTTCTGCTTCTGCGTCTGCTTCTGCTGCTGCTGGGCGCCCTGCATCAAGAACCGAGAGAATCGAGAAGCTTTAAACCGGAGATTTGCCGAGGAGGAAGAAGACAGGAAGACTGAAACCGTGGCGATGGACCTACCAGGGAGGTCGGGAAGGCGGAAGCGGAATCGCTGCTGGGGGCAGGATGGGTCTTGAAAGAGAAGTCGGGGAGAGAATTCGAGCTCGCCTTCCAGTTGAACTGCTGAGCAGGAAGGGTTCCGGTGGTCGGAGACGACAAGACCTGCAAGGGGATGAGCTTCCCAGATCAGAAAATCGAAAATCTTCCCCACCGGAGAGAAAAAGAATCAGAAGACACAGATGGAACACTCACGCCGGAAGAGGAAAGGAGGACGGGGGAATCCAACAGCTCGGCGGGGCTGAGGCCGGCCAGCATAGAAAAGTAGGATGAAGGGGAGAGAGCCGCCGGCGAGATGGGCAGCGACGGCGGATGCAGAGACTTGAACTTGGGCATGCCGGCTCCAGCGAACCCGCAGCTCGCGGGCGGTGGCTTTGAGCAGTCGCTTGCGTCGCCCTGTATGCCCCCGTTGAGGAGCTCAGAGAAAGAGAAGCCAACGGGAGGGGATCCGGCGGCGGAAGCCATGCGGGAGGGGCTTCGGACAGAGAGGAGACGAGCAAGCTTGGAGGAGGGTGAAGGTCATATCAGCCTCGCCCGTCACAAAGAAACTATTTTTGTAGGCAAAGGAGGCTTCTGGGAAATGGAGGAAGCTTTGACCAGAGATGGTCAAACGTTTTCATTTGGGCTGATGAGGCAGAGGATAGCGCGTGCCGACCGCGACACCCTTGGTTTTCATTCACCCCGTCCCAGTAATTCTGTACCCAACACTGAACTTCCGTCTGCTGTGGGCGGCCCAACTCGGCCGATACGAGAAGGCACAGAGTAACGTGAGCATCTTTAAAAGGGCGTGAAATTATATGCAACTTGCGAGCCTGTGGGCTATGGCCACTTGCGAGCCTGTAGGCCCCGCCCAGACACGTCTTTGCGACTCTTTGAGCCAAGACACGTGCCGCCTGCAGTCGTAGCGGCAGCTATCCCCGTTGGCGTGAACGACTCGTCTCTTACTGCCACGTCGGATAGCGTACGGGCCGACACTGCGGACTTAACCTCCTACTTAAATCCCAATGTTATTATTATTTTTATTTTATGTTCATTTTTAATATAAAGAGTAAAGTGGACTCGTCGGCTTATTGGGATGTATTATTTATTCTTCGTCGTAATTCATGCCGTAAATTTATTAATCATTTTTAAATATATTAATGGATAAAATTAAGCATATTAGTTAACACAAGGCCAAATAACTCGTAGATATCTCAATGCATAAAAAATATAGTGATAGCAGTCCAAACATAGTAAATATTCCATGAATAAAATAAATCCATTCGCATATGTTATTATTATATTTTTTATATAATTCACGGGTGTGATTAAATAATTGTATGAAGAATGTTCGTGTGAAGGATTTGTCATCGTTCTTCACGGGCGCGCGGGCGTGCGTGTGTGGTGAGATACACATAGAGCGAGCGAGAGAGAGAGAGAGAGAGAGCACTTGCGCGGGCAACCGTGGTATGACCATGAATATTAATGGGCTGGGAAAGCCCAAAGATTGGCCCAGTTGTTGAGTTGGGCTGGACATATGGCTTTTCTTGTCCCATAAGCATCAGATGGGCCAAGAAGTAACAAGTCTGAACCCGGCCCGTGGGCCGTTTTTTGGGCCCATGTCCAGGCACGTGCCGGGATTAGTGAACTTTTGGGGTCCAAGGCTTTGATAGTATTGAAGCCCAGGCCCACACGCTTGATACATTAATTTTTATATGAATTAATAATTTAATCGCATTACCACTAGGTATTGGTATCTATTTAACTTTGACGTGGGGTATACTGTCCTTAAAATAGTATTTATTAAATAGGGACCGTTTAGTTATTCATATATATAATTAAAATTCTTTCGCTATATTCGCGTGTGTTTAAAATTTTAAAAATACACTTTTAAACTAATATGGACAATAATTTAAAAGAAACCTCGACTCTCTTCCGAACCGAAAATCTTGGAATCGCGACTAGCTATGAGGAAACGGTCGGGCCGGCTCCGGGCTTCATAGCGCTATCTGGTCTGGGCCGGGCTCAGAGCCGGCCCGGCCCTGGGAAGTTTCTAGTTCAATGACGTCAGCGAGACGCCAAAGGGAAGACGACGGATATCTGCCGATCAGGAGATAAGCACGAGGACCGGGTCAGCAGAGTGGAAGTCAAACATTATCCCGCCCCACTTGGGATTTCGTCGGGCCCACTTCCGCCAACGTGGCGAAGCCTCCTCCCTTGGTGGCCATCTAGGTGGCCCCACGTGGCAAGCCGACACCGACGCCGCCATCCCTGTGGCGTTCGGCTTTTCGCCTCCGGCAGGTTCAAGATCTACCCGAGCCCTCTCTCCTCACGGTCCGGCCAAACCAGAGAGAGATAGAGAGAGAGAAAGAGAGAGAGAGAGAGGGCAGAGGGGGGGAGCGGCAGCGGGGATGGCGGCGCGGGAGTGCGACTCCTGCAACGGCGCGACGGCGGTGCTCTTCTGCCGCGCTGACTCCGCTTTCCTCTGCGCCGCCTGCGACGGTGTAGTCCACGGTGCCAATAGGTTCGCCTCTCGGCACGAGCGGGTGAGGATCTGCGAGGTCTGCGAGCAGGCCCCCGCCGCTGTTTTCTGCAAGGCCGACGCCGCCATGCTCTGCGCCGCCTGCGACGCCGACGTCCACTCCGCTAACCCCCTCGCCCGCCGCCACCACCGCCAGCCGGTGGTTCCCTTCAGGGACTCCCCTCCTCCCCCCGGCGTCAAGCTCGCCGGGGGGGAGAGCCCACCGGCGCCGGCGCCGGCGCCGGAGACTTGTAAGGACGAGGAAGCGGAGGTGCTGTCATGGCTGATCCCCGAGGAGAGCCACAAGGTCCCCATGGACATCCCTGACCTGAAGGAGGAGATGGACTTCTTCTTCTTCTCCGACGTGGATTACACTTCCTGCATGGAAGACAGCGTCGTCCCCGTCCAGCCCGCCGCTGTGGCCGGCGACCCGCATGCGTTCGCTGCATTCCTCGATCAAGATCTCGGCGGATCCGCCTCCATCTCTCTCAGCCCCAGCGTAAGTCCCCCGACAGCGAAACAGCCCCTCCGGTGAAGCTACGGTTTCTGATTCCGTGCCTGCAGATGTCGTCGTCGGAGGTGGGGACGGTGCCGGAGGCTAGCGCGACGGCAGAGGTGACGAACCCGTACGGCGCCGCCACCGCGGCAGCGCTGGGAACGGCCCGCGAGGCGAGGCTGATGAGGTACAGGGAGAAGCGGAGCAACCGCCGCTTCGAGAAGACGATCCGCTATGCTTCCCGGAAGGCCTACGCAGAGACCAGGCCTCGAGTCAAGGGGCGGTTTGCCAAGCGCGCTGCAGCGGAGGAGCCGGAGTTCACCTACCCCGCCGCCGCCGCCGCCGCCGCCGCTGGCGGCGCCGCCGGGTACCTCACGGCGGACTACGACTACGCCGTCGTCCCTTCCCTCTGAGGATTGCACCCACAACCCCATGTAGACTCCAGTGTAATCTATCCGCCGACGAATAAAATTCCTATCTTTGAATTCACGCGATGATCAGACTTTTCGATTATTAATAATTTTAATGATAAAAATGAAACTATCATCAATAATTCATTCAGTGAGTTGAAGAAAAAAAAACTCTAAAATATAATTATTTATATGCTTTATAAAAATATTTATTCATTTTAGAAAAAAAGGTATTTTTATTGAGGTGGAGATAGCTACTTCGTCAACCAAGAGCAGCGTAAAATGGGCCGAGCCAGTTCAACGGGCCCATTATCTAGATAGCGAGAAATGGGCCCATGGAGTTCACTTGGCTCATTAATATTTACGGCCAAAGGAGAAATGGCCGGTCCGCTTGGATGGCGTCGTCAATTGTTTGTCCCCTTCCCTGGGCCCCCGACGGTACAAAAAAACCTATTTTTCGCAAGCCCAGAGTAAAATGGCTGGGCTTTGGTTGAGGTCTCAATCCATACCCATTATCGACGGCCCATTTCAATGACCTCGAACAAGTGGCTCTTCGTGAAGTGGCTCTACACGCCTTCTTCCTCCCCCCCCGCTTCGTCGCTCTTCGCTCCTGGTTCTGGCTGCGCCCTGAGCAGTTTGGTCAGCGGACCGAAGTCCTTGCTTAAGATCTGAGAGTCGCATCGTTTTTCCGATTGCTAACGACCCGAGGCCGGAGGGCGTCCACTCTCCCACGGAGTTCGTTGCCTCCGGAGCCCGAGTTCCACACCGGCGTTGGCCGGATGCCTCCCGCATTGGCCGTTCGTCGCCGCCTCTGGGCACGGTTATTTTGATTTGGTCTAGGTATCCCTTGCACTAATATTAGATATTCGAATGTGTTCTTTTTTAATGACGAATTTGTTAGACATAATTAGACAGTATGATTTGACGTTTGATCATCATTTAGATATTCTTTATTAATGATGAATTCGCGTGTGACCTGAATTGATTCGGTACGCTTGAATTGAGTATTCTGGCGGAGTAGACATTATGGTGGCTGTCATATAATTTATTTTGTCATCTGAGTGAATGGTCGACTATTGTGTCAGCTATTCACTCAATACAGAAGCCGAATATAGTTAAAACTTAATGTTGGCTGAAGAATATGATGACTATGGTGGTGAACATCATTTTAGAGTTTGAAAAGTTTACGAAGAAGTAGCCTCCAACAAAGAAAATAATTTAAATTTGATGTAATAGATTGATCGAGGGTTGAAAAATTGTGATTATCTTGATTGAATGGTCCAACGCTTTATGTGGAGCATGATATAGGTGGAGTCACATATTTCAATGTTGTTGGTATACGTTTCCACACAGGAGATCACTTATAATGCTTTACATTGGTATTTAAGAAGAAAGCGCTAATTAGAGTATATTGCACAATAATAACTTTAGCATGCCATGGACAATGGCAAGGCCATAGAGGTTGCATGGATGTTGTTTCAAGAGAATAGAAGTTAAGGTAGGCTTTCAAGCCAATCAAAATGACTTAGGTGCTAACCTTACTGCCTTACATATGAACTTATTTGAGAGTTATCGAAGACGATCTGCAACTCTCATAATTTATTACGATTTCCAGCCCTTTTAGTAAATTTGAAAGGGTATCTGTTTCAATATGCATAGTTTATATAAAAAAAAATTACAAGCAATGACCTAAGTAATACATTTAGGTCAACAAAAGATGGTTCAGGTGGATATATTTCAATTCATGTTTACGATATGATAAACATTCAGGCCGGAACTAATATACATTTGGCGAGTTCAAAAGTCTGTTTAGTGATGAATTTATACTCATTTTTCTTTGGATGGACTCCATTAGACTAGTGGGTTAGATCCCATTCTGACCTTGAATTAAAACTTTTTTGTTTAGTGGGTTTGTGCCCACTTGGAAATGGGATGAAGCCCATCTGTTTTTATGAGTCATCCGTGCTTACAAATAACTTATCGATTTCATAGGCTTTGAAGTAGTGTGATTCAGAGGATTTGCATACCAGGTTGTTTAGGCTTCTGGTTATATGGGTGGATTTATTCACCAAAGTTGAAAGACCCTTTGAGTTTCTGGCACTATTCTCCAAGTGTAATAACTTTTCTGGCCCTAAGGGCGAGGTTTATCCACTAAGTGTGGTGGGCTTTTGGCTAATGGGTGGACTTTTCTTTGAATAGTAATCTTCCTTTTGACTTGTCTGTTAATTTTTTTTTCAACAATTATAACGGACTTTGGTCCACTGGTAGATTCACCGTCTCTGGGATGGGCATTTAGCAGAAAGTGTGACTTTCCTGCGAATCCACTGGTGGATTCGTCTGCTCAGTGTAATGGACTTTTGGGCCAGAGAAGTGAGGGAGGCCCCTAATTAGATCTGCTTTCTCCTCTTTTCACCTGCAGATACGTGTTCTGGGGGGCTCCTTTTTTTCATCTCTTATTATTCCTGCCACTCCTGTGGCAAGTTGGATTTTCTCCTCCTTTTTTTTCTTGAGAGCAACTGGGCGATGACTTACTCATATTAGAAACTCTGGGGAATTTCTCAGATTTCCATAGGCAATTTTTTTTCGACTTACCTTTTTTTTGCGATGTTGTACCCACAAATAGGCCGACTGATTTTGAGTAATTGCATAATTAGGTCGCTTCTTTTCTGAATCATGGACTTTTCTTTATCCTTTGCTGAACCGCAATACTTCTCCATTATTGACAACCACCAAGGTTCTGAGTTGGCATTGGGGCTTCACTTGCAGGTATATGTATTTGGCAAACATGTGCAACAGCTTGATGCAGGTTTAGTTCCATGCACGCTTAACTTGGGGTAGCATGTCCAAGATTGCTTGCTCTGACAGTAGATACACCTACTATCGTGAGATTAGGAATGGATCTCTTCAGACAATTGATGTGCATGAAATTATTGTAGCAAGGAGTAATGGAAGGATTATCTTCTTATGTGCCTCCATCCTTCTATTACTTCTACACGTCAGTAATTTAGCGTATCTTATGAATGTAAGTAGTAAATCCTTGTGAAGTTCTCATTTCCTTACATTCCACATTTATGTTTTTGGATTATTTTCCTGAAAAAAGTATTTCATTTGCTGGTCTATTGATTTGTCATTTTCTGTTATTTAACAATACGTTTTTCTTATGCATTTACCATCTTTATTTACCTAGAGACTGTTACTTTTTTCTCTTTCTTTGCTACCCCAGCAGGAAAGCCAAGTCATCTATATTGTTGGGGCTCTACTCCTATCAATATTAGTTATAATATCATCTCAATTAAGAGTAGTTCAGAAAGGTACACAGTTGGTTTCGTTGATGAGTGCCTTTGTTTGCTTTCCCCGCTGCTCATCGGATTCATTTGCCATTTCTTCTAGATAATCGTTCATAACTGTAACGGCAGAGGTTATGTTCATTCTTTACTATTATGTTTCCTTTATGCTGCTTCCCTCGACGCTCATGCTGATGAAGGGGGGGATGGGTTGCTTGTGCATGTTGACAAAGTAGGAGCTTTAGAGTGTAGATTAATAATATACCTAATCTCGCATATTGTTCGCCTTTTTTACTATATCAGAAGTTAAAATAGTTGTTGCTGTCACTTGTGACAGCCTAAAAAGTTTCAGTCCCGTATTTATTATTACATGATATAATTCTTTTGCATGTCCGCGGTGATATATCTGTAAGTGTTGTCTCTGCTATCTCTCAAATCTGTTTATTAGAAAAGAAAGTGCTCACTAAGGCTCTTTTCCTGCGCTGCTGCATGTTGTTCCTTCAATAGTTGAAGATAATTTGAAGATAATGCTTTAATGATAATAGGTGAATGAATTTTCATCATACACTAGAATGATTTAATGATATCATATTTAAACGTTTCCTGCAGAACGTGTTGTCATTATGCCAGCATTTGGGGTTCAACTCGAGACTTATTATTGGAGGTATCTTTTAACTCAATTATAATCGAGTTTTTTCCGGTGGGAGTTTTACTTTTGTCGCATACAACTATGATTCTATTTCTCAATCGAAATAGACAAACTGCTCACAATTCTCTCGCATCATTTTAGTGATCCAAGTCACAGGAGTTAAAAACTTGTACTGTGATGACACGCCAATCAGCTTGAAGAAGTGCGTTCGCTGGAATTGTATATATCTTCTTCGAGTAAACGATGAACTATCCTAGAATAAGGAGTTGATTCGAATGTTCACATTTCTTTTTTCTGGGTAAACAAAAGAAGTTTTTTTTCACGCTTTTGTGATCTTTAAGAGTCAACTTTTAATTTGAAGAGTAGCACCCATTCAAAGTTGTGTTCTAGATTTTCTTCCTCTGATATATCTCTTCCGAATTTCTTCTGGTAAGTAACATGTTTCTTTTAGATTCCAGCCTGAGCATGCAGTTTGCAATGGGCATATGATGTGTGACATCACTTCAAAAACAAGAAAAGCAATTTTTTTTTTACCTAGGTAGCTTGAAATGTAAAAACGTGGACTACAAACATTTGAAGGCCCAAAATGACTTTGAGCGCCATATTCAATCAGTTAGGCACCAAACCGCGTGGAAAATGGGTTAGATTTGTAGGGTTTAAAATTTTCTACTTTCTATTCACTTAAATCTTATTTTTTTTCAAATAATCCGAATTTTAAGAACAGTTAGAACGGATTTTGGCCTATTTAAAAGCTGGAAAGCTGTAATTTCAGGGGAGGGATCAATAATATCATTATCTTTCTGTTTGAGAGATTTCTATATGCTTGTAGATTCAGGCAACCTTTGTGGATTTAAGGGCGTTTCTGATCCTTGTGGATTTTCGAGGATCCTTCAAAATCAATTCTTGTGGATTCAAAGATAGGGAAAATTCGTGCCATATGGATTCCCGGCCTAATTTTCATTCTTCTGCCTGCAAATTTCGTGCCTTGTGGATTCTAGGCCCGATTTCTACTATTCCTGTAACATTTGCTGGGTTAGTATGAGGTTGGAAAAACCTAATTAGTGCAATCCAACCATCCATTGTTTGCTATTTTGAAACACATTAGTCAATTTTCTTAGTTCTATCTCAACTTATGGTGATGATTCTTCCACACACAAAGTCCGACTGGACCTTTTGGGAAAGGAGAAGAACAGTTCCTGGGCGACCATTTGGGCTGCTGGAAGTGAAGGAGATTCATATTGATGGGTAGAGCATATGATTAATAAGAAGAGAATATGATGATAATGATGATAACAATGGCGAAATATGATCTCGTATCCTTCTATTTCTGTAAATTTTCCAACAGAGACAAATGCATGTTGAGTGAAAAATTTAGTAACATTTTCCTCCTCTCATTTGGTTTACTGCCCATTCTATGGGTTTTCTTTTTGTGCTACTATGGAGTAATAATCCTTATTATATGTGCAATTATCATCTTCTGTTTGTGCACAAATTCTGAGTCCCATTGTTTGATCTCATATCCTCGACAGATAGCCATCTGGGTTCCTAGAATCATCAGAGAATCTTGCAATATCTTATTATTTACTCTGCTGGGGGCAATTTAATTCTTCTTCTTACCATTTTTATTACGTGATTTTTCGTTTTTTCTATTTTTTTTTCCTCAATGGCGATCCTTATTTTGGCAATTTCTTGAAGTGGGAGAGTCTCCAGGCGCCTGCTCTCGGTAGGGAAGATCCTGAGGCCCGTGCTGAATGAGATTGTGACTCCGGTGAGGTGCTACTGGAGCTTGGCTCTGGTATTGGATGGGCACGAGGAGCTGATGCCAGTCTTTCAGGTGGGACCCACAAAAAAAACAATTTTATTTGGGGAATGCATTATGGGGGAAAATGGCCATGTTTATGAAGGAAGGGTGTTTGGTGGTATGCTGCAGGAGTCACAGCCCCCCGTCAAGATGTTGGCACCTATCTGGAAGGCATTATGCGCCGCCACCGGCGGTGAGGAATGAATTCTCGGAATCTATTGGCGTTGGTTGACAAGTTGGCATTTTTATATCGTATGGTGATAAAGAGTGCGGTATTTTTCTCTCCCAGTTTGTGTTGCCTCGCCCCGTTTCTTCACCATCTCGATGTTCTTTGCCAGAATCCAGATTCTCATTCTGATCAATTCATCTTCTCTTGATCCCTTTATCATTAATGAGGAGAAAGAGAGAGAGAGAGAGAGAGAGAGAGAGAGAGAGAGAGACAGAGACAGAGACAGACAGACAGACAGAGACAGACAGACAGACAGACAGACAGACAGAGACAGAGAGGGGCAAAACCCCCTTTGACCTGGTAAAGCCGTGACTTTCAACGCTGTCTGTTTCCCTCTGCTTCTCTCGCTTGAACGGTCAGCGGCATGCCCCCGTTTACCCGGACTTATCAGTCCGGCCCCCCCTCCTCTCTCTCCTTCCAACCGAGAGGGAAGCGGTTGGGAGGCCATTAATTAGTCAACGGCCATAAAACAAAGACCGGGCTGCCAACGTGACACCGTTCTTGATCACTTGGGCCGGTGGAGTCTCTGGTTTTCGTCCATGTGCCTCTTCATCATTGAAGAGGTCAGAGAATGCGCCCCCCCTCCTCCCCTGCCAGGTCATTAAAATGGATCTGATTATATAATCATGTAGATTTTCCGTGGAAATTATATTATGAACGGTCAGAGGATATTATTTTCCGGATTATTTTCGGTGGAATTTAAATCAAGAAAAAATGACGTGTGGATATCGGATCCGGTTCGTAGCAACTGGAAGATCCCTGGCATCTGTGAATCAAGGATTTGAGGGTCCACGTCCCGCCTTCCATGGCGCCATCACCGCCACGACTGAGCTTTCTCTAATCTTCAGGATCAGAGAGGGTCTTTAATGCCGAGATGTCCCCGTCGCCTACCCTCGCCGGCGAGTTACTCCTTTCTCTCAAGCTCTGGGGGGCGGCTCCTTTCAAGCTGATACCGCCACCGCCACCGTCAAGCTTCTCAAACTGATATCATGCGTTCTGACGCTTATTCTTACCGTCTTTGGCGGCTCCTCTTCTTATCGAGTCTGGCGGCAAACCCGCTTCCCTCGTTCCCGGAGATGGCCGGATTCCTTCGTCAGCGCCAGTCGTCTCCCTGCGCCAGTGTTCTCTTCGCATGTTCCGCCGCCGTCTGTCTCCGGGCTTCCTTTCGAATTCGTCCCACCGCCATCTCCTCCGGTTTTAATGTCGAGGAGAGCAGTCGTCCCTTTGAGATCCTTCCTGGAGATCTCGCCGGCCTTTTACGTGACCAACAGTGCGAACTCCGGCGGGGAGACGACCCAGCTGATCCAAACACTAGGAGATGGAGACGACGGAGGATCCACGGGGAAAAGACGGACGAAAAGAAGCAAGACCTCAGCTTTTCTAAAAGAAACCCTTTGATCGCACCCACCACGTTCGAAGTTCTTCCTCTGACGTAATCTTTTCTCACTGGTCGACGCCCTTCACGGGGAATTCCGCTCTGAAGGACACCGAGCACGGAACGATTATTTTAATGTACATGAATCTGGAGACTTTTTTCATAAAAATGATGAAGGAAAACAAATAACCAATCTACAGCGTCGCAGACGAAGGCATCTTCATCTTCGCCGAGACAAAATGAGTCGATCAAATAATCCTGTCCAATCTCATCGATACGCGGAAAAATTGGACCCTAGTGTTTGCTGCTCATGTGGCCTGGTTGCCCGAGACGGCTTGCTCTATCGATGGCGGAATAGGGGGAGCCATCGCGTCCGTCGGAGATTCCGTCGTGAGCCCAGGAGATCGGGGGACGACGAAGGCCCCCTCAATCGCCGGCATCGAGCCGCCTTCGCGGGGAAGAGGGTGCAAGGACGGCGGTACGCCCTCTTCCTCTTCCGTCTCTTCGTCCAATGAGGAGGAGTTCTTGCTGTAGAAGCTGCCCTCCTCGATGTCGTAGAAGTTGCCGGTGCGCACTTCTTGGGCCAGAGCGCAGGACCAGCAAAAGAGCCACTGCATGAAGTCGGTGAGGTTGGGGTAGCCCCAGCAGAAGTAGTTCGAGGGGAGCTTGAACTTCTTCCTCATCTGGATCCGCCAGAAACCGCCGTAGAGGAGACCGAGGAAGCAGAGCAGGATGCCGACGATCCCCACCGCCTCCCGGACGCCGTGGTCAGCGATGTTGAGGCCGGCGACGTTGAAGACCCAGAAGGGCGTCACGATCAGGAGTACGAAGGTGAAGATGTGGACGTACATGTTCCCGAACCCTAGCCTCTCCATGTTCCACCCGAACACGCAGAAGGTGCAGAAGAAGGAGAGGTAGGCCACCGTCATGTCGTCCCAGCAGTCGAAGAGCCCGCCTACCCACTCCGGTCTCGTCACCACTATCCGGCTCTCGTTCAACTTCACTTTCAGCTTCTCTGCCATGTCAGCCACCTCCGTCAACTGGCTCTGTGATTCCTCGTCGGAGATGGCCTTGATCTTCCTCCCGAGGGGCCCGTAGAGAGTGTACACGGCGGCGACGATGGGGGCGATGATCCCCGCGCAGAAGCAGATGTTCACCGCGTAGTCTGGGCGGGAGGACCTGCTGTAACCCCAGTAGAGCCCGCAGAGAGCGAACTGCGCGAAGCAAGTCAAATGGAGGAGAAACAGCACGAAGGCTATGTGCAGGCGCTCGTGTGGCCGAACGATTCCTTTCTTGGAGTAGGACCGCCGCAGCGCCGCCGCGTCCTCGAAGGTCCAGCGGAGGACGAGCACCAGGTGGTGGAGGAGCTTCGGGTACTGGTAGACGCACATGATGGTGAAGAGCGCGTTCAGGATCTGGTTACAGACCTCCACCCAGTTCTTCCTCTGGGAGCTCTCCGGGATGGTGCTGTTGAGCAGCCCAATCGAGATGAACATCATGGTGGCGAAGACGACGACGACGGCGGCCAACCAGACCAGGAGAGCCATGTTCAGTGGGTCCTTGATCCATTTCTTCGCATAAATTTTCAGAGCGTTCCAATCAATCTTCCTGACGAACGATACCCGGAAGTATCGACGCCGGGAAGGCGCCGGAGTGGGACCCGACCCTTCCCGGGAAGACTCGTCGGCGGAATTCTGTCTCCGACGGGGGAACGAGAGAGCCCCGAGCTTCCCTGAGAAGCCGAACTTGAGGAGCCATTCCCTGGAGGGACGAGCTCTCAGGAAATCCAGGAACCTTTTCTCGCGATGCTCCCCCTTCGTCTGCCCCTTCTCTCCCGCTGGTCCTTGGACGACGACGAACTCTGCGGCGCGCATCTCCACTTCCGGCTGGATCGCCGCCCCGCCACCGCTCCTTTCATATGAACCCATCTTTCTCTCTCAAGCAGCTCCCGCCACAGTCGTCCTCTGCCACTCCAGAGAGAGAGAGTAGCCCGAGGGTTTCGGGGAGGGAGATTACCGAGATGTCGTCGTGACCCAGAGAGCCACCACCGCCTCCCCCCTTTATACTAACAGAGCTCGCCGGTCACATCGGCCGTCCGTCCCCACAAAGGAAGAAAGTCCAAAGGTTAACGGCTGCTGGTGCGTTTATGCTTCAAGGGGAAGGAGTGAGAACTACGGGAGACACCTTTGTTGAATGCCTGCCAGTTTGAATATTGAACCATGAAGGAGACGGGAAAGGGTGGCAGTTCATATTGATCGGTCAGGTGCGGTCGGCCACCCAACTCCAAACCACACGCTTCTTGAAATGCCCAGCACGACTGACTCACGGGAATCAGTGGTCGCCGGCCTGCGCCTATTAACCTAGAATCCACTATCCCCTTCCTAAATTAGATCGCGACAGCTTGGCGGCCCTTGTCTAAATCTGGATCACGGACTCGAAGTTATAGAGAGAGAGAGAGAGAGATGATACCAATAGATCTCTCCTCTACTCCCCCCCCCTCTTCTCTATCTCTCTCTCTCTCTCTCTCTCTCTCTCTCTCTCTCTCTCTGTGGTAGGTTCACTTTTGCAATAAGCCTTCTGGGAGGACCAACAGACTCAAAACGGCTAAGATGTTGGGAAGAGCGCTTCGGAGTCCGCATCCTCCACTAGAGAGAGAGAGAAAGAGAGAGATAGGTGTTCATCACCTTGGTCACTTCGGCGCTTTCAACACCATTCATCCTCCGTGAGAGAGTGAGTGAGAAAGAGAGAGAGGGAGGGAGAGAGAGAGGGAGGGAGAGAGAGAGAGAGAGGGAGGGAGGGAGGGAGGGAGGGAGGGAGAGAGAGAGAGAGAGAGAGAGAGAGAGAGAGAGAGAGAGAGAGAGAGAGGGGGAGGGAGAGAGAGGGGGAGGGAGAGAGAGAGGAAGCATCCACTGTCTTCATCATGAAACGACTGGACGTCACTGTTCTAAGTCTATGACCGTCAAAATCGGAAGCCCGCAGTCTGGGACTCAGTCGTCCCTTCCGACTCAAAAGTAAAAAAATAGTTAGACGAAGGGGAAGACTAGCTGCCCTCGGAGCAGGTAAGGCGGTAACTTTTGACCTAGAAGTCAGATGCTCGTGGAATCTCCCAAGTCAACTATCGGTTAGATATTCCATGAGAACGTGGCTTCCGAACGTGTGTGAAGGATTCATCCTCTAACAATTTCGCACGGCATTGACAGATCCCCAATCATCCCCAAAAATATGGGGAAATCTCAATAATTCTGTGGAATAAATCTAAGAATTACTGGTGTAGGAAGAAATAAATATATGCCTTAAAAAAATCAAAGCGGGACTGCGCTAAACATAAAATGACGAATTCACCCTTTCACGGTAACATAACGAGAACTTTCTTGACGAGGTCAACGGGGTGGCGACATCCTCAAACCACCCCAAGTTAGAAAAATCTAAAACTTCGTGCAGATTTGCCTTGTCCTCGCCCCGCTGTTTTGATTCAATGAGCTAATTTTTACACGAATTGACGACATTTTTACGTGTATATTATTCAATAATTATATTTTATTGTTTCAATAACTATATATTATCCCCCATATTTTTATAATGTGGAAATAATAATAAAAATAAATTTCCTCTCAGTTTCTAAAATGGGGAAAGTCAAAAGGTTCCCTGGGTCACGCCTCATCATTAATAATGGCATTTAAACGGCGCTCGTGGCCCACGCCAATTGGCATCTCTCTTGAGTGCGTCCCACCTACTCTAATGAGGTCTGGGCCGTATAGGGCCCAGAGAAAGTACCTGGGCCCAGTAACATGTGTTATTGGGTGCTTCCTGTCTTTATGGACTATTTGGGCTCTCCGGCCCATACAATTTCCAAAAAAGGGCCCGGACGCGGTCCGTTTCGAGCCGCCGCGGCCAGGTGGAAGAACGACGTCAGCATCATCCAGAGCGTGCGGCGGGAAACATCTGAGCTGGAACGTTTATCTCCAATGACAAGATAACACTCACCAGGGCTCCAACCACCTTAGTAGTTGTCCGTCGTCCATCTAACTAAGCTGAAACGCCCGACCTGTTATGACCGTTGGATGTCCCTTGGTCGGCGGATGGTGACCGGCGACGTTGACTGTAATTTAATAGGATATAAATTGAACGCCGCGGCCTTAACAATGGAGGCACTGATGGGGAAGTCCGCCGCCGGAGTAAGCGCTCGGCTGCTGCCGGAGTACGAGTTCGCGGAGCCTTCGAGGGGCTCCTCCGCCACCGTCTCGGGCGCAGTGTTCAACCTGTCGACGACCATCATCGGCGCCGGAATCATGTCGATTCCGGCGACGCTGAAGGTTCTCGGCGTTGGCCCGGCGGTGGCCCTGATCCTGGCGGTGGCGCTTCTGTGCGACGTCTCCGTGGAGATCCTCCTTCGGCACAACAACTCCGGCGAGGCCATGTCCTACGCCAGCATTATGGCGGAGTCCTTCGGAAGGGCCGGCGCCACGGTTGCGCAGGCCTGCATCGTCCTCAACAACGTTGGGATCCTCATCATGTACCTCATCATCATCGGTAGCAGCCCACCTCCACCGCTCGTATATCTTCTTCCTCAATCGTCATGCTTCCACTGATTTCGTCTGCGTGGGCGTGAGAGCAGGGGACGTGTTGTCGGGGAACCAGTCGGAGGGCGCGGGACACCTGGGAGTGCTGCAGGAGTGGTTCGGCGGCCACTGGTGGAACTCCCGCTCGGCGGCACTCCTCTTCACCCTCGTCTTCGTGTTGCTTCCTCTCCTTCTCCTCCGGCGTGTAGGTTAGTGAGACGGAAGACCAGCGCTTCACTTCCCTTGCTTATCGAGGAATTCTCAGCAGAAGTTGATGCAGATTCTCTGAGGTTTTCCTCGGCCGTCTCGGTTTTCCTGGCGGTGGTGTTCGTCGCCATCAGCTCCACCATGGCGCTCTACGCGCTCTACAGAGGGACAACCAGGACCCCCAGGCTTCTGCCAGATTTCAGCTCCCGGGCCTCCTTCTACGAGCTCTTCACCGCCGCGCCGGTCATTGTCCTCGCCTTCACCTTCCATTTCAACAGTGAGTACTCTCCAGAAAGCTTTCATCCTCCCGTCGACTCAATCTCGGACTGATCTGGCCCAGTCGTCGGGTATTCCCAGTTCATCCCATCAGGGCGGAGCTGCAGAAGTCGTCGGACATGACGAAGGCCGTGAGGCTCTCTCTGATCCTCTGCTCCGTCATCTACGCCACCGTCGGCCTCTCCGGTTACCTCCTCTTCGGGGACGCCACCATGGCCGACATACTCTCCAACTTCGACAGAACCTCCGGCTTCGACGTTCCCCCGCTGGTCAACGACCTCGTCCGGCTCAGTTATGGTCTCCACCTCATCCTGGTCTACCCCCTTCTCAACTTCTCTCTGCGGATCAACCTGGATGGGCTACTCTTCCCGAGATTGCGGCCGCTGCCAAACGACGACACCCGCTTCGTCTCTATGACGCTCGGATTGGCGGCACTCATCTACTTAGCTGCCATCGGCATCCCCAACATATGGATCCTGTTCCAGATCTTCGGATCGACGACATCCGTCTGCCTCTCGTTGATCTTCCCGGCCTCCATCGTCCTTAGGTGACGACCGTCTGCGCATAAAGATTTCCGCTTTCCTCTTCCTCTTTGGCCCAGCTGAGTTCCTCATGCAGGGACGTTCACGGCATCGCTTGCCGGCGAGACAAGATGATGGCCGCGACGATGATCGCCCTGGCGGCGGTGACGAGCGCCATCGCTATATCTTCCAACCTTATCGGCTCAATAGATAGTAGGAAGTGAACAGTTTACGGAGGTAGCCCATGCAGCGAGCACACTGGCCCGGATCAGTCAACTGGACGTGTTGTCGTCTGAATTTCGATTTATCTCACATTAAAAATGATGGGACTAATATCTTTAAATCGTGGGTCCAGAAGGGTATGAGAGACAATGGTGAAATTATCTCGCAACCCTGATATTATGTCATAATTGTCCAAAATCCAATACAGTCAATAAATTGTCTGCGTGAGGGAATTTAGGGAGGAAGTTGCCTGGGAAGATAAATTCATTTCCAAGATATCTCAATTCTAGATCTTACCCACGTACACAACAATTTAAAGCGAAATATAAGTGCATGGATAGTTTTCTATAATGAGGAAAGGGTAAATAGAACATAATTATGGTATAAGTGCAATAGTTTTCTCACTGGGGATTACTTGTTAATAGGGAAACGTTGAGGGGGTGACAGACCCATTTGGGACGGCTTCATCGGGTATCTTCCTCATGGGATGTAAGACTACGATAGGAGAGTGGACAGCCACCATCTCCTAGTGTTCTTCCACCATGTGCACAAGAGGCCCACTTAGTTGGGGGCTATGCCACCTATTAGGCCTGCCTTGCTCATTTTATCATGTGCTGGGCTTGATTGTCCCCACCACCATCAGTTAGGCTTCTCGACTGGTGAAGGTTTTTCTAATCCAAGGCTTGTATACTATTCTCATAAAAATATACAAATGAAGAGGAGGCCAACCTTTCTTCACAATAATGATTGTTTGCTTCAGGAGCTGAATATGTTTTGATGATGATCATAAGCATATGTGAGAATGAATTGAATGATTATAGAATTCAAAATCTGATGATCCTAATGATTGCTAGCAAGCAATCACTTACGTCACTATTTGGATTGAGTTATGAAAAGTAACAATTATGAATATATGAAAAATAATTTATCAAGTTTTAAGAGTCCAAATGAAACTACATAGATGGTATTTCATGTTAATGATTTGTGATTGATGATATATGTGAAATATCCATTTATAATCATTTTATAGTTAGCGTAAATGTTTTCAATCAAAGTTATATATTGTACTCTTTGATTGGAAGTAATGATTTTGAATATATTGAATGAATATATACAAGATGTGAAGTGATGAGATGAAAATAAAAATACCATATTTTACATTGAGAACTTGAGGTTGATCATATCAATTGAATATGTGTATCAAATCATTCTTTATGTTGGTACATATTGATGTAGGCCATCCATGACCCAAATTAAGTGGACCAGAAGCTGAGGAAGTATGAAGATTGGAATGGTGGAATGAGATGGCTAAATATCTCAGTTGACCCATAATAAAATACATCTTAAACATGTCATAAATTAGTTTTCTCAATTTTTATTTTTTTCTCATTTTTAGTCATTTGAATTTATTTAAGCATACCTTAAATCTATTTTAAGGTGCCATCATAATAGAACAACTTTATTTAGAGGCACTCTAATAAAATTTTGGCCTATTTAAAGGTCACATGTTGTAGTATTAGGGTCATCTATTTAAGATTATTTTTTCTCTCTCTTTTTAAGATTATATCTTTTTGTTGAAGGATTTTGATGCCTTCCTTGTGGATTCAAGATATATTTTTGATCTTGTAGACTCAAGGTTGCCCCTTTGTGGATTCAAGTGTTGAAGTTTTCAAATTATATGGATTTAGGAAAATAAATCTTTATAGAAATTTCATTTCTTGTTGATTCCATGACAAATTTTATCTCTACTCATCTAAAGCTACATCACATATATTGCAAGTGATTAATCATGACATATAATTTAGAATATTATAATTCACATAAATATGGTTTTAAATACTCATATTACTCAGTAAAATGATATCTTATCTATGTTTGTAGTCATGACACTTAAATTTTCATTAAAATAATTATTTATACTTTCTACACATATATGAGGTATTATTCATAAAATGGTATGAGATATTGTATGATAGAAAAAAACAACTTTATAGAGAAAATGCTTAAAAATATATGAGAAAAAACAACTTTATAGAGAAAATGCCTAAAAATATATCAGAAATGACATCTCTGCTCAAAGACAAATTCAACATGACAAATGGTGCATCAAAATTCAAAGGATTTTGTTTGTTATGATATTTCCAAGATTAATATGCATATTCTCATTTAAAAATAGTGTAAGTTTGACCAAATGAGGACTATGTTCACCAATTGAAAACTACTCATTGGACTATCTATTAAGAGGAGAATAAAGAAAAGCCTCTCCTTAACCCTGGGCACAAAAAGTATGAGAGAAGAATGCCAAAATATAAGTTTCAATGACTCTCTTTCTCCTCCATGAAGAGTGAGGGATGATAGTTGATATATGAGAGCCTAAAATGATAGAAGATATTTTTTTGTTCAAGTTTTTCAAGGTCTCTACTATATTAAACTTTTCAATTAGGTATCAAGAGAGTTAAGTTTCAAAGTAACATTGTAATAAAGAGGAAGAATAACTTCAAATTTTGACCTCATGCCATTTTTTCCTTTAAGGAGACAAAGCTATCAAAGTCTCTATAAGTAGTTTGAAATAAAACCTATCAGTTGCTGCTCAAAATCATCAAAGTCTTTACAAATATAAAGCTTACTCAATGTCAACTGATAGTACATAAAAAGTTCACACTACTATATTACATGATACCCTTATTATGTGGTGATTGCATAGATAACTACATTATTATAGCTTCTATTCAAACACTCTAGAAATATGGATTTATAGTTGAGTTTTGTGTATAAACTCAAGTGTAAGGAGTTGAGCCCTCAAATAAACTGTTAACTTTACTTTTAGGAGCTTAATCCTTTAATAAGTTGATCTCTTAAGGAAAAACCTAAACATAATTTTAGTGGAGATTTTGTGGGAGCCAAATCTTTATAAACCCATGAATTCTGTATTTTGAAATTAGTGAAACATTAAAGAGTAGACGTAAGTTGAGGACTAAAGTAGTATAATAATATTGTGTGACTTTATTTGAATTGTGATGATATGAAGAATCAATTGTATTAGTGAAGAAATATAGATGAAAATAAAATAATGTACATAACTGATTCAATTTACCAATATTTATGACTATTGACATGACTTAATTATTGTATAATAAATCACATAAATTGAAAATTTATAAAACTAAAAATACTAATTATATATTTTTAAAAATATTTTTTAATAAATAAATAAATTATAATTAAATAAGATATTTTAAAAATAGTAAAAAAAATTCAAGTGGATCATAGGCATGTAATATAATATCGGATAATATTTTATAACTTTTCATAAATAATATAATTTTATGATTTTTAGACTAAATAATATAGATAAAATATATTTAAAATTCGTGAAAAAATGAAATAAGGATAAAAAATATTATAATGACATCAATGGTCCAAGAATTTGAATCGGGTTGAACTTTAATTCTTACATAAGTGATTATGAATAATTTAATTAATAAAAGTTATAATAATTATATTTAAATGAAGACGGTTTTTGAAACTCAAAATCATATACACTATCACTAGATTAAGTAAAAAATAAGTTTAAACTAGAAAAGTCTAAGTTTTAACCTCGCAATATTGATTGCTAGAATTTTATATGTTTGGGATGATTATTATGTAATATCTATGGCCTCAAAGGCTTTTCTTAGATAAGGAAGATGTGGGTAATCTCTAGATCTTTTTGTAAAGTTTAGAAATTAATGAGGTGGGTTCATGATGTCTCCAACAACTACTACTCAACAAGATAAAAAAATAATGACTTTGTGGATCTCTAGTAACTACCACTTGACGAAGATAAGTTGGATAAAGGTGGGATACATCTTAAAGAGCTTCATCTTCAAGTCTACGCAACAAGAAGTTCTTCATCACATCTGGTATGCTCTCATGGCATGACGACATGTCTCCTAATGAATTGTCATCTTCTCAACGATGATTTATTTGTCGATTAATCAAAGATAATTTACTCAATAAATTTGTGATTTTTTTATCCATAATCATTTGACAATTTTAGTAATGATGTTTCACAAATCATATTGACAATATTTTCGTTGATAATTGAGTAATTTGTGTGACTTAATCGTTACCATGTAATTTATAAAAAAATTATGATTTAATCTAATAAAAATATGAGTTTTTGTTCTAGCTAGATTCAAACCCTCACTTGGCACTCACCTATATGAGAGAGAGTGAAATAAATACATGAATACCCTTATAAAGTAATGTCATAAGGGTATCTCATTCTCATAAATAAAAAGTATTTTAGATATTAAAATTATTGAAAACCTTATAAGATACTGTGATGCTAGTTTAATCCCACATCGATTATTTTCTAAGTTTTAAGATATATTATATAATAATATAAGATTATGTGATCAATAAGCTTCTCTCTTGTATGTGTATAACCATTCTTTACCTCATGCTTAGTTGGCCACTGATGATGTGAAAGAGGAGTGAGGCATATGTGTCTCTTACTAGTCCTTAGCCATTAGTGATTGTGCTTCTTGCCCACTTGTGGGCCCAATTGGCTGATGGGTACTTTTTTTCTATATTTTTATTTTATTTTTTCTTTATTTATATAAAAAATATGATTATAAAAATTATATAAAGTTTATATAAAAATACATAATTAGTTAAAAATTTACATTAACTAACTAAGAACTATTTTTTATAATTTAACATAAATGTAAATCTATTTATCATGAATCAAGGCTTAAAATATATTATTAATTAATTATTAACTCATAATAATAAAGACTTATCAACTACTAATACTTATCATAAATAGTCCTCATAGCTTTTCTTTTTTTATTCCTAAAGTTAATTCACTTTAGCTAATGATGTGATAACTTGATATTATTAAATGTTGTTTATCGGTTAACTATCTCTCAAATAGGTAGTGCAACAATCTTCTTAATATGGATGACTCAATGTCACAGTTTCTAAAGTGAGGCCCACTTTCAAGGTTAATCACTCATGTATTTACCTCATTCTACACTTACCATATGATGAGTGATGGATGTCTTTGTGTATGCAGTACACGCACATACTCATGTGCAATCCTCCTTGGCTGCACACATATTGTGACATGTTGATGTCATGATGTTTACTTATTTGGGCCAATGGTGCCCTATGTCCAAGCCATAGTCATTCATTCCAGCACATGAGCATCCTTTGCTTTACACGTGCCACACTATATCAACACATGCTGCTTACAAGCCTTTCGTTGAAGAGTTCATAAAGCACTCTAGTGAATCTTGTCCTAGCCTAATGGTACCATCCACTTGAGTCATGTACTTTCACATGCAAGCCTTTACTTCATGCAAGTTGTGCCCATATCATCATATGCCTATGTGCATATACATGTGATGGGACCCATTGATTATGTGGGAGAATTAGCAAAATTCAATGGGGGAGTGACAAGTAGATTCACTGAGGAGGAAACAATACATACTTTGTTATTGACATAATGAAAAAAGGACACACTTGAGATAACATGGATAGGGATTAAGTTAAACCTTGAAATATGAATTTCTCAAATACAATGACCACATCAAGAGGATTCTCACTTAGCACTACCTTTACTTTTTCACACCCCTCTAACATAACCCGACTCTTCTTATAAGATAGGTCTGAATGCAAAACGTCATGATGTCTAGTTTCCCTTCTCCATAACTGGTTGACAATTCCTTGACAATGGTTGACCTTCTTCTGAATGTTGTCTGTCAAGTTTTTCAAGGTTGACTTGGACTCGTGAGGATCACCTCATTGTGTTGCATTATGTCAATGCTCATATGCTTGCATGCACAGCCACACAATCTCATGATGACAATGAGGTCACATAGGTGAGATCCTATTCCTCAAAGTGAGGGGCATCACACCGTTGTTATGGTGCCGCCATCTTGGGAATGGTGCAACTAGTGCCACCAGATGCCTTGCAAACTACAACGAGCCTCCTCTACTCAACCTCACATCTTGTTATCCCTAGTTGACCTAGCATAACATCTCTCAATCAAACACCAACGGTTGAGAGATTCTATGGGATATGTCGGGAGGCACCCCTTCTTGTACCAAATGGGAGGGGGGGAACACGTTGTAAAGAAAGGAAAGGAGTGTCAAAAGTAAATGAGAACCATAATTTATGAGAGCTCCATCAGAGGAGATATACTTTCCAGTTTAAACGTTTTGCCGAGCAACAAGAACTGGACCTGGACCAAGTCCACGTGGAGAAATAAGAGGGTAATAGAGGGAGAGTGGGGAGAATACGAGACCATGGTTCGAGGGATTGAGCAATTTGGAACTTGGGTCGGATATAGGCTCCGGGCCTGCGGCTTGGGTCCGTGGGACTGATCCAATCCGATCGCGGTCCAGATTCGGGTCGAGATGAATGGATCGGAGACGCAGGGACCCAGTACAATCCAAACCGGGGGCTGCGGAGGGACGGGTGGCTGCGCACATGTCCAGTGGGACACACTCCCTCTCTCTCTCTCTCTCTCTCTCTGTTCAACACGTGCTAAGATAGACGGAATCCCGTCCATGTGCACTGAGCTCTATTTGCTTTTTTTCTAAAGACAACCCGCCAGCCAAGTTGAGCCGTTGGCGGCGCCAACAGGTAGCGAAGAGCTGGAGAGAAGCAGATGCTCTTGCGAATTGACCATGTACCCCCTCAAATGAAAACCGAGCCAATCCTTGAGATCCATAAACAGGATCTCAGTCGTCCATCTAGATCGAAGCTCAGAGGGATAGCGAGTCAACCCTGGATCACCGTTAGATGGTGTTGGCGGCACAGCTACCCAGGCCTAATAGTAATCTTGCGGATGATGTGCTTTAAGATAGAGACGGCGCCGCCAGTATCCTTGCCCGCCTCCGATGAAGACGCCGACGGGACAGCACGCCGGCGGGGCGCAGGCTCCGCTGCTGCCGGAGTACGAGCTCGCGGAGCCCTCGGAGGGCTCCGCCTCCGTCTCCGGCGCGGTGTTCAACCTGTCGACGAGCATCATCGGCGCCGGAATCATGTCGATTCCGGCGACGCTGAAGGTGCTCGGCGTTGGCCCGGCGGTGGTGCTGATCCTATCGGTGGCGCTCCTGTGCGACGTCTCCGTGGAGTTCCTCTTGCGGTACACCAACTCCGGTAAGGTCATGTCCTACGCCGGCATCATGGCGGAGTCCTTCGGGAAGGCCGGTGCCACGGCGCTGCAGCTCTGCGTCATCCTCACCAACCTCGGCGCCCTCATCATGTACCTCATCATCATCGGTAGTAGTCCACCTCCACCACTCGTACATCTCCTTCCTCAATCGTGATGCTTCCACTGATTTCGTCTGCGTGGGCTTGGGAGCAGGGGATGTGTTATCGGGGAACCAGTCGGAGGGCGCGGGGCACCTGGGAGTGCTGCAGGAGTGGTTCGGCGACCAGTGGTGGAACTCCCGCCCGGCGGCGCTCCTCTTCACCCTCGTCTTCGTGTTGCTTCCTCTTCTCCTCTTCCGGCGTGTAGGTCAGTTCCCCTTTGGACTCATCTCTCTCTCTCTCTCTCTCTCTCCCGCCCTCTCTCTTTGCCTTACTTCATTCGCATAGTTTTCTTAGCCGCATAGGCTAGGCACAGAGCTCAAAGGGGGCAGGCTGATTGGACCCCCTAACAAGCCTTCTGTGTGTCGGTGTCTGTATCCATGGAAGTGCGTGAGAGAGAGAGACGTTTGATCTACGGGTGCTCTAACATAGGATGTGAGCAGAATTTGCTCGGCCCTATTAGACCAGTCTGGTTACACTCACGATGTCATGCGGAGATGGTCGCGTGAATGTTTTCAGTACTGTTATGCGTGCACATACAGAGCTTTTATTTCCTTTTCATGTGCGGCGTGCTTCAACACATCACGATCCATCCTTATCCTCAAAGGGCCCCACGTGGGACCCATGAAACTGTTTCTCTCTCTCTCTCTCTCTATGCATCCTGATATTCAATTCATATACAAATGGAAATTTTGTTTAATGGCATATGACATCAATGATTCTTTGTTTGCATTTAGATTGAATCGACCCGGAAAGCTATTTCTTTAGAGCGGCGAATTGACTCCATGATTTAAGTATATTTAAATTAGAAACCAGAGGCTGATTCCACCGATCGTTGACCAGTTCTAGGGAAGAACTAACTGATCGCGTCTGTTGAAGAATCTGTGTCTTGTTGGGAATTCCTTACTCGTGTATTCATGGCAGATTCTCTGAGGTTTTCCTCGGCCGTCTCGGTTTTCCTGGCGGTGGTATTCGTCGCCATCAGCTCCACCATGGCGCTCTACGCGCTCTACAGAGGGACAACCAGGACCCCCAGGGTTCTGCCGGATTTCGGCTCCGGGACCTCCTTCTTCGAGCTCTTCACCGCCGTCCCGGTCATTGTCCTCGCCTTCACCTTCCACTTCAACGGTGAGTACTCTCCAGAAAGCTTTCATCCTCCCGTCGACTCAATCTCCGACTGATCTGGCCCAGACGTCGGGTATTCCCAGTTCATCCCATCAGGGCAGAGCTGCAGAAGTCGTCGGACATGACGAAGGCCGTGAGGCTCTCTCTGATCCTCTGCTCCGTCATCTACGCCACCGTCGGCCTCTCCGGCTACCTCCTCTTCGGGGACGCCACCATGGCCGACATACTCTCCAACTTCGACAGAACCTCCGGCTCCGACGTTCCCTCACTGGTCAATAACCTCGTCCGGCTCAGCTATGGTCTCCACCTCGTCCTGGTCTACCCCCTCCTCAACTTCTCTCTTCGGATTAACGTGGACGGCCTGTTCTTCCCGAGATCGCGGCCGCTGCCATACGACGACACCCGCTTCGTCTCTCTGACTCTCGGGCTGGCGGCGTTCGTCTACCTCGCCGCCATCGGCATCCCCAACATATGGACTCTCTTCCAGTTCTTCGGATCCACGACTGCCGTCTGCCTCTCGTTGATCTTCCCGGCTTCAATTGTGCTCAGGTAAATCCCCTCTCCCCTCCCTCGTTATTCTCCACCGTGCTCGGCCGACAATCTCTGTGTTTAACTCTTACGGCGGGAAACTTCCGTTTCAGGGACATTCATGGCATCGCTCGCCGGCAAGACAAGGTGGTGGCGGCGACGATGATCTCCCTGGCGGTGGCGACAAGCGCCGTTGCCATATCGTCCAATGTGATCAGCTTCTTTAATAGCAGAGCATGAGTCGCGCTTCAAAACTTGTTCTTGTAATGATCAAGTTACTGTGTACTTATATATCCTACTTGGTTAGTGAAAGACGTCGACAAATCGTCGTCCCTGTTTGATCGGCCGTAGACCTTCTTGAATTACACCAAGAATAAGCTTAGAACGGAGAACACGACATTATGCAGCACAGTCCATGGAAGCCGTCCCTCTCCCGTAATCGTCGGAGCTCGACTCACTACATCGGCGGCGGCGGTGACGGTGCTGCTCGCGACGGAGTCTCTGTACTCGTGCAATCTAGCGCAGAGGATGAAGTAACCCAGGTTGACAACTCCGGCCGCCGCCAAGGTCCAGTAAAACCTGTCCAACCTAGCGGCGTTGATGTTGTCCGGGAACCAGTCGGTCGCCCTCCGCACCAGGTCGACCACCGCCGTGCTCAGGTAGAACCCTGCCGCCACCACCAGTCCCATCATCCCCGTCGCCGAGCTCCTCAGAGACTCCGGGAACTCCTGGTAGTGCAGTGCCACCTGGCCGGGGAAATGGAAAACATCCCCCATTCCCAACACCAGCAGCGGCGGCAGCAGCCAGAGCACGGTCATGGGCAAGATGGCCCCCGGCCGATGAACCAGGTCGAGGTACTGTGCGACGGCGACGCACCTTCGCTGCACCAGCGCCGCCGCCGCCATGGCGGTCGCGTTGACGACGTGCCCAACACCCACGCGCTGCAGCGGCGTAAGGGGCCGGCCGAGGAGCTTGAACCAGGCGGGATAGAAGCAGCGGTCGAGGAGGGCGATGGAGACAGCGCAGGCAGAGAGGGTAGAGACGACGAGGGACCCAGCGGGGAGGAAGAAGCGGTGGCCGATGTGGCGGTCGAGGGAGAGAGCTTGCAGGACGGTGAGGGCGAGCAGGATGCCGATGGAGGTGCTGAGGAGGATGGAGGTTGACCAGAGGGGGAGGATCCTGAGCACCGCCTTGAGGTCCTCCACCTGGTCCACAGTGCACAGACTCCATGGCTTCGCCACGCTGCCGTCGGGGTTGACCTCCCCTTCCCTCTTTGTTGCAGCCCGGTTCAAGAATCTGTCATCCCCAAGACATCTCCTCCTTTGAGTAGAAAGAAACAGAGCAGCGCCCGGTCTAACTTCAGGAGGTTTTCTCTCTCTAACCCGGGCCCGGCCATTGACTAGATAAAATCTCGGAGAGTGTCGTAATCCACAAGGAAATAGAGATAATGCAGAAGCTTGAATCCGAAGAAGGAGATTCGCACCCGAAGCCAGGTGTCGGAGCTTGAAGCTTCAGCTTCCCCTCGCCGGAGCCGCCATGGTAGTACTCCGTGCTGCTTTCAGGCGGTGCCGCGTTTCTCCACTTCCTTCCCGCCGCCACCAGTACCCGGGCGAGACCCAGTAGGGGGGTTCCTCTCAGGCACGGCGCTGCAGTAAGGCGGCGACGCCGGCGGCGCTGGTGGCGGCGCACGCGCCGAACCCCCATCCCCAGCTGACGTTGTCCTGCACGTAGACGACGACGATGGAGCCGATAATGGCTCCTACGGGCATGACGAAGAAGTACCAGTTCAAGAAGGTGCTCTGGTCGGCGGGTCTGTCGAACTGGTTCGCCCCCATCGTCGCCATGTTGAAGCGCGTCCCCCCGGCGCCCATGCAGAGCAGTGTCACCGCCGTGTAGAGGAGCGCGTTCTGGCCCGCCGAGGGCTCTCTGCATGCGGCGGAGGATCCCCCCTGGCACGGCGGCGGCCTCAGCGCGCCGGCCGTGGCCGTCGACGTGAATCGAGCCATTCCCTGCGGTTGTTGGAAGGTACTGTTTAAGCATATTTGAGCGAAAAGATGGAGGTTCGAGGGGGGGAGCACCAGAAGAGAGAGAACGGAGGAGGCGGCGACGACGACGAAGCAGCCGAAGGAGTCGGAGATGACGGCGCCGACGATGGGGGCGAGGTTGGTGCATCCGTTGATGATGTTGAATATCTGAGCGGCGTCGATGCTCTTAATTTTATATTCCTCAATGAGGTAGACGATGAGGTTGGAGGTCGCCCCGAACGTCGCCACAGACATCCCCATCGTACTCCCTGCGGATCAAAAGTTCCCCTAAGAGAATTGGTTTGGGAGTGGTGAGAGAGAGGGAGAGAGGGAGAGAGAGAGACCGAGGATGTAAGGAATGGTGATCCATCCCCCTCGTCTTCCACGGGAGAAGCCCGCCACTGTCCCCTCGGCGTCAACCAGGTGAAGCTCGGCGGAGAGTTTCGAAGCCATCCTACAACTCTGTCTCCCATCCAGCCTCCTCTTATATACATCCATAAGGAAATCCAGCTCTCTCTCTCTCTCTCTCTCTCTCTCTCTCTCTCTCTCTCTCCCTCCCTCTCGACCCACATAGCCTCCCACCAATATCAGAGGAATAAAGTGCACACTCTGTTACTTCTCACTCTCTCACACACAGACACCCTTTCTCTCTCTATCTATCTATCTATCTATCCATCTATCTATCTATCTATCTATCTATATATATATGTCTCGATTAAAAAAAAAAAAAGTCGCTAATTCGGTGAATGAAGAACATCATTTACCTAATTAATTCAGGTGATAGATTGCTCTGGGGGGCCCACGGGGAGCTAGATAAAGATTCCCGCCATTACTTCTAGGAAAATAGGACCGTCGAGAGTGTCAGCAACATTAGGGAAAGATCACCGAATCGTTAACCTTTCTCCACACCGACTGGACTTCATGAGACCTAGAAATGGTCTTGGCCATAATTGGGATTTGACCAAAGCGCGCCACTTGGAGAAAAGCTACACAGAAAGAATGCCACACTCACTTGGTGGGGAGGGGAATAAACGGCTCGGCGAAGTTTTCTGAACAAAGGCCCGAAAGGTACTGCCAACAGAAAAACTACGGACCGGTGAGTAGACAGAAATCTTGGAGTCTGATGGGTTCTCGGCAAGGAATCTTGGGGGATCCCCATCTTGCCTGTGCTGTGCCATGCATCAACTCTTGCCACATCTCCGGTTGGGAATGTAGCTTGTCCCTCCTGTCGCCCATTTTCAAGCCTTTCTTTGGGGTCGGCTCCTTGATAGTGGGGAATCATCACCACCTAAATGGGAGATGTTAAGGAGAAAGTGTAGGGGAGAAGAAGGCACAATTAGGTTAGATTCTCCTTGCACCATGGAATGCCTGCTCTGCAAGAAAAATCTAGTTCAATGGCTACTCACCCACCTTCCTCAACATAAGCATATTTTTTTTTTAGGGCATATGCATGGGGGGACTTTGACAAAAGGTTCGTCATCAAGACTCGTCTTCAGAAGAAACCTTCTTCAAATAAACTCATCTTATGTTGTCACTAGTGAATGGTTGACAAGATTACTACTTTGACAATCAAACCTTGGAGACGCTGTTGGCCGTGAAGGAGAGGCATGAGTGGAGCATGAAAAGGGGAGAGGAGTGGACAACCATTTTGAAAATTTCACAGCATGGCGCTGAAAATGCATTGACTAAGAGAGTAGGGAACGTGGATATTGTTGACATCTGAGACAATAATGTTTTGACTTTGCTGAAATATACACAAGGGGATAGTTACTTTCGATCCTCAAAAACATATTATCACCATTTTAATACTTTACAAAGACAATCTGTTGTATTAACTTTCACAAAAAAATATTACTTCAGTTATAGAGTGATTTTTTCTCTCCTCATATTTATTTCAAGCAATGGAGTCAACCTATGGCCCTGACTCACCTCGTACAGCCAATTTCACCATAACATCAAAGCTTCATATTTTCAAGGTCCACACCATCATGCCAAAATAAGTGATTTATTTTCAAACTTTTGAGGTTGATTTTCTTTATTTGTTGCAAGTAATTTTAGTAGTGGACTGTAAACTTCATTAGAGGCAAGTATAGGTCGACTCTAAACTTTTTCTAGAGCTATGACTCTAGAAATGCGAAGGTGGTACATCATATGATATTATTCCTAGAAAACTGTTTCATCTTAAATAAAGTTATGATGATTTTGAAACTTCATATGAAAAGAAAAAATAAAATATAAAATATTATCAAACTTGATATGCTCATCCTTGAATAGGGATAATGCTCTCCAACACAGCATAATATTTTACTTGGTAAGCAACATAATGATCCTAGGAAACATGGATCATGTTGCAGTTATATGGTAAAATATTTAGAATTGTTTTCATGAAATCAACTACTAGTTCTTTTCTTGATGGATGATGCTATACCAATGGTAGGCTAGGCCATACATCACAAATAATTCTTGAGATAGAAAAGCATTGAGCATTAAACATATAATATTGAAGATGACCTCCATAAATTTGCAAATAACCAAGAGGAAACAACTAATAGAGAGTTGAATTTATGATTGTTAAGAGAAATATAGAAAACACAAATAAATGAAGATATCACGATCCACCTAGTCAGTTTGTTGCTTTCATCATGTATCAACTCTCATGATTCACGATGTTCTTGGCTCTCATGAAATTAGTTCTATGCTTTCATCAGGTATCAACACCTGGCTTGGAGTTTTTGACTTCTACGTAAAGACTATTATGTTTTAGCATAGCGGCCAACAATTTTCATTCCAATTCTAGAGTCTCAACACAAAATTCTTGTACATTTACAATTTTAGACATTTGGCATAATTTTTCTTCATACTTGTTTAATTTTTAATCTAAAAAACATTTCAAATGCTGATCTCTAGACCAATAGTGGTGATACTTTTTATCAAGCACATATATATTTGTCATTAAAGTATATATTTTTCATTAATAAAGTCTTTAAGCAAGTATAGCTCACCAAATAATGTTTATAACACATTCAATTTATATATGATTCGAAAATGAGGGTTATGGTGAGCTTATCATGGCTGAATCTGCCTTCATAATAGTGTGGTTTGTTAATACTTAGATGGCACGTCATCTATATTTTAAACTTTCATGGAAATTCTTGAAAGATTTAAAAAATCATAACAAATCAAATATAACAGAATATGAGATGATTCTCCCCACCAGCATAAGAGCTTTAATTTAAATGAGTAAGATTTCACATTCTTAAGAGGTTGAAAAAAATTGAGGTGCCGAGATAATTTAAGTATTCTGAATATTCTAAATGTTTTAAATACTGTCAATAATGTCAATTATAAACTTTTAAAACTTGAAAGGATATGGCTTAAATTTTTGGATTTATTTAATAAAAAATGCTCATTCTTGAATAACAGGACGAGGTAAACTTAATTTGAAACCCAAAACATGATTTTTGAAAAAAAAAAAATTACATTCTTTTAGGGAACCCTACAAGCAAAAGTAGAGATACGTAGATTTGTTCCTTTGTTTTTGTTGTGGGTGCTGTTTTCAACCTATTGACTAGAATCATCAGCATCGGGATCACGTAGATTAGAATCATCAGCATGGTGTTAGCCCAACATTGAGGGCTGATCTTGGTTGTGACATCTTCATGGAGTTTCCTTTGTGGTGAAAGAGCCATGGCCAGTGTTTATCCAGTTCTTGTCTTTCATGAGCGTCAAAGCCATGGCGTTGCAACTCTACACTTTCCTCATCTACTGTGCATAGAGGGACAAATGATGTGAACACTCGTAGCACAACCTTGGACGAACTGCGTAATTTGTTAAGTAATGTGCGCCATTAAATCAAGTAAAGAATAATAATGACATAATAAAAAGTTAACAAGATAAATGAACAAAGGGCAAGAACATTACACTAAGTACCAAGAGTTCTTCTCAATAGTGACTGTGTCGACCTCCACCGCAGTAGTGCACTTTGATAGTCATATCTACTCCAATATGGATGAAATCCATTAACATTAGATATTCCATGAACACAAGCATGGGCCAAGAGAAAGACGACACGCCCAAAGAACTACCAACTCTTACGATTATCACACTTACCAATATCTCCTCTTGTTATTCATGGTGGGAGCACAATCATGACCTCAAAGTGGCACTGCCGAGCGTACAATTTATCTTCGGTTTAAGTAGGATTTGCGTGGTTCTCCACTCTCATTAGCCACTCTTATGTGCGCGGCCACGTTAGTACCAAATCTAGATTGCCATATCACACACCTTTTGTTTCATCTTCCTCAGCTCTGAGCCGGGCTGCTTTGATTCCACGTATTTTCTTGATTGGGAATTTCTGGATAATTTCTGGACGAGCCGGCGTGAGTTTCAGCCGGCATCGACGCTATGTTTGTATTCCTGGATGATCGGAGAAGAGGCGCCAGACTGATCGGTGGGTGGCTGTCGGGAGGAGCGGGGGTACATGGTCGACCGACCTTCAGCGTGGCTCCGCTCCTCTCCACCTTTGTCTTCTTCTTGTCGCCTCCTCTCCTCGGCAAGGTCATCTCACTCAGATGGGAGAGAGAGAGAGAGGAGAGAGAGAGAGAGAAATGCGCTGAGATGACTTCAGAAGAACAAAAGAGTGTTGATTTCAGAGAACTCTTGCGTCCACCGTCTTGGGGAACCCTGGAAGAAGCATCAACAACAGCCTGCGGACAAAACCAAGAATCATGGCGCACTTGTACATATCCAGGACTCAACGCACTCGACAAGCAGAGTATTTTCCCCAGTCAGTGCCCCAATCTTTCCTCTGTCGACGATCTCCAGGCTTCATTGGTCTCTCTCAACGGGTTAAGATACAGCAGCCGCACTAGCAAGCTGTGGTGGTGGCCGTTCTCTCCTTTGTAGACGAGAATTTACCTTTCCATTGAACCCATGCTCTCCTGACCTCACCCAACTCCTCCTCTGGGATGCTGCACTGCTCCAAGTTCTCCAGCCACTCTCTCCATGGATATTCAGATGGGTCCAAGAACTTTGAGACCCCCGGGAGAAGGACAGAAGCATAGAACTCGTCGACCAACTTCTGTATTTCCTCTGCTTCGGCCATTGATTTCAGTTCTGGTCGCATTGTCTTCCCGGGACGGCTCCTGATGGAGAACTGGTTGCCCCGCAGGACCAAGACTTCAGAGGGAGCGATGGGTAGAACGATGCGGGAAAACTTGGCCAGCGACATCTCAATAGCGTCCCTCGGCAGCAGCCTCCGCTTCACTGCCACTGCCGTTGCCACCATTTTCCGAATCTGAAATGGAAAGAAAAATACACCAGTAAGATCCAAAACATGAGATAAATTCCGATCCATAGGTGGTTGTTAAATGAAGCTGAAGTTGACAAATTCTGAGTCGGTGTCAACTTATGCCTCAGAAGATCGATCAGAGGTCAAATGACGACCCTTTTCTATAATTAACCGCTTGTTAATGATAATTTTCAGCTGAACCTTTTTCTTCTTTTTTTTTTTTGCTTGAAATGGATAGCAGCCAGCTTTATCATATCACAAATGCACATATATTAATGAAGCTGAAGTTGACAAATTCTGAGTCGGTATCAACTTTTGACTCAGAAAACCGGTCAGAGGTTAAGTGAAGACCCATTTCTATAATTCACCTCTTGTTAATGATAATTTTCAGCTGACTACCATGACAAGTGCTCTCGTTTTGCCTCCTTAATATTTTTTTTGGTGGCTTGAAATGGATATCAGCCAGTTTTATGATATCACAAATGCACATATAATATATATATATATATATATACATATTGACTTTCACAGTCAACGAATGTTCCTGGAATAATTTTCTAATCTAGAAAGGTTTAGGGAGACCAAAAGGCTGCAAAATAATCAAACCCTAGTAATCTCAGTTGGAAAGGCACATAATAAATATGTAGACAATTCATTCGAGTTAAGAAATACATGGCGTAATCAAATGTGACCATAATAATCAAAGCGCCAGGGTCCACTTACTTGGTGAAGCATGAAGGATTCCCCACATATGAGCACTTCAATATAATTATTTCCCCTTGATTTCTCCAGCTTCCTAGAGCCGCAGCTGAAGATCTTCCTGAAGTGGGATGCACCAATTCTATCCAATTCATCGGGCTCATGGAGCCACCTCGCGCGGACAACCCTAGGAGAAGAATTTTGTGATTCACCTTCAAGTTCTCTAAGTGGGTATGTTCCATCGTCATCAGAGTCGCTGTCAGAACGAGAGCTCCCAAGATCATCTTCAGGGATAAGCCCACAATCCCTAATGCCCGATTTTTCAATCTCTGAATCGGGCCGAAACAAATGCCTAGATGGCATGGCGCCTTTAGGTTTGCGGCGCTTCTTTGGTTGCTGTTGTCTATACTTAGCACGTGTAGTGTAATTGTGGAAAGGATGCTCTCCCTGCAACAACAAAAAACCATAAATATTAATGGAAATACGAATCGAATACCAACTGAAACTAGATTGAATCGGTCCCCGCTGGATAAACTAATAAAAAATTGATCGAATCAAATTTGGGCAGTTATGAAAACTTTGAACATTATCAGCCACTACAGACCACCTATCCAAATCAATGATTCTTGGAACAGCGAGAATAAGTCGATAACTAATCTTTATCCGCATGAAAAAAAGGAAATCAGGAGATTACCAAAATAATTGTAACATCAGAGTTTACTTATTAATTATCAGGATGAACACGTCTAAATGCACCCCCCATCTTTACTCTGGAGTAATCAATAGAAGATGATGACACAATCTTTCTTACATCACATAGACTGTACGACTACTACAGCAAGATAATACGCATCAGAAAAGATATTAGATATTCAAACCTACTAAACGAGGACAAACCTCAAAGCTTTCCAGTATATTATTAAATTCAGATAAATGGCTATCTATTTCTGCAGGGTCGCTGTCACTTCTGAGCCCGATGATTTCAGCCGGAAGAAGATAAGAATACATTCGAAAATTGCATTCCCTTCTCGCATCAAAGCTCCTGGAACACAGTTCAGCAAAGGACTTTTATTAAAGGAAAAACGGAATGCAACTAAAAATTCATTAATTTATGGTGATTGTTTACTGAGTAGACTTGCCTTTGGGAGGGTAAAATGCTGAAAACTTTGATGTTGCCCGGCAGATTAGAGTTGATGAAATTCGCGAGAACGACGCCACAAGGGTCGTCCTTCCATGCATATTCAGGAATCTCCATCTTCATGGAAATCATGGTTGCCAATGAATGAACCTAATATCATAGAAAAGTAAGTACCTTGAAATTGACAGCCTCATCTGACGAAAAAGGAATCCATAGCCAAGAAAGCCTCCAATATTTGAAAAAACATTAGAAGAGGCAGGGCAGCACACTCCCATGGCTACTGAGAGTTTCACCTAAGTAAAATCTGTTTTTTTATTTATATGCTAAATTCGTAGTAAAAATGTGTTTACATTTAATCCGACCAAATATGTTCAACTTCTAGAGATACCCAAAATTCGTATCACAAATGCATCATGATAGGGAAATGATTAGAACACTATTCTCACTGTTCAAATAAATTATAGAAGAATACCAAGAGACCTTGGAAATAAATAATGAATAAAGAACCAGACTGCTGAATTCAGAGAAATTTACATATAGAATGCGATTTTTAAAAATATGAACCATATTGAAAGATTGAACATGCATTTGGTATATGCTAGAGGTGAGTGGCGCCGAATGTCTGAAGGGAAATACAGCATAAAAAAACCACAATGCGGCAATTTACCAAAGATAAATTCAAGTAGAAACATGATGACATTAGGGATGAGGAATCCCATCCATTATGATAAAGGACTCTCCATTTTATCATCTCAGAGATGATGTAGATGATTTCTTACTGAGTGTTTAACCCTACCACATTGATGGATAAGTTCATATAACATTAGGCACTTCGAGAGTGTTTTGGTGATTACAACAACACAGAGCGACCAGACAAAAATTTTGTACTAAATTCAGGGATGTCAACCACTTAAATTGTCATCTAATCTAAAGCAACTTGGCAGCTGACTTTTAAACAAAGGCGGCGTTTGTGCTCAATAAGTCAGCTCTTAAATTGAAGATACTACAAGGCAGTTTGAAGTACAAAAGTTTCCAGAAATGCAACATGATGGAATGACAAAAACCCAGGATCCTGGCATGTTTTCATGGATAACATATATCATCGATGATAATCATATACCCCAAAAGAACTGATCGGCCACAAGTCATACTTACTCCTTTATCAGTTCGGCTACTTCTAGCCCATCCAACTTTCTGCAGATCTCCATAATTACTGTCAAGGATCCCCCCCGCCTTAAAAATTGCTGTTTCCAATTCTCCTTCAATTGCTACACTCACGATTATGAAGGCTTAGCATAACACCGTCATTGACAATTGAGCGATGCAATATGATATCAATACCTTGTCCATTCAAGAGTAAGTTAGAAACAGAATAGGATTTTTTAAAAAACTGAATAGCTATCATCTTCCCAGCTGGATGCAGTCACAGAAAGATAGTCTAGATAGCAAGCATGACTTGATAATTTCTACTTCATACTTCTTCGCGTTCTCAAGAAAAGGGTGAAATCTCAAGGAACAAATCTTACTCCAGACCTCCCATTGAATAAGAGATCTTGAATACTTCACCTGTCTTTCGTATTTTGTTTTCGACGAGACAAAATATACATTCAGTTACGAATTCATTCAGACATTATTCAGAACATTATTGCATAGTCAGAATCATGCGGACACTGAAAAGAGGATAACTAAATAAATTACGAACTGAAATCTCAGCAGATGGGTTCGTAAAAGGAAATCATTCACTCATTAAATAAATTATTGGTTGTAAGCCTAAAGCTACTGTCGCATGATGTCAAAGTTAAGAGCATGCCCACCGAGAGAAAACTGAGAGGAGATACGGTGCCTTGATGTCAAAAAAAACGAATGCCCTGAATACATTTTCGCAGAGACTCATGTTGCCATTATAGCCAGCGGAAAATTACAATATTCATAAAAGAACTCATGGTTCCTGTGCTCTGCCACTCGCAGAAGGCCGGGAGCTGTCCCAAAAAAGGTATAGACCCCCAGGACTTGAACATTCCATCCTAAACTGGGCACAGTTCATACGGAAAGGCGACGACGGAGGAAGTTCTCCATGAGATGATGATCAGAACATGCCAACTTCTCATACTACAGATTGCAAGCTGTCACGGAAGCAACAAAAAGAGAGGATAGACAGTGTTCTATATCTTACTCGATAAAGCGCCCTGATCTATTTGTTTCTGCAGACCTGAAAACAGAACATGAGGATAAAGATCATTCGTCCACCACAGAAAAAACCTGCACAAACTGCTGGTAGGAGTACAGAGAAAGTCTGGCACACACAGAGAGACAGAAAGAAGGAGAGAGATGAATTGGACGCACCTCTGTAGTCCGTCCCCACATAACCCACCCGCATTACTACCTTCTTCTTGCGGAATGACTCCCACTTCCCCCTCGCAGGGACAGCGGGAGAGGAGCTACAGAATACCCTCGACGCGCCACCCACCGCAGATAAGCGAGGAGGATTGCATCTACAAGGGGAGAAGAATCTGCCGGCCGCGCTTGGATGAGCCCACGGCGAGAAGAGGTGCCACCGAAGGGAAGACGTCCCCGCTGCGCCCATCCTTCATGTTCTCTCCAACACCGGGGGCGAGGAAGGAGATGGAAGCTCGAATTTTTAAATTTTGTAAAATGTGATAATCCTGAAAATAAACAAGTCGTTGTAGTATAGTGGTAAGTATTCCCGCCTGTCACGCGGGTGACCCGGGTTCGATCCCCGGCAACGGCGAAAGTTCCTTTTGGCCCCTTATGTGCTTCTACTATGACGTCTCTTTTAATGGGCCTCCCATCAACGACAACAATGGGCCATTCTTCAGCGAAGATCAGGTTCCAGAATCCTCAAATAATCTGGGAGCCCGCAATTTGGCGTGCTAGTGTGCCGTGGCATCCCCTGATGGGCTCAAGCCCAGGATCTCGTTTGTAAGGCCCAGGCCCAGATAAAATGGCCAAAAACTAGGCTCAACTTGAATCTTGTCTAGAGCGAGAGAGAGTGTGTGCTTCTGGTCAACGGGCCCAACAAAAGTCCAAGCCCACCCCGAAAACCTCAGGTCAACCCTTCTTATCCTCCTATGATAGGCAGAGAGAGAGAGAGAGAGATGATACGACCCAAGAGAAAGAGGGGTCAACGATTTATAATGAAACTTTCATGGAAAGAAGAGCATGTGGGAGCCTATTTTTCTTTCAAAAATTAATTTTACAGAAAAAAAAGCTGAACTCTATGATTATTCGTTGCCCATCACACATGCTAACTAATACGGCAATAAAATTGCCACGTGGAAGAAATACAACTGGCACATTACTAGATATATATGGAAATTAATGGTGCTAGACCGGAGGAACGTTACCCTCAAAATAATTGAATGAGAGAGAGAGAGAGAGAGCCCACATTCATAGTATTTGCGTAGTTTTTTGTGGGTTTCTTTGGAAGAATTCGAAAGAATACCCCTCGTGATCCATCTTTATCATAGATTGTGTCATCCGCCAAAAAAATAAATAAATCCGTAAATTATTCAAAAATAATTGGAGTCCCACGCCAAAGTTGCATGCCGTACGCCAATGGAATAAATCGCTAATAAATCGGGAAAATATGTAACCCATTTTCCAATACAAAAAACATTAGTCTTGATCTACCATACAATCATTTATTTATTTTGCTAGTAAAATAACAAAAATTGTGTTGAGGGGGACGTCGGCAGACCGAATGGCCTGTGAAGGACTCGGACTCGTACTCCAATCAGCCCACAGAAAAGTCAGGAAAACGGGCTCAGAGAGAGAAAGAAAGAGAGAGAGAGAGAAGGGGGGAGGGCGGACTCACCTGGTGAAGACCATGTCAGGAGACCAGCTCCCCCAGTTTGAGTCAAAGTGAAGAAAAAGGACTGCTTTCTACAGGTGCATCTTCCACTGGCGCTTTTTCTTCTTCCACCTCTTCTTGCTCCACAGAACCCACCCCACCGATGGACGCTACTTCCGAAGCTTCTCAACTTGTCCTCGTACATCCGGACGTCCGTCCTGAGAGATGCCCTCGCCGGAGATGGACGAGCTGGAGGACCCCTCGCCGTATCTCCCAGCCAATAATCTCGCCGCCCCCCGTCGACGTGACGCTCTTCCGCCGGGGAGGTTCCTTCTGAGTCGGGGGATTCCTTTGGTCCTCTCCTCTTCCTCCTGTTGAAAGTATAAATGAACGTGCTTACCGATGGAGCACAGGCGGAGAAGTGAGTGGCCTTCTGAATCCGGGTACTCCTCTTCGCCCGTTGCCTTTCCGCCTCGCCGTTTCAGGTACTTCTCGATCAAACTGCACAACTGGGCATCGTCCTGTATGTAGAGACACATCGTCAGAACGTAGATGATGAAATCGGTGAGTTCTTTCTTGTTTGAACCTGGTGTCAGGTGCTATGGGAACGAGACTGGGGCTTCCTCTTCTCACTCTGCTGGTATTCGGGTGTGTCTACTGTGACGCTAGAAAACTGGAAGCGTCTGGCGTTGCAGGTAACATTTCGTATCAATTCACAGTGTTCGCCGTTTCACAATCTCCACTGACTTGGAAGTCTTCTGCTGGAGCGGAAACTCTCTCCTGATGATCACTTCTCTTCTCCTCTCTTCCCTTCTGATGATTCCATTGCATTATATTGTTATCTGCTCGCTAAGATTTCATGAGCAGTTCTCAGTTGGAGATGAAAAAAAGAAAAGAAAAACATGACGATGATCTCTTCCCTTATATCCTATTACCAGTCACAGAGGCCATCGATGGACTGGAAGCAGAAAACCTTGAAGAATATGAAATGAACCGAAGGTTCTGTGGTCTATGTGAGCAGTTCGCCGGTCAAGCTGTGGAATATATGAAGGAGAATAAAACCCAGGTGGAGGTAATCGACATCTTCCACAAGGTCTGCTTCCGGCTACATTCCTTCCAGCAGCAGGTACTCCTTGGGCTCGGAGGAAGAAGACGAATGATTCCTGGATAATTTCCCCAAGCCTACAATCTTCATTTGCCAATCTGTAATCACCGTTCCTGCAGTGCTCGATCCTAGTGGACTACTACGCACCTCTCTTCTTCGTCGAAGTGTCTTCAATGAGCCCACATGATTTCTGTACGAAGATGAATTTCTGCAAGCACATACCATCACCGCCTCCGGGATCCTCTCCTCCGGCAGCAGAACTGTCGCCACCACCGTCATCAGCCCCATCACCGTCCTCACTCAAGGATCCAATGAACGGCGAACACATATGTGAAATCTGCCATAACACCGTCTTCAGAGTACTGAACAGGCTCAAAGACCCAGGAACAGAGGTGATCATCTCCATCTCCACTGCATTCCTGCTGCCTCATCTGATAGCTGTCTGCTTACAAAATTCTTTTCTTTCTATATTTCTAATCGTTTCAGCTGAGGATCGTCGAAAGGTTGGTTAAAGGATGCGTCGTCGTGGATCATTTTGCAGACAAGGTGATCTTCGCAGTATCTATTTTTGCAACCACAAGTCATCGGTCATCCAGATCTGCTAGGCTCTAAAGATCTCTCTCTTCTTCTGTGCAGTGCCAGACCTTGATCTTTCAATATGGTCCCGTCATCTTAGTTAATGCCGTGAGGCTGCTTGAGCGTGCGGATCTCTGCGTTACCTTGCGTGCGTGCCCGAATGGCAAGAACGAGACGGCTGTGGCCTACTCGTCGTCTTCTGTTCCTCTTCTTCCATTGTTCGAAGACATGTAGAAGGAATCCTCAAGAGCAGAGTGATTTCCTGTGATCTTTTAAGTGAGGTTTGGTCTGGCTGTCTCCTCTCATACTATATTGTTGCCATCTGTGATGATAAAATCTGCGAAGGCCCGTTGAAATAGTAAGACCTCGCAGTCTATTTTGTAATTCACCATTCAGATTCGTTGTCTCGCCATTAATTCCTCCTAGCATGTCTTCTCATCGGACAGTGGAGTTGTCATCAAAATATCTCCCAGCTTCCACTCGCTCGACCTAAATAGATCCAGCAACCAGAGCCGATCTCAGGTCCTGCAGAAGAAAACGGCAAGCAATATTGAGATCTCTAGAAGACCGAATCACGGAACACCGCGAGTCTCGAGCCAAGCTTGAATGAACTGTTTCCACTAGCAGACGGTATAATCAGAGAATCGCCGATTGAACATCGGAATGTGGATGGCATCTTGTCCCGCTGGAGATATCCCGAGGGAGGACAGACACGAGGATCATTAGTGTTCACATCGTCATCCTTCCTCCGTGCCCTTTCCGGATTCGAGAGCATCGGCGAATTATTCACGGATCAGGGAAAAAAAACACAACGAAAGCAAATACAGCAACCGAAGAAGCAAACGATGAAGGAAAGCAGAGTCACCAGTACCGGATCGCAGCCTTCCATAGACTAGCAGACTGGTTCCCGGTAGCTGAACCTTAACCTGGGAGGAAGAAGCCGGGGGGAAGAGACGGCGGGAAGACGTGATAGTTCAATTTTTTCCATGAATTTGGGAGAAAAAAAAATGGCCACCACACCAAACTACAGTTGAATGATAGCCCAAGTATTAAGTATATGGGTTATTATAGATAACCCCCTATGACTATTTGATTTAGGGACAAGTCTGACATATCTCCACTCGCCCTTCACATAAATTACCCAAAAATTATGAGTTAGCAAACCGAATAAAAATATCCTTGTAAATATGCCCATTCATGGGATGAATTAATGATTTATAAAAATAAGACACTGATACCCTCCAAATTGCAAGAAAACACGTGGTATTTGACACGTGGAATTTTTAAATATGATATATTGACGAAATTAGGGATGAAAAATATTTGATGACTAATTCATAAAATATGAACAATAAAATTTAAATTCGATAATTTCAACAAAGTGGGCCCAAGAATAGAAAATGGGTTTTTATAAAGTCAAAAGCTTGAAGAGCCCAATATATTGAAAAATGGAATTATTAACTCGTGTCACATTCATGCTAGGTTATGCCTTCATTTAAATACGATTTTCGATCTAAGTTATGCCTCCAAGTGGCTCTCTCTCTCTCTCTCTAAAGATGTCAAGGTGTATGTGGATGAATATATGTATATGTCAAGATGCATGTGGGTGATTATGTTATGTCTTCTTCTTTCCATGTGTCGATCGTTGACTGTGACGTTGACGTGGCAGCTGAAGACGTTGACTAGTCGACAAGGAATCTGGCGGCTACGTCGGCCGACGGGGATACGACATGGGTTGTGGATTTTCGTCGAATCAAACCCGTTGCCAATGGGTCAGGTTCAAGGCGGCGATGATATTTTACGGAAATTAGAGATAAAAAGCTCGGATTTTTAATAAGAAGTAGTGGTGGGAGCGTGGTGTTTTGGGTTATCCGCCGCCTTCTCCGGCGAGAAAGTTACCATTTTTATAATAAAAATGGGGGGGTGGGGGGCGGCGGGGGAGTTCGCGTCCGGGGGGGGTCAGGGAGGGAGGAAGAGGACGCCTTGGCGGTGGATCCTACACGAAGACCTACCCACCCCCCTCCATCTTCTTCCTCCTCCGTAGGTCGTCATCTCCATTGCATCCCTCGCTCGACTATTCACTGCGATTTCCGCTTCTGGTTGGAGGAGGAGGAGGAGGAGCAGGAGGGAGAAGATGTGCCCTCTGAGGCTGATCCTGATCTTCCTCTCAGCCACGCTCGCCGGATTCTTCGTGCTTCGGGGGCTCAACTCGCGGGCGGCGGAGGACGGCGGCGAGGCGGCGGCAGAGGGATCCGCCGCCGGCGGAACCCTGCCGGAGGAGGAGGAGACTCTCTGTGGCAAGGTAGGGAAGGACGATCCGGCAAGCTCTCCCCCTCCGGAACTCTCTGATTGGCTTCGATTTTGGCAGATCCGGTCGGCAATGCGGTCTGGTTTCTGGACGTTCGTGGACATGGCTAGCGGGCGATATCTGTGGCGGAGCTTTGTCCCCGAGAAGAGATGCTGATCCGAGGAGGAAGAAGAAGAAGAAGAAGAAGAAGAAGAAGAAGAAGTCCATTCCACCTTCGTCCCTTCGTTCCTTCTTCTTCCTGCCTACTGTTCACCGCTGTAGCGGCTGCGGATCTGGCAGAAGGTTTCTCCCTGCTCCGTCCTCTCCTGCCAGAACTATTCTTCCCCGAAATGTGGGGAATCCCCGTGTCTCCAAGCTCTGAAGAACCCATTAAGAGCATCGGCGGCGAAGAACTCTGCTCCAATCTAGGTTCCCCCCCTGCTAGATCAGTGCGGCAGGATCGTCCGTGTTATTCGGAAGAAAAAATAAAAGCTTTGCCGTTCTCAGCTCGCCTCCGCGAATCGGGTTGATATCGAAGTAGGCGGCGGCGCCGGCCGGCGCGCGGCGGCGGTACCGTGTCTCCGGGGAGTGGGTGGGAGACAAACACGTGGACAGGTGCGGCCATTTTCCAAAAAGGTTCGGTCACTGACCACCCTATGCGTGCTATTTTCATAAGTCATTAGAGCTATCCATACAAAGCGTCCCACTTTCTAATGTTAAGATATTTGAATGTGATAAATAAGGACAAGGCCCAGAGCCCGGTGTTTCGGGCTCACTCTCGGGCTTTTCCCCGGAGACTGCATCATTTCTCCCAAGTCAACGAAGACTGATATTTTAGGACAAGATTAGATAACACAATCTCCTAGATTTGAGGAAATCACAGAGAGAGAAGCAGTAGATTAAGAGCAAGCGGGCTGATCTTGCTGCGGCAGGTCCTCGCCCTGCCATGCCCAGACGATGTCCTTGAGGGAGGGGCGGATGGACTGGTTCCACAGCCTCTGGTACTCCAGCGTGTCGCCGCTGGTCTTCTTCATCTCCACCAGGTGGAAGTTGGGGGTGACCTCGAAGATCTCGGTGGCGATGGCGATGGCGCCCTTCTTCCCCTCCTTGCGGCTCTCCATCTGCATGACCCCTCCACCCTTCTTCTTCAGCTTCAGCTTCAGGGCCTTCGCCATGGCCTCCAGCTTGGAGATGACGATCGAGGCCGGCTGCTTCGAGACGAACCGGGCCTCCCGCCGCCCGTCGGCCTCCTCGAACAGCCCCGAGAGGTCGAACCCCTGCGACAGGGAGATGATGTCGAAGGCGTTCGCCGGTTTCACCACCTCGCCGCCGTCTGCAACTCCGGCGGGCTCCTTCTTCTTAACCGCCTCCCTCTTCCCCTCCGCCACCTCTCCGCTGTCTGCGCGAAGACCAGCTTCATTCTCTGCAACTCCGGCGGGCTCCTTCTTCTTAACCGCCTCCCTCTTCCCCTCCGCCACCTCTCCGCTGTCTGCGCGAAGACCAGCTTCATTCTCTGCAACTTCGGCGGGCTTGATCTTCTTCTTCTTCTTCTCCTCGCCGAAGTTCTTCAAGAACCAGGAGCTCTCCATGATCCTCACCGTGGAGATCCGGGAAGCCGGGTCGGGGTCGAGGATCTTGGACAGCAGCCGGCGAACGTCGGAGGGGAACCAGCTGGGGAACTTGAACTCGGCCCTCCTGATCTTCCTGTACATTTCCATCAGATTAGAATCGTGGAAGGGAAGATACCCCGAGAGGAGGACGAACAGGATCACCCCGCAGGACCAGACGTCGGCCATGGCGCCGTCGTAGCCGATCCTCTGTATCACCTCCGGGGCGACGTACGCCGGCGTGCCGCAGGTAGTGTGGAGCAGACCGTCCTGTCTCTTGGACTCTGCGAGGGCACTCAGGCCGAAATCAGAGACCTTCAGGTTGCCATTCTCGTCCAGGAGCAGGTTCTCTGGTTTGAGGTCCCTGTGGTAGACTCCCCGGCTATGGCAGAAGTCCACTGCGCTTATCAGCTGCCGGAAGAACTTGTGGACCACTTCCTCCTTGAGCCGGCCCTTGGCCACCCTGCTGAACAGCTCCCCGCCCTTCACGTACTCCATGACGAAGAAGATCTTCCCCTTGGTGGCCATGACTTCGTGCAGCTGGACGATGTTGGGGTGCCTGACGAGCCTCATCACGGAGATCTCCCTCTTGATCTGATCCATCATTCCTACTTTCAGCACCTTTTCCTTGTCGATCACCTTGATTGCGACGCTCTGCGAGGTCTTGAGGTCCCTCGCATGGTAGACCTTGGCGAAGGTCCCCTGCCCCAGCAACCTCCCCTGTTCGTACTTATGCAGCAAGATGTTGCCCTTCTCCTCCATCCACCCACCAGAAAAAAATTGAAAATTTCTTCTGTATTTTTTGTTCAGCTCAGGTCAACCTCCTTCGGAATAGTCACCCGTTGACGCTGCCGCCGCTCTCCTCGAACTCAAGGACCCATTGCGGGGCCGTTGACCTGCCACTGTTACGGAGAACAGCGTCTCAGCTGGCTCGATTGCATAGTAGAGGGGAGTCTCAAAATTGACGCACATCTTTCTGCATTCCCTGACATATAAGACAAAGAGTCTCTGCTCAGAAAGCTGCAGAAGATGGGGACAGTGATAATCAGTTACAGCCATAATATATCAAATAAAGTCAACGAAATGGTTCTTGAATAATTTTTAAATGAACAGCTGACGGATGTTGACTATCCGCCCAATCATCATTCTCCGAATTCAGAGATAACTCCGACGAGAGGGCCAGCATCGAAGTGTTGCTGCAGCTTTTCCGGAAAACATGGGGATTTGCAGTCGTTCGAGTTCTTTTGGGGAGGGAGAGAAAAAAAAAATGGGGAATCAAGAAAAGAAAAGAAAAGTTCGACGAGTATTATCATCAACATGATACAGCTTTCAGCCCAGCCGCAGTCTCCGCGAGGGTACAAAGCCAGCCAATACAGAAGAAGTTCATTCGCTTAGATTTTTCTCCGGAAATAATACATGAAATGATTGAAAAGATCATTCATCTTCCTAAATCATTATAATGCCCTTGGAATCTGTGAGTGTAATGACTAATTATTTCATTAGGTTTCTCGATATTTTTCTTTTTATATGAGGCATGGAAAAGGAATATAAACCTGGATTTATTATCGGAGTTTTTTTCTGATTGATGCAATTGGATTTATTCTTCATGCATCCATTTCTAGAAATCTAATAGAGATGATTTTAATATAACCATCAAGATGGCATATGACGAAATCAAAAAAATATTTTAAAATTTAAATTATTAAATCATTTTCAAAGGCTACAAAGGAAGTATAAATCCAAGCATCGGCCTGGATTACTACACTTTTTTCTCTAAACTAGAGAGAGTTCGTGAGAACAGGAGGCAAAATTCCCAAAAAGAAATCAGGAACGGAGTTTGCATGAACACCACCTCTTGACGAGCGCGAAAATTTTCCTTGTGATTCTATTTTTTTTTTCTAAAAACCACCATAAGGAGTGAACTTCCAACTCAAGATCAGAGGCACAACGAGAGGGAGGGACGGAGGGAGAGAGAGAGAGATCAGAAGAAGAACAAGAACAAGATCAATACATCAAATTATCCTACCACGGACACTTCCCATCGAAATTTCACGAGGGAAACAAACCAAACCGGAATAGCAGTGTACCTCACGTCGGGAGTAACAGCGCGCCGCGAGGAACCCCAGAAGAAGCGTTCAAAGAGGAGATCCCAAAACGGGGATTTCGGCAGAAAAGGGGGGGAAGGAGAAATCTCAGAATATGCTGTCGAACGAACCAAACCCTATCCGCCAGCCTCCGCCTGCAACCCCATCCACGGCCCTCTCCCTTCTTCCTATTCTGGGAGCCTCGTCGCCGCCGTATTATTATTCCGCGGCTTTTTAAAATAGCAGAAAAAAAGAAAGATCCCCCGCGAATGGGCCCACCCAGCGCGGCTTGCCGACGTAATGGATATGAGCGACTCCCACGTGGCACTGGGGCCCGCCTGCTCTAAAGCGTTAATTCGCTTTTTCGCGAGGAAATCGTGCTTTTCCATTAAAAATCCGTTAATCAGGTGAGCCTAATCGTATGACCGGTCCAGTCAGCATCCGACAAGTCGTTCGATGATGTCCGACCAGTACTTTCGACAAACTTGTGGGCCCCGCATTTGTCCCACGCCGAAATTAACGATTCGGGAAGCAGGTGCCTCTGTCAAATCAGCTGCTGGTTCTCAGTCGAGCACGTGTAGAGAGTGAAAACACAAGAACGAGAGACAGAGCGAGCTAGTAACGTGCAATGGATGGTGACATCATGTCACGGGCTTATCATAATGGGCCAACGCATTTCCAAGCCCATCTACACCAAGAGCCCCCCACTACAAAACAGAGCGAGAGAGAGAAAGAGGGCTTGATTTTTCGGGCCCAAGGTCGGAGAAGGAACAGGTCAGATCGGACCGGGCTTATCCGGCCCGTAAGGTCCTCTCCATGCATGCATATACTAAGAACATTAAAGTTTATTTTGGGTATTTTCTTATTTATAAAAGGGAAAAAAATAAAAAAAGCAGCATATAATTTATGGCATAAAAGGAACACGTTCAAAACTTGTATTTACAAATCAAACTCGCTTCATAAACAGAAAACTCTGATATATTATGGCATATTTTTTTAATATAATATTATTATAATAACCATTGTTATCATATTTTTGCAATTTTTCAGCAATTTTTTAAGGAGTGAAATCCCTATCGATGGGGGGATCGCCCCGGAGAGAGACTAGGCCTGAAACTTGTCAAACTCCACTGTCACAGAGAGAGAGAGAGAGAGAGAGAGAGAAGGAAACAATCTGCCCAGAGGATCGAGGAACAAAATCGGGGAGGGGGGAGAAGGGGGTGAGGGGTGCTGTCAGTACCTGATCCCCTTGGCGACCTCGAAGAAGTGGGCGACGTTCTCCTCGGGGGTGCCGACGACGATCCCATGGCCGAGATTGAGGATGTGCTTGTGGGATCCGGCCTTGGCCACCGTGTCCATTATCCTCGCGGTGATGAACTCCTTCGAGCCGAAGAGAACACCGGGATCCACGTTCCCCTGCACCGCCACCTCCGGCCCTAGCCGCCGCCGTCCCTCCGCCATGTCCACCGTCCAATCCAAGCTCACGACGTCGACGCCAGTGAGGCGGAACCGCTCCAGCAGCCCGCCGGAGCCGCTGGCGTAGAGGATCAGCGGCAGGGACGGGTGGCTCTGCCGGACCTGGTCCACGATCTGCTTCAGGTAGGGCAAGCTGAACTCCTCGAAGTCCACCGGACTGAGCTCCGTCGCCCACGAGTCGAAGATCTGCACCGCCTGCGCGCCGCTGTCGGCCTGATAGCCGATGTACCGGGCCATGGAGTCGGCGAACTTCGCCAGCAGCGCGTGCAGCACCTGCGGAGATGATGCACACAGCGGTGAGATCTCTCAAAATCGGTCGAAGATGGTGGTGATGACGGTGGTGGTGTTGGTGGTGCACCTTGGGTTGAGAGAAGGCAAGGTTCTTGATCTTGGAGAAGTGCTTCGAGGAGCCGCCTTCAACGACGTAGGAAGCCAGAGTGAAGGGGGCCCCCACGAATCCCAGGACCGCCGCCTCGTTGTTTACCTGGGTCAAAGTCAATGACGCAAGTCAACGTGGTTATAGTTTCCGCAACTCTCTCTCTCTCTCTCTCTCTCTCTCTCTCTCTCTCATTGGACCAGGCTGAGGCCCGTAAGACCAGACCCAGGATTCATATGGCCTAGAGAATTTAACTGACTCACCTTTTTTTCTTTTTTGAGGAAGAAACCAGTTCGTCAACCATGTTCTTACCCCATTAGGAAGCAAGAATCTAATCAATTAGCACTAAGAAGCAGGAGCTGATCCCCACCCATATAAAGTAAGGAAGGGAGGATCCATACAAACCTCGGCCCGCAAGATTCTGAGAGCCTCGCCGACATATGGGACCGACTCCTCGGGAACAAAGTCCCTCACTTGGTCAACGTCAGCAGCTTCCCTCAGCGGGTTGTGGATTATGGGCCCCTTCCCTTTGACGATGTCAAACGGTATGTTCATCCCGGAGAGAGGAGTGAGGATGTCTGAGAACAAGATGACCTGCCAAAGAATGCAGCACGAGCACATAATAAGTCAGCATGGTTGGTCCAAATCATGCAAAAAATAAATGAAGAATCTAGTATTAATAACTTAGCCAAGGTATCTCAAGTTCATCAATATTCAGAATTTTCTGAAATTTCCATTGATTAATTAATTATTAGCATAAATAATCCAAAATCATTCCATGCGTAGAAAGATTAATTAAAAACTAATAAATTTTACGAAAAAAACACCGGGTCTGTTCTTCCTCAGTAACCAAGAACAGTCAAGTTAATTTCATACAAGATAGGAAATGGATAGAAAGAAATGGGTGCCCAATACGAATCAGACGAAATGTTCTCGATATTCTAAAGATGGAAAGAAGGAAATCTCACTCCGTCGGGCTTGAAAACCTTCCATGGTTGGAGAGAGATTTCGACCACCAGATCAAGATTTTCCGATCTCTCACGGAATGAAGTGTATTTCTCACAGAGTGTTCGATAGCTCTGAAAACAGAGAGCAGTAAACTGTGTGAGCGCATACAAGTTCACCACGAATCTGAAGTATCTAGACAGAGTGGCAAACCACATCCAATCTGTTGAATAAAATCATAACACTGCTGAAGATAAAAAAAAAAAAGCATTTCCACCCTGTTATTACAACAAAAAAAATATTCTAAATATAAAAAAAGACTAAAACCAAGGGAATTCTAGTTGAAATGGCAAGTTGCCATTGGCTTAGGAGTACATGAACTACATACACCAGGGAGATGAATCTGATTTTGAATTGATGAAAGGATGCAATGTTCTGGAGCACAGTTTCAGAAAATAAGATGAATAAAGAAAAATTTCAAGAAGCAATGACCCGAAAGTCTTCATAAGTAGTATTAAAGGGTAGAGAACCGAGGCTAAAATATAAATCAAGTGATGCTAAGTTTGGCAAAATAAAAAAATCAAAAAAATGAAGAAGTTACTGAACCTGCATGTACCTCCCCGCTTGCCTCATCAACCAGACTGGGGGTCTTTCTATTTTTTCTCCATTCACTGCCTTTAGCAGCAGGGGCGCATCTACAGAAGAAACCTTTGGCTCCATCACGAGTTCTGGACAACAATGTCAAAGGTAAACGATCTAAAGCTTAACTATTATCAGACAAAAACAATCTAGAAACACTTTCAGAGTTATCTGGAAGCGTCTGAGAGAGTCTTCTCGCCCAATGGCACTTACAGAATGAACACATGAAGTATGAGAAATTCAACGAAACAGCTGATCAAGAACACATCAAATCTTACTACGATTGTGCAAAATGTCAATGATAAGAAATCATCATAATCTATGAACATCGACAACCCTTTTCCTGATACATCACTAGAACTAGATCTCTTTAGTGGATGGCAGAAAAGAAGATTTAGGATCGAGAAATTCCAAGAGCCAGACAGGAGAGCCATCTAAAATAATTGATCAGCATGATGAGCTGGGACTAATGGTCGAGTGACGAAGAGCCATACACTGAAAATGGCTGAACTACCTGAAACACAACCATGTTTCTAGTTGATGCTCTTACATCGGCAAAAGGGATTGAGTGACCTTACCTGGGGACTGGTAAGTCAACGGAAGCAAGTAAAGGGAGAGTAGAATAACGAGTAAGATACAGATAATTTTTTCCCCTTGAGATTAAGCTATGGAATAAAAATAAAAGGGCTGACAGTGCGTGGCAGAACTGGGCTCAACCGAGGAAGAAGATGCGAAGATTGTGCAATCAGGAAACAAGTTCCATGGTACCAGATTTGGCACATAAGCGCTTCAAATACTTGCATACATTTTTTGGTAGCCAAGTACTCTCCACAGTGGAATATAGAAAAGATATATAGGCTCCACTACTCTCCTTCATCTGATTAGGGACGAAAAACCCTACCCTACCATACCATCACAGCAAATAGAACAGAATAGCTGGAGGTTAATTCACAGAATGTCCTCGAACACTCTTCCTAAATTGCCTTCACACAGACCATACTAACACTCGAGCGCATATGCTTCAAACCACGGAAGGCGCCCTGAGGTAAACGACGAAATCGACAAACCCGACGGCGCATTACCTCCAACGGTGCAGCGGACCTGGAGCGGCTTCGACCTGGACGGCGAAACAGGCACAGATCTCGGCAAAATCCGAGGGGAACTGAGACCGAGGGTGCTGCACGCGCACGCCATCTTCGACCCTTTTTCCCAATTCCAGCAAGGAGGAACACTCGAAAATCCCCGAACTTGCCCCCTTCAGACCAGCACGAAAAGAGAGATAAGCCCCAACTACTCAAAGTCAACGCCTAATCCGGCGCCCTCCACAGCCGTGCCCAAGGGACAGTGGGGAATTGCAGAGTTCAGAGCCCGACCCTTGGTCAGGAGGAACAGGAGGGAAATCCCCGAACGTTATCCTGCTTATCCTTTTCACCTCCGTGAACGAGTGCTCTATTGGACACTAACTCTGGCTTGTGGGACCATCCGGCTGGTTTCCAACTGGATCAGCTTTGGTCCACTGTGCTCACCGGAGAGCCCAGCCCATGATCTCGTTTTCTTTTCTGCTTAAAGAAGAAGACATTCAACATCGAGGTGAGGAAGGAGGTCAAGATATTATGTAAGGCTCTCTTTCTCTTTTTATTCTTCTGCTTTAAAAGAGATATGGCATGTCAATTCGTTGTGATTCTTCACTTGTATACAAATTTGTCATCTCTACTATTTTCGGCACATCCATATTTAATGGGTAACACATTTGATATTTATCTTGTGTTATATTTTATAATATTTGGTTTAGAAATTAAATGACAATCTAAATTTTAATTTTTTAAAATCTGATCTAAAGATTAACTTTGGTACATGATAGAAGAGAGTGAAGTCAATCATTATACAATAATGACTTCACAAATCTCTTTAGGGAAATAAAAAGATAGAAAAATTAAGTGATGATGATATAAATACATTATATTTAAAAGCTATTAATAAAATTTAGTTATGTTTGATTGATAAGATAATGCTTGGCATTAATTAAATGGATTTTGCTACATATGTCAAAATATTTTACAAATGAACTTTTATATCACAACTTTATAGTCTTTAGGCTAATGCAGAGAATATAAGATCAAACTATTAATAATATCTCATTATTAACTTAGTCTTATCACCAATGAGTAACTAACTTAGATGGCAAAGACAATTTTACCATCAACAACATTAGAGGTACACCTTTTACATGTGCTGAAAGTTTGATGGTAGAAAGTTTGGGCCAAGAAAGAGGATGTTAGAAAAATAAAATTATGATTTTTTTTTATTTAAGTCCAATTAAAAAGGTAAAGAGAAATATCACTATTTCAAATAAGGTTATTGAAAATAAATTGTCCAAATTTTCAATAGAAATCTTAAGGCAAAAACTAGTTGTGAAAGTTAATGTTATTTTTTGTTTAGGAAAAGGAGATGTTCAAACAATCTATTCTAGTATAGATTAAGCTCATATATGATTTCTTGATTACTATCCTATGTGTCCATTTCGGGTTTGGGTTGATAGTTATATGTCTTATGATAGAGGTAGAGTTATTATGAATAATAATATTGATTGTATAATTAAATATAACAAATAGTCAAAATTTGGATAAATGTGAGACATATACCTAAATAAAAAGTTTCATCTCCTTAGGTACAATTGATGCCTATTTTTTTTGTGTAAAATTTTACAAAGTTTAATTTTGTGAATTATGTGTTATTCATAAATAGTCAAAGACTAAATTTGTTATTTTTACTAACAAAAGTGAGAAAATTTTGGTGTGTGCATTCAAACATCTAGGATGTACCTCTAGTCATTTCATATGGAGTAACTCGATATTTTTTCAGATTTATTAATTAAATTTTCAAAAAAAATATGGTTCATTTTTTGAAGTCCATGTCAAGGTGTTTTATGCATTTATGTATTAAAAAGCTAAAATTTAAACATACAAAAAAATGATAATTTAATGTAGTGATGAATAGTGTAGCATGAGACTACTTGCACAATTTTTAAAGTAATTTTAGGTAAAGTCAATTAACATGACATATTATTTAGTGAATTCATCAATTGATACGTCATTGGGACTCAAGACATCAAAGCAAGTTTTGTCTTTTAAACCAATGTATTATTCTAATCTACATATGTTCAGATATCATGTTTGTGTCTGAATACAAGATATTGAGAGTATAAAACTAGACAATAAGTCAAAGTAATGTATTTTTTTAGGATTTGAAGATGATATCAATAGTTGTAAGTTATGTAATCTAACAACTCATAATATATAACTTAGTAGAAATGTTATATTTGATGAAATATTTATTAATCTTCTTGGTTTTGATGAAATTGAATTTTGATTTATATGTTTAATACATAATTGATATAAAATTAATGTTCCATACATTCAACAATCTGACCATGTTCATCACATATTAAAATTTTAATATAATCATTTTGGTTTTAGTTCTAAAGTTTAAATCCAAGGTTTTCAGCCTTGAGATTAAGTTGTTTTTTGTCATAAAAATACTTGACACCAAATGAAGATAGTTTTACAAATAAAAGTGTATTATGTCATATATAACATAATCTATATTATATTTATGATAATCCAACCATTGTGCTGTAGTATTCATTTATTCCATATTATTTTTAAAATTATTAGATAGGTTCTTCACGTTATTATGAGCATCAAATTAAAAAAATAAAGAATTTATCTAAGATTTATTTTTGAAAATTTTATCTCGATGTTGACACACCAAACAAGTACATGAATAGAAATTGAAGTGAAATCAAATGATTTAGAGCTGACGAGAACGCTAAGTCTCCATAAAATTTTAAAGTTCCAACTCAAATTGAATTCAAAAGACTATAAAAATTGGAAACCACCAAAGATTAGAAGGTTGACATATTGAAACCACATATTTTAGCAAATAAAAAGACTTTAATTGATCATTGGAACATTAGATATCTGAAAAAAATAAGAAATTAGTATAAAATGAAAGTCTACTTATAATATAAGATATCTATGTTGAAAAGTAACTAATATAGTAAGAAATTGAGTGCTCTTCATCAATATCTTTACATTGCACACTTCAATGATGAGTGAACTATAATATCTTCTCTATTAGCTTGATCTGAAAATCAAATACTTGTGTAACTAGATTCAATACTCTCTATCATTGACACTAAGATAATAGGGTTATGAAGAAATGATAGTTTTAATGAAAGCACATGATGCCTTTAGCCTTATTTGTCTTGAGGCTCATGTAATGAAAGATCAATATAGAGACAAACTTGAAATTTAGGTCACTAATTTTGTTAAGTTTACTATGTATTCCTAATGACAATTTTCAAATATGAGAGATAAATTCTTATAGGACTAAAGTAGTAAGGTGAGGAACAAACTAGTATAAATGTTTCCTTTATGAAAGAGTGTTGAAAAGTTTAACAACTATGAACAACTTTTGTTTGCACGTATCAACATATGCATCTTGTTTATTGACACAAAAAAACTAATTCATCATGTGTCAATATATAGATCAACATGTGTAATAAATCAACTTAGAATTGAAATTTTGACATAAATTTTAAAAACCATAATTCATCCCCTCTTTTCGTGTTTTAGTTGCTAAGTTTTTGGCCTACACTGTGACCAAAAAAAGGGGAGGGGTCGAATTGATCTTGATTTGATGTTTCTTTCTAAATCATTTATTATGTCACATACTAGGTTTTGACTACATATTAACTTTTATCTTTTGACTTAATATTTTCTTCTCCTCACAAAATTTATAGTGGTTTAACACACTACTTATGTCTACTCTTCATGAACACTAGTCTTCTTGGGTTCTACTTTCTTAAATAATTTGATCACACCTACTGATTGTTGGGATCAACTTCCACAAAATTTCACCAGAAATTTTATTCTAAATTCACAACTCTAGAAGGTTCACCGCTATTCACAAAATAGCTCCCAAAATAAATATATAATATTTATTTATGCTCAGAATAAATATGAGAAGACTTCACCATGAGTTTTCTTTCAATTATAAGTTGAATGTTAATGCTCTGAATATTCGACAAAGAAGAGACAACTGATTGTCGGTTAAATGATGCACTCTTCTTGTTGTAATGTCAGTCAAGTATTGAATGTTCTACATCTTTGGTTCAACTAACAAGGCTCTTCAATATCACATAGATTCTCTTTATATTAATTGTGTTGAATCTTCTCACTCCACACATTTAACCTTCTTAGAACCTTGTATTTCTTCTAGAAAATCTCCTAATTGTTCTAAAGCAACTAGAAAGAGATTCTTTAACCAAAAGGAATTCAGTTTCGATGTAGGATACCCATCTAGAACAGTCTCACTTTCAAATACCAAAAGGAAAATGTTACTTTTTCTTGTAATATATATATATATATATATATATATATCAAAGAGAAATATAGTCATCGTTATTTTTCCATTGCCATTAAGAGATATTTATGTGTATATTTGTACATTAAATCTTCTAAGACCTTCATAGATTTTTTAATGTCTCCTTGTACTTAAAATAAGATAAATTCAAATAGTTGTGTGAGATCAATACAACATATCTGTACCATGAATCAAGTATTCTTGAATAAACTAATACGTGTATCCTTTATTAATTAGCATACCAAATCTCCTCATTTTGCTTCCATATCAAAAGTGTGGCGAAGAAATATTCATGATGAACCCTTACATGAATGAATTATGATTGCATTATAATAAATCATAGTTCATGATTCTCTAATGTTCAACCACATTCATATGTTTAACATTCGTGGTTACGAATATAATCATTCATTATGATTGATTCCAAGATATGACATGTCATTCTTCATATATTTAAAATATTATAACTGATGTGAACATCTAATAGAGTATGACTTTCATTGCACTCTCATCATATGCAGCATCTAACAAAGGATCATCTCATGGATAAGATAGTATACATATGATTCATACTTTATGCCTTGTACTAATGTTCTTATGTTTATCGATTCGTAATATGTTTTACAAGCATATTCATGTAATAAATTGAAGTGTGTCATGAAATATTTGCATGCATGTATATGCTCAATACATGCATTCATCATCTTTAAACATAATCATGATTGTGTATTTTACTTATCATTATGCATCTCCTCAAAACACTTATGATTGTATCTAGACATTTATGTATAAGCCAATCTTATCTAAATCTGTTTGTCACCATCAAAATGTTTCTTATATGAGATTCTAACATCAGGTAGTCATATAACTCCAACAAAATTAATATTGAAGAAAATATAATATACTATTTCTAATGAGAACTTGAATTAATGTGAAGTTGAATGAAAAGACAAAAACTAATAAAAATTTAGATAATTATTCATATCATGTTGATTGTTCTATACTAACTAAATCATAAAGATATTTACTCTATTACTTCAAGACATTAAAAAATAAAAGTCAATATATTAATAGGTTTCTCTTATACAATGAATTAAAATTTTCTTGTTATCTCTTTAAACCTATAACATTATATGACTATATTGAGAATAAGGACATTATAAAATAGAGAACTACTACATAATAATAGATGAATCTTCAAAATAGTGAAACTTGTGAATTAATCAAAATTCTCAAGTTCAAGAAGTCAATTAGTTGTAAGTGGGAGTACAAGAGAAAAGAAGCTTTTTCGAGAATAGAACTAACCAAATATTATACTTTTTAAAATCAAAAATACTTGAGTGAATGAAAGGTATCAACTTTAATAAAATTTTATCACCAATGGTGAAGCATTATTTGATAGCAATTATGCTTACTACAATAGCTATGTGAGATTTTTAATTGGAGCAGTTTGACATAAACATTACATATTTATGTAGAAATTTAGATGGAGAGATCTAACTTACCTACTACACTCTTTAAGAAGCATGTCCTTGGGTTTCATTAAATAATTAGTGAAATATATGATATTTAAGTTTATGTCACATTACATCTCTAGTTAACTCATAATTCACTCATATACCTTCTTCTAAATTCATGCCTTTATGGGTTTTGAGAAGAGAGAGAGAGTTATTCAAGTTAATAATTACCTTTCAAAATAAATCGACAATGTGAATAGCTTAACATTCACATTTTATTCAACTACAAATTTTTTAGAGGCTTGATTCCTCTAATTTCTTGTTGTGGAAATGTAGGTGTAGTATATAGTTGGATGGTTTGAGCAGTAGTTGATCTTTTTTTTTACTAGGTGCTCAAGGATGAAGAATTCTTGTTTAAACTGGTTGGAGTAAGAAGATAAGCATGGAAGTTCTCTCTTCTCTTTCTCTCTCTCCCTCAAATTACAAACTCCAAAATTGCAAATATGGCATAAACAACAATCTAGATCATCTAAATATATAATTATATTATTTTAGTGTGTTACCAATTTACTTTTTCATATTTTTCTATCATAAAAATAACATAGAGTTCTAAAGCCGACTAACTTCTTAGTGATTTTTCATTAACATATAATGTTGCCATCTATATTATCTTGCTTTTGATATTTTGAGGGTCACATTCATAGCGCATAACACATTTGCAGTTTGTCTTCCATTCTGCTTTTACGAAGACATAAGAGTACTTGGGTTGCTCGGCATGGTCAAAGTCAAGTCTGGAGTGTGATGATCATGGCAGATTTTGAGCCCTGACAATAGACGCTCTGATTTAGGGTAGATGGTCGTCACCGACTATATACCATAGCCAAAACTAAATGATAAAAAATAGGGACCACGCGGCTCTTGATTCACATCATATTAAACTAATAACGCTACGAATATGCTAGAAAGAGGGTCCCAACCGAATTTACGCCTTCATTCACCCGCCCAAAGGAAGTCGATCCAAATCTAAACACCGGGGGCGGCGCCGCCGGCGTTGGAATCCCCGGCGGAGCCCCTGGACAGGCCTTGGATCCCCCCCTTTCATAGTCTGTGCACGTTCCATAACGGGCTTCTTCGTCTCCTTCTTCTTCCTCTTCTTCAAGGTATGTAGAGCTTGCCGCCGCACTTGCACCGCCAGGCTTCCGGGTAGTACTCGGCGATCACGGGGCGCCCCGGCGGGACAGCCACGTGAACTGGCTTGCACGGAGTGCAGACGCCGCACTTGGACACGCAGCGAGGAGGGTACGACCCGGGCCCCACCGAGTAGCTCCACGTCGCCGCCGCTGCGGCCACCGACGTCGTCGTCGTTGTCCCTGCCGGTCTCTTCCTCCTCCCCCGCCGCCGCCTCCTCCACCAACTGGGCTTCGCCGTTTCACCCGCCGTCTCCGGCGGCGGGCGTGGATGAAGCGGGACGCCGGAGAGGACGACGGCGACCGGTGGCTGAGGGAGAGAGGTTCCTGGGTTCGGGGAATTCCGTCTTTCTGCATTGGAGAGGGAATACCGGGAGAGAGAAACAAGGTTTCCTTTTTCAAGAAAACTGAGTGAGTCTGATGATGACGATGGTTCTGGAAATGAGGTGTACTTAGGATAAGGGAGGGGACTCTCACCTGGGCCGACGGCGGCGCCGCCAGTGAGCAGAGCGCAGAGGGAGAAGAAACAGAAGGAGAGGCGGAGCAGGCTCCTCCCCCGTCTCCACCTCCCCTTCCTCCCTCCGCTGACAAGGTCCATGAAGGCGACCCGCACCGCGGCCTCGAGATCTCAGACACTCGTCCTCTCTCTCTCTCTCTCTCCTCCCCACACTTCCCTGTGAGCCCCTCCGCCCCCTAAATCCCTGTCTCCGCTGCTGCCTCCTCAGATCTCGCTCGCCGCCGCTTCGAAGAGGACAAGCTCGGGATTCAACAAGTCATGTGAAGCCCTGCTTTCAGCGAATCTCACTGCATCTCCTCTCCCTTCCTCCTTCCTCCCCCGCAATCTCTCTCTCTTTCTCTCTCTCTTCAGGAGAGAGAAAGTGGAGGGCGTAGCTCGGAAGACGGATCGAGAGAATCGTATGGCCGCCCCCGTGTTCCAGGGGGGTGGCGTCCAATCGATGGCGGGGGTGCTGGCTCAGCCGGCAAAGTGGAGCGGTGGACCCCGTTCTTCTTTATCCAGCTCGACGAGTCAGAGTCTTTCTTGAACTCGAGCTCGTGAAGCTCGCCCTCAGAGGCCCAGTCCCCCTCGCTCGAGAGCCCCCCCCCCCGTGGCAGCTAAGCTGTTCGCCACCCCCGATGCTTCTCACTGTCACACACACACAGAGATAGAGAGAAAGAAAGAGAGCGAGCGAGAGAGCGAGAGAGAGAGAGGAACCTGGCGGCCACCTCCTTCGCCAGTTTGAGAGTCAACGGGCTTGGCCCGGGTGGGAGCTGGCCCGTCTCCAGACAAAAGCCCGATGAATAATCTAGAGAGAGAGTGAGAGAGCGAGAGAGCGAGGGAGGAGTTATGACACCACGCGATGGATCATTCGTACCATAAGAAATAATTAACAGATAATTAGATTTTTCTTCTTTTGAGCCAGACGATCTGGAGCACGAGGGTCAAACCAGATGAATCAAAATGAGCCATATATTCAAGATATAACGAGGTTGTATGATAATAAAATTCATAGGCTGCCCATCTCCTGATCTTCTCGTGTGTTAGGTAAGAAATAAAAAAATGCGGCCTTTACACACCACTGGGAGCAATGGAGATAGTAAGTAAGCAAACGAGGAGCCCCACCGGCGGCAACCCCGGCGGCGCCACCGCACGCCGGAGATGTCCCGTGCCGGCGCGGCGTCGCCCGAATGTGAGGGGGCCCTGCGGCGGCTCCGGCTACGGCGGAGCTCGGCTTGTTCCGTAGCCGTTGTAAGCTTCTCCGGCAGAGAACCTTATCCCTTTACAGGCCCTGGTGGCGCCGGCGGCCGCAGGGGAGCGGCGCCCTGTTCACTGATGGCCACGTCTCATCGCCGGCGGCAGCAGACGAACGCCCGGCCCCACCGCCGTCAGACCTCCCAAAAGGAGGCCGGTTTTTGGGAAGCTTTCCCTTCCACGTGCCGCGGGGTTTCACGTATACGTACGTATTTACGTACTTTTAGGGGTTCCCCGCACGTGTGGGTACTTTTCACGCGATTTAAAAATAAAAAATGCAAGAATATTTATATACACGTGTCCAGGGAGTCTAAGTTGGGCCTGGTAGAACCTTGGGCCGACGTAAGGGCCCAATGTGAAGCCCATAAAGAAAGTTGATCCCGGTCGGGGGCCAGAAACTTATAGCCCATTCGCTCACTCTCTCGCTCTCTCTCTCTCTCTCTCTCTCTCTCTCTCACGTCAGAATGTTCGACCCATGATCACGTAGCTTATTTTATTACTTGGCTAGTAATCTCCCTAGCCCATTATCTTCATAGGCCCAAAATCGGGCCCATTTCGTTCCCGGGCAAGGATGCTTCCAAAGCAGGCCCATAATTTGACAAACCCAGAAAAGGCTTACAGGATACTATTTTTGGGGAGTGCTGCATTAAACGAGAGTCCGTTTCCATTTCTGTTAAGAAATTCGTGTAAGGAAAAAAAACACTTCTACAGGTTATCCTTTACCATTTACGGGGGACGACTCCCAGATGGAGGACGGGCATTAATGGGTCAAAGTATCCCTTTGAGAGGAGTGGACCCCACAGGGGGTTGGCAGCTCCTTTTGACCTTGTAAGAGCCGATAAAGCACCACGCGGGCCTTTTGTTAAAGGATATTCGGATATCGGTTGTTTTCTAGAACTAATAAGGTGGGAATTTTCATTACCCAATCTAGAAAGCTTTATCTGAAGCGGCAAGAAGGCGGCGACAGCACGGCATTCCACGCTGGCGAACTGTGCGGGCAATTGGATCGGAGAGGAAGAGAGGATATCGCCAGTTGGACAGCCACGTGGCTTATACTCTGGTCACCTGAGATTAGACAATTTAATTTAAGTAATAAAGTTGTATTTTTAAAAAAATGTGTCTAATTTGAGGAATATTCCAGGGTGTGGGATTGACGGATCCACAGCTTCGTGATTCGGATAAGGGGCCCACATTTCCACCTGTCCACTATCCGGGACCGGAGAAGCGGGGCGCACAAGGGTACCTGGTGTGGCCGTTCCACCACGTCATCAAATACGGTGGTCCGTTTCCGGAGGAAGGCCGACCGGCCCAATATCCGCCCCTCTGGCCATAGATGGGCCGGTAAGTGGGCCCCTCCCTGAGATTAAATTTAACTTGGGCCGGGCGAAGAGGCCTCGACGTGGATCAGGTCCGTCCAGGCTGTCGGTCGTCGTCTGCGCTGTGAAACATGACGGATTGCTAACGCATTTTGTCGAACTGGTTACGTTCAAGGGGACCTGGAAGAGGCGATGTGGGGAGGAGACGAGTAACTGGGGATAGGGGGAGGAGGATGACGATGGCAGGCAGAGCTCTCTCACACAGGACCATTGAGGTGAGGTGCCCATCAGTCAGTTCGTACCTCCACGGCTTTCTCTCTCTTGTTCTCTTCGTCCAAGGTGGGCCCACCTCTCTCTCTCTCTCTCTCTCTGTCTCTCGTCGTCCTTTCTCCCTCTTCTTATTTAGCCGTCCCCCCTCTACAGTCCCCACAGACCAGACGAGAGTGAGGAAGAAGAGGAGGATCATTGGAGCCCAGAGCTGTCTAGATTGACGAAGAAACGGATCTCTCTCGCTCTCTCGCTCTCTCTCTGTTGGCTTCTTCTTCCTTCTCTTCCTTTGTTTCCTCTTCTGGTGTTCTTGTATGGGGAACCACAAGTTCAGGATGGCCGACATGATGCCCAATGCATGGTTCTACAAGCTCAAGGACATGAGCAAGGGGGGTAGGAAAGTCAACCCTCCGCCGCCAAGGCCGACGGTGGAAGCGCAGCAGCCCTACCAGCCGGGGAGAAGCTCCTACTACATCCCTAGCCAGCAGGAGCTTCTCCCCAATACTCCGGTCAACCCCAGAGTCTCCCACACCCATTTTCCCCTCGACCCACCGCGGAAATCCAAGAAGACACGCCGGGGGACTAGCAGGCCCTCTAGCAGGTTCCTGACGTCCGTCTCCAGCGACGAGAACGGCGGTGAAGTCCCCTTCTCCGACAAGCTTATCGTCTCAGAAAGCTACGACCACTGCGGCTCCAGCGGCGACTCCTCCGCCGCCGGAAAGCCCAACGAGGAGGAAGATTTGTCAAGGCCCCCCCCGGTCCGCCTCCCTCCAATTCTCACAAAACCCCCCAGGAAAGGAGACGACAGGAAGATCCGCTCCCCCTCCTTCAGGAGATCTCCTGACGGTGTTCAAGGTCTGAGGATGCGGCTCAGCTCTCCGAGGCTGGCCACCAAGAACATCCAAGCCCAGCGGGGCAGGAGGTCTGCGGCATCGGCGGCGTCCGCGGCGTCGGCGGGGGGTTCGGCCCCGAGGAAGTGCCTCACCCAGAGCTTCGCCGTGGTGAAGTTCTCCTCCGACCCTCAGAGGGACTTCCGAGATTCCATGGAGGAGATGATCGCAGAGAACAACATCAACTCCTCCAAAGACCTGGAGGATCTCCTCGCCTGCTACCTCTCCCTCAACTCCAACGAGTACCACGATGTCATCGTCAAGGCCTTCGAGCAAATCTGGTCAGATCTCACTGACCGCAGACGCCATGAATCTCACAAGCCGAGACACTGCAGATAATTCCTCTTCACTGTTGGATTTGTCAGTTCCTGTTTTACGTCTTCTTCCTCATCTTCCTCTTCACCCCCACTGATAATCACGCTGAACAAGCATAGTATATGCTCATAGAGTAGATTATTTCTCTTCTTTCAGATCCCGTGTAAAAAAAATTCCCCTTTTGTCTCCCTGAATGCAAAGAACAAATAGAAAATACGTCAGTATATACGTGTAATGTCGTTCTGTGGAAGGGAACAAGCGTCCAGGGTTTACGGACAGAGGGCCAAGAATTCCCTCGTTTTCAACGAACCAAACAGTGAAATGAAAGTTGGAATCTGTAACCGCGGTCATTCCTAGTCCTATAATATAGATTCTCCCATTGGAGAAGATATAACCTGCCTCGAAAGTTAGAGATCCATCAAACTAGGGGGCATCAGACTGCAGTCACTATTCTCATTTTTAACTCGACTGTGGGTAGTTCAATCCAAAACTCCGCGGTCATATTTTCCCCAGCGCGAATCTCTCTCAGAACCCAGATTCCGTCCCGTGATCTTCTTCTCCGAGGAGGAAGAACGGCGAGATTAGCTTAGAGATGGAATCATTTCGAGCTGAGATCGCGATCGAAGTTCTCGTGGGGTGGGGAGGATAGGGGGTGGCCCGTATGGGCTTGGACAGTTCGCTGTCATGGACGGTGGCCGTCGTCTTTCCCCTCGTCTGCCCTACATCGTCTCTTTTCATACGGCGTTCGGTGGGCCGAAGCTGATGAACCCAGCCTCGTGTTAGTAGCACGCTCCATTGACGTCGACAGCACGGAGGATTTGGGAATGATTATCGGGCTTGAAGGTGAGCGAGCTCTCTACTAACTCCGGCTCCTCCCCGCCGGGGGAACTCTAGGAAGGCGCCTGACCCATTTATTTACCGCGTCTTCTCTCCGACTCTGACGGCGAGGTTCAAACAAGGGTAGATGGCATCATCGCAGGAGAGTCCCAAGGTTTCAGTTTCGTTCTCTTGTTCCCTGAGATGACGACGATCTCTCTCTTTGTCTCTCTGTATACACGTATCTCCCTCTCTATACCTCTGGCTGTCTCTCTATCTCTCTCTATGTTTCATCTATTCATCCATCTTTCTCACATTTCTACCTCGGTCTATTCCCTACCTCTCTGCTGCCCGCCTCTCTCTCTCTCTCTCCCCCACCCCCCCTCTCCCGCATCTCTTCTTATTCCACTGCTTCTTCTACGTCCCAGATACAGATACCAATGACCGTGGAAGGATTTGGATCTATGGGGGAACGCGCTGACGAATGAGTGGCAGCTGCTCCTGGAACGCTCCGAGTTCATCACAAGTGAGGGAATTGATTGCTCATAAATACGATGGATGAAGAGGGCGGTGAAGGCCCCCGGAAGAGCAACCTCGCTGGATGGGGAAGCCGCGACCCCTTGCTCCTCCCAAACCCCTTTTCTTCTTCTGGGGAGGGCGAAGAGGAGATCGCCATTAAACTCCCCAAGTATGCGAGGGTTTGGTCCGATAACACTCCCTTTGGCGTTGTCTTGGCGAGTGCATCTCTAGATTATCTGGTTTAGGTGAAGCATTTCAGTGAGGGTTTTCTCCATATTTTTTCCATTTGTCATCTCTGAGGAAATAATCCTTCTGAGGTTCTCTTCCGAAGTCGATCTACGTTATCTAATTCCGAACGGTGCGTGCTAGAGAAAAGGAGATAGAAGGGAGGGGGGGAGAGGGAGAGGGGAAGGGGAGAGAGGAGAGAGGAGAGAGGTGAGAGGTGAGAGGCAGAGAGAGAGTTCTCCATGATTCGTTTGATTTGGCAACTCCTAGAAGACACCCTTCTGGTCCTGTACTCTCCACCGTAGATCTAAACAATCTAATTTTCGATAGCGAGAGAGAGAGAGAGAGAGAGAGAGAGAGAGAAACTGTATACACCGTTCTCTCCCCTACATTTCAACAACCCTCACTCTCTCTCTCTCTCTCTCTCTCCCTCAGATTTTCGAGGGAAGAGGTCTCCCCTCTCGTCTGGAGGCGCTGAATATCCGCGTCACAAGTGAGAGGAGAACTCCTCCGAGCGACGTCAAGTGGGCGTCGGAGGATGCCGCCGGCGACAAACCTGGCAAACAGCCGCCAAGATCATTGGTCGGATCAGGCTTTGGACATTAAAAACTGTTCCGCGGGGTCGCAGCCGCCGGCGATGATGAGATGGGACATCCTCCCTCCGCCCCGCCGCCCCCTCTTTCCGGCAAGTGGCCGCATTCAATATAAAACTAAAAAAGTTCAAACTATAGAGATCGAACCCCATTTATTGCTCCTTGTCCTAACGTTGTCATATTGGAGAGGAAGGGGGAGAGAGGGCTTGGGCCGGTCATCGGACCCAAGGGACAAGGGCTCGGGCCCGGTGCGGCCAGACCGGGGCCCACCTGGCGCGGCCAGGAGGGGATTTTCTCAGGGTGGCGGGGCCGCGGGGGGGACGAGGCTGGCCTCTGGCGCGTGCCACGTGGAGGGCTCTGGCTCCGTGTAGCCCGGGACACACGACAACACGCACGTGAGCTTGAAGGTCCTCTAAACCGTGTATTATGTCGGGAGAGTTGTCTACTTGCGGGCCGAGTCAACAGTGTTCCGCGCCTGCCCCTCTCTCTCTCTCTCTCTCTCTCTCTCTCTCTCTCTCTCTCTCTCCCGGAAGGAAGAGGTAATACGTTACTTCATTACATATCTCGGCAGCTTTTATAGATAAGATAGATAAAGCCAGGCTGTGATGGAGAAGACGACTCTCTCTCTCTCTCTCTCTCTCCCCCCCTCTCTCTATATATATTTTATGTGTGGAAGAAAGAACTAACTTGATAAATGATGTCCACTGTATATCCACTACCTGAGGCAGATGCGTGGATTTACCCTGACCATTGGATACTCTATAAGATCGCCTACACTCTGCACCGGAGAAAACGACTCTCTCTCTCTCTCTCTCGCTCTCCATATATAACTATATATGTATTTAAGTCAATGTGAATAAAGAAACAGAATGGTAATAAATCCGACCAGATTATACAGATGTCTAGATATTGCCGGGTTTAGGATTGTCCATAGATCGCCTACATTCTACTATGGAGAAAATTACTCTCTCTCTCTCGACGTATAAATAATAATAATAAATATAAGATAAAATAAAGAAAACAATTAATATATAAAAAGAAGATATGTGGATAACAGCACTTAGATGTTGAGATGGTGAATATGCCATCAACCTTGTAGCCCATGTAGGCACGTAGCCATGCACGGGCATTAGGATGGTCCTTGGGCGTCATTCCTACATTCTTCATTGCGTCAGTGTAGGATGGTCCAAAGTGCAGTTCGTTCCTACATTCTTCACCAGAGAAAACGATTGACGCGTGTAGCGTCGTCTGTCGCCCTAGATACTTGGCGCCGTTATCCGTTTGGATTGTGGGATTTTGAAATCTGCGGTGCCGAAGATCCGGCATGGGTAGGGTGGGGGGCCGCAGTACGGACGATGGAGGCTGCACTGTTGATGAACATGCCATTGGTACAACCTGTAGCCTTTTCATTAATTGACCAAACTATCGTGGGAAATAGGAGAATTCTCTTCAACGAAACCGTATTATCATGCCTTATTTAGCATGCTCTGAATAAAATGTTTGGGAATTAAATAATCTTCGACCCGATAATCTACATGGATCAAAATCCAGACCAGGGTCGGGGTTAGGGTTTCTGGACGGGGATACCCTCCGCCGTGGCCGAGAGCCCTCCTCGTCTTTTAGGGTTTTGATCGATGGTGGGATCGCAGACCGAGAGGAGATCCCGTGGAGAATCAGATCTCCATAGCGATCAGAAGATCTCAGTTGGGGCCATGCAGCTTGCAGACCCACAGATATTATTGCCTGGCCGTATCCGGGTCACTGGAGATGAAGATGATATCTCCGGCAACTGCTCCATTGGCGATCCGGGCTCCAACCGTCATCTCCACGAGAACCTTCAACTCCGAGGACCACCTAATCTCGTCTTATTCCCAGATGAGAGATGCCAGATTTCGCACCTCTCCTCGTCTCCTTCCCGGAAGCCTTTCCGCTGGACTCTGTCGGCACTTCTCCACCTAACTGGCTTCATGCGGTCGGTGGTGAACGTCTCTATATGTTACAGGCGATAGCAGAGGAGGAAGACAAGATCGGTGAGCGTGCTGCGCGTGCAACCAGACCGCTAATTCTCCCTCTTTCTAACTCTCTCTCTCTCTCTCGCTTTCTATATCTCTCTCTCACTCTCTCTCTTTCTCCTCCTAACTCTCTTTCTCTCTCTCTCTCTCCTTCTATCTCTCTCTGTTTCTAACTCTCCTCTCTCCTCACGGTGAACCGAAGTGAGAAGGAAGCCGATGAGGGTGCGGTTCTGTGGATAGAAGTAGTCCAGGAGTTGTGGGGAAGGGGGGTGGGGGTGGGGGTTGAAGGGAGATGGAGTTTCTGTGGGAGACGGGTGGAAGGGGGACCTTCACGTGGTATCTCCTCGGGGAGGGACGGAGGGAGGACAGGAGACCGGCGACCTGCGGCGTCCAAAGGCAGTGAATATTTTTATACGAGTAGAAGGACCACCTTCATGATTGCATGCTCGATAAGTTGCAGTAGTCGAATTAATTTAAGCCAAGCAAGTAAAATATACATGCAAATTTATGGTGATCTTCGTCACATAACCTTCATTTGACCCATGGCCATTTTCCCCTTTATTTAGTAAATAGTCAAATGATTTTTACTAAAAATAGAAGTTGCATGTTACTTGCCATGGTTATAAGGTTCCAAATTATATTTATCGATTATAATGAATACCTCTGAAATTCCAATTTAAATATGTAGATAAAATATGGGCGCTAACTACCAACAACTTGATGGTCTACCACCTGCCCACCTCGGAGTTGGAGTCGTAAATGGGATCTATCTGGGCATGGTTGACGCATCGACTGAGTCAAGCCCAGATGTCTAAAGCCCCTCTGCTTGACACATGGCCACTCTACTATCACCGCCGTGGCGGGTCCTCTCTCTCTCTATAGGGCTGATGTTGAGGGTCGAGCCGGACCGGGCTTCATAGGCTCACTCCGACAGAGCTCGGCGTTGTCCGGCGGGCCCAGCCCAGCTCACCGCCCCGTCTTCCTCGGCTTCACTGGGAAGAGGAGAGAGAAAGAGTGGGAGAGAGAGAGAGAGAGACGTCACCTTGTTCGCCTCCCGTTATAACTGGTGTTCCCACGAAGGAGCTGTTCTTATCTCGAGTCGCGAATGAGACAGCCCAGGAATGGCGGCCGAAAGTCGGCGGCGGCGGCATCTCGCTGTGCGAAGAGGGCGGGGCGTGGTGTTCTCCCCGGAGCTCCCCATCCACAGCCGTCCAATCGGTGGACCCATCTCCACCATGCAGCCTACGTACCTCCCCTGCACTCTACTTAATGGGTTATCGTAAACCTATCGAAGGAAAAACCGTGGCGGTCGGTCCTCTGCCCGTCAGGGCCCTTTATTTCCCTTTGTTAATTAGACGACATCTACTTCAATCTATGCGTATATATATATATATTATTTATTCGACTGCGTATATAAAGACACATGTGAGTGATTCCTCGCGCATTAAGAGATGGTCCTCGGGCCGCATTGATGCCACCATTGACACATTCCTTTCCATGGCTACGCGGGCAGCCCGAAAACCAGCGAGGGCATACCGTCCCATGTGACGGTCGATACCGAGCTCCTGCCTCGACAGTGACGGCTAGAGAGAGAGAGAGAGAGAGAGAAGGGGGAGGGGGAGACAGAGACGGAGAGGGGAAGAGAGAGGAAGGGAGGGAGAGAGAGAAAGAGAGAAAAGAGGATTAAGCCATTGAATGGGACTAATAGAAAAGAAGAACCGTCGGTGAGGAAGAACAGTGTTGTCGACCGTTTCCGCCCGGCCAGTCGGGCATTTAATGAGAAAACGGCCCGCCATGCACCGGCCATCTCAGTTGTTGGGGAATCGGCATCGTGTCACGTAGGACCAGGCGTCCGCTAGAATGTTTCTCTTCTTCTTCTTCTTCTTCTTCGGTATCTTCTCCTCATTGCCTTGTCTCTCTAGAAGTGTGACGGTAGGCAGTATCTGGTGGGACATCAGGCCCGTCCCCCACACAACCTCCCCTTCCCCACATCAATTCGAAAGGCGTTGGGTATTCACCTCCTAACTCGTCCCAGCACGTGAACATCTGTCCTCAGTGCGTGTAAATGATTGTTTTATACAGATACGATATATGTGGGGTGAAGAAATGATCCGAGGAAACTCTCTCTCTCTCTCTCTCTCTCTCTCTCTCTCTCTCTCTCTCTCTCTCTCTCTCTCTCTCTCTCTCTCTCTCTCTCTCTCTCTCTCTCTCTCTCTCTCTCTCTCTCTCTCTCCCCCCACTCTATCTCTCTCTCTCTCTCTCTCTCTCTCTCTCTCTCTCTCTCTCTCTCTCTCTCTCTCTCTCCTCTCTCTGCTCTCCCCACTCTATCTCTCTCTCCCCCTCTCTCTCCCCACTCTATCTCTCTCTCTCTCTCTCTCTCTCTCTCTCTCTCTCTCTCTCTCTCTCTCTCTCTCTCTCTCTCTCTCTCTCTCTCTCTACTCTCTCTCCCTCCTCTCTCTATCTCTCTCTATCTCTCTCTCTCTCTCGCTCTCCCCACTCTATCTCTCTCTCTCCCTCCCTCTCTATCTCTCTCTCTCTCTATCTCTCTCTCTCTCTCTCTCTCTTTTCTCTCTCTCTCTCTCTCTCTCTCTCTCTCTCTCTCTATCTATCTATCTATCTATCTATCTCCCCCTCTCTCTCCCTCTATCTCCTTCTCTCTCTCTCCCCCCCTCTCTATCTCCTTCTCTCTCTATTCCCCCCTCTCTATCTCCCCCTATCTATCTCCCTCTCTCTCTCTCTTCCCCTCTCTCTCTCTCTCTAGCAGGTGAACATTTCCTGGCTCGGCCTGGTCCGGTAGCAACCCTAATCCACAGCACGTCTTCATCTTTCCCTGTCTTCGATTTATCTTATGAATCCCGAAACAAAAACCTTAGGTTGGAAATATGCGAAAAATGATGACCTACGAAACTTGATTGGTGAGATACTAACTTTATTCGAATTAGATGACGTCTAGCATGGTTATTGATTCGTCAACATAGTTCATAAATCTTCATAACGATAGATGTATAAACACGTGACGGAGCAGTGTTAGGTGCGACGTCAATGGATGAGAACAATGGGAGATCATGGCACCGGGGAGGGGGACCGCCGGCCGAGTTGTCTGAAATTCTGCCAAGTTCAATGCGTAGGATTAAGTAAACCAATATTCGATGTAAATTAGGGGCGATAACGGGCCGGTAAAAGCCCCTAGCCCGGCCCGGCGCTTATTTGAGATAAGCCCGGATCCGAAGTCAAGGGCCTGTATTTATGGTCACATGGCTCTCTCTCTCTCTCTCTCTCTCTCTATCCTTCCATCTTAATAAGGATGCATGGGAAGGTCCGGGTAGGGTGTTGACCATAGTCCATTTTCGGGCTTTTATCTACGAGTAGCCTGGTTCGGGTCCTACGAAAGATGTCTTGGCTCGGTAAGTTCATTTAAAGGCCATTTAAAACTATTTTTAATGAAGGCATCCCCCTTCCACATATGTCCGGGGGTGCCAACGGGCCGGGCTGGGTTTGAGTTGATAAGCCCGGGCCCGGACCAGTAAAGACAAAGGGCGAGGTGGGCTTTTGACTCTATTGAGGGCTTGGTAGAACCTATCCTAACCCCCCAATATTTATTGTTTGACTAATATTAGGTGCAATAATTAATAAATTTTAGTCAGTTTTCATGTATTCGTTCTTTAATAAATATATCTTTGCAATGCAAATTACGCATCGATTTTTTTATATCCTGATATTAAATTAATTAATTCATTAGTGCGTTATGAAGAATGGCCCAACGTAAAGCCGAAGCGAAATTCCATCTCTACTCCACCCACGTTTGCCTCCTCCTTGATTGGTACGAAGAGAAGGGGGAGAGAGGGACGAGGAGAGAAAGAGACGGGAAGAGAGAGAGAGAGAGAGAGAGAGAGAGAGAGAGAGAGAGAACTGAGGAGACAAAGAGACGGAAAGAAAGAGAGAGAGGGAGAAAGAGTGGGGGAGAGAGGGATGAGGAGAGAAAAAGACGTGAAGAGAGAGAGAGGGATAAATGAGGAGACAAAGAGATGGAAAGAAAGAGAGAGGGAGAAAGAGCGGGGGAGAGAGGGATGAGGAGAGAAAGAGACGGGAAGAGACAGGGAAGAGGGGAGGAGGGAGAAAGAGTGGGGAAGAGAGGGTGAGGCGAGAAAGAGACAGAGAGAGAGGGGGAAGAGGGGAGGAGGGAGAGAGAGTGGGGGAGAGAGGGATGAGGAGAGAAAGAGACGGAGAGAGAGAGGGAAGAGGAGAGGAGGGAGAGAAAGTGGGGGAGAGAGGGATGAGGAGAGAAAGAGACGGAGAGAGAGAGGGAAGAGGAGAGGAGGGAGAGAAAGTGGGGGAGAGAGGGATGAGGAGAGAAAGAGATGGAGAGAGAGAGGGAAGAGGGGAGGAGGGAGAGAGAGAGGGATGAGGAGAGAAAGAGACGGAGAAAGAGAGAGAGAGAGAGAGAGAGAGAGAGAGAGAGAGAGAGAGAGAGAGAGAGAGAGAGAGGAAGAAATAGACGGAAAGAAGGGGAGAGGGAGACGGAGGGAGGGAGGGTAGACAGGGATGGAGAGAAGGAGGGAAACAGATGAGGAGGGCGAGGAGAGGAAGAGAGGGCAGGAGACAGATGATGAGAGAAAGAGAGAAAGAGGGATGCAGCAAACGAGAGACGCACGGAGGAGGCGAGAGAGAGAGAGAGAGAGGGACGAAGAGCGGAGCAGAGGAAGGGACACCGAGAGAGTCGGGGGGGTTCCCATCTGGCTAACGGACGGAATATATTGTATGAACAGTGGGCGGGTGGCGAGTCATGGCAGGCGTCGACCTCAGCGTTGTCTTAGACGACAGTTGACGGGGCGCCGTCCGCAATAATGCCTCAAGAAAGACACCGAACGAGCTGAACTACCACCGTGGCGTCTCCATCTCACCGGACCGCCCACCTCCTGTGAGACCACTCTGCTCTCTCTTATCCAACCCAGGCGGCCTCCCTTACAGCCTCTCCACTCCTTAGTACACATCATGTACACACTTACATAGAGAGGGAGAAAGAGAGAGGGGAGAGAGAGAGAGAGAGAGAGAGAGAGAGAGAGGGGGGGGGGGAGACATGCACGGAAAGAAACTCCAGAGCACGGACGCACTGTTGTGTTTCGTTGCTCACTGCATCGCTCTCTCTAACATTTGCTTCGTCCTCTCTCTCCCTCTCTGAGACGAGTAGATGCTGCAGTACCCCATCCATCGTTCCTCAGCCGACAAGCCGGAATCTCATCGTAGCTGCCAGGCGGGTAGTATTAGTCTGCGCTTCTAATTATCCTGAGAGAGAGAGAGAGAGAGAAGGAACTGGGCCGAGGTAAGAGGCCCATAAGGCCCAACTGGGAATATACCCAAAAGTTAACTGGCTCATGATCCCCCGAGTCCGCGTCAAATCTTCAGTTTTATTTAAAACAAGGTTTAATAAAGATATTTACATGTTTAAAAGGCTATCGTGAATCATTCTACGGCAAATTTCAGTAGCCACGGCGATGGAAGGGCCCATTGGACGCCTTTGGTTGGTTGCAGAATCCTTATTGGGCCACATGTTGGGCTTGATAGCCCGAGAAACCTCCCACTACTGGGTAGCGGCCCAATTAGATATCCTTCTGTAGTCCGAAGAGCATAATATCGGCCCATAGCCCATCTGTGTAGATAATGGGCCCATTTAGTGGGAGAATCGGACAACGATGCTCAGCCGTCCGATGAGGATCGTAGGTTAATTTTTAGGGAGTACATATATATAATTATATTAAAGGTTAAATATCATATTTTGAAACTATCAAAGGTGGGGATGCCTTCGCCTAGTTCTGTCGTCGCGGAGTATCGTATCCCCTCCTTCCTGTGTTCTGTTCGGTCTCCTCTACCGGCTGCCGTCTGCGATGGCCCGAGGCCGCCGCCATCCACTCCATGGAGCTCTGCTGATCGCCTTCTTTCTCCGTGTTTCCCTCGCATACCGGCCAGGGGACATCGTTCCGATGAGCAAGGCCGGCCAGTACCACGCGGTGAGGCCTCTCTATCTGCGGCGAAACCCTACCTTCATCCCTCGATCCGGCCATTTGGATTGATTTCTCCGTGAATCGAATCTTTCAGTCGAGAACCGTCTGGGAGGATGTGATCGGCCGCAACTGCCCCATGTTCGCGGTCAATCGCGAGGTTCGGTGCTCGGATCCGCGTCTCCTCGACCTCCTCTTCCTGCCGTCGAGGACTGGCCTGACCTATTGGCTTCATATTTCAGGCTCTGATTCCGATTCAGAAACCTATTGGCTTCACTGGCGCGGATCCTTACAAAATGTATGTCGCTCCTCCTGATTTCTGATAGCCACCAGGCCTCTTATTTTCTACCTTGTTTTATTTTTTGCTCATTTTCTGAAAAAGATGACGCATCCCGAGTTCTAGAGATCTCTTAAAGCATGCAGCCATTGATTCAACCCTAGATGAAATGCTGAAGTATAATCTGATCAGTAGGTCAATGATCGTAGGGTTTACGTTCCCAAAGAAGCGTAGCTATCATATTGGAGTTAAGCATCCATGCTCTGTCAATGAATGTGTGTGCTGGTTGATTAGGACTCTACTGAAAACATCAGGAACCCTTGACCTTCATTGAATAGGATGCTGAAAGTTTCTTCACTAGGTAAAATAAATGACAAAACCGTACATCCTTTGGGTGATTTCAGGTTGATCACTTGGGGATTTCATTGAATATACCTTTAGACTGATACCGCATGCTTTAGAGGATGCAACTAATTGCAGAGAAGGAGAGGAAAACGTCGGCATGCCATGGGCAAATTATGAAGGAGGTATTATTATTATTATTATTGTTATTATTATTATTATTATTATTATTTTATGACTATTATTATTCTTGGGGCCATTACGAATCCTTTGGTAGTTTGGCTTTATTCAACCTTATCAATTGTCTATGGATGCCATACCTTGGATAAGAAATCAGACACAAAAGCCGAATTAAAGTTATGGCAAGCCTCTGGCACCTTGGAAGAGCTCCTTTGAACAGTGTGTTGCGGTTCTCCATTCATCCAATTCATCCAATTCTATTGAAGCATTGAAATCCCAAGTTCCACTCGTTCAAGCGTTTTTTTTTAAATATGGTTGACTTCATTGGACTTGGCTAAGTTTTTCAACATTGAGATTCATGAATGATCCTTCACGAGTAGACTTTGTAGCCTTCCCTTGCTACTGCTGAGTTAGTCAAATGAAACGAGGTCAATGCATCCATCCAAACTTGTTTTCGTCTTGCACGGTTTAGTGGCAGATTTTTGTTCGTTCAATTACATGGGTCGCATGCTTGGTTTCGCTAGATTTCTTCAGAATCTTCGCTGGGTATATCTTTCAGTCTGAGTTATGATTTCTGTGCAGATCATTTCAAGTCGGTCATGAGAAGTTTCTTATTCCCTGGCTTTTTGTGATAAATCGAAAGAGCGAAGAGGTTCCAATGATCGATGTGCAACTGGTAAAAGCTTACCTCATTTCTTTAACAATATTTTCTTTCTACGAGTTAACTTGAGTTTTAACTCCGAAGCTTTGTTGTGGCTGTGCGATGCTTATCAGAGGTACTCAGGCAATGATCTACATGGTGTCACAGCGAAAGTTGTGGATATGCCTCATCATTGTACGTAATTTTGATTTTTTTTTAATTTTTTTTTTGCTTTCTTATTTCTTACTCCCCATTCTTTCCTATCTGTGCGCTATTGTTTATACAGAAAAAATACGTTTTTTTTTTTTCCAAGTTTCTGTCATGTTCTGGTCATCAGGCATAAGTGGGCAAATGTGAGCAGAACACCAAGAGAGAATTCCTTCTCACTTTCTTGTTCAAACTAGGGTTAGGTGTGTCTGTGTCTGTGTGCTCTAGTTCAACTATGATTGATGGCTGCCCTACACTATTGATGTATGCTTTAATCATATATATTTCAGACATCGAAATCCACCCAGACATAAAGAAGCAATTCTGGACTCCAGATCACTGGCCGAAGCATGTTCTCATTAGATACACCTGGTGGGTATCTCCCAATTTTCTCTCTTCTCGAAATATATCCTCCAAAAGCTGAGATGCGAAAGGGTGTGGATCTTGGCAGGGTGGAGAAGTCTGAAGTGGATGTCATCGCAGGGTTCTATGTCCTATTCGGATCAGGTAACATTCCCTGCTCTTTGGCCGAATCAAATCTTCCTATTATTGTTGTGTGTGCCCATATTCCACCAAGAGCTAGTCACTGCTATTGGCGGAATCAAAACTCTGGGATTTATATGGTTCCATTTGGGCAAACCAGGGCTGATGCTGTCGTTCATCCTCGCCATCTATGTTCTACAGTCTTCTCAGGACAAGATAGCCAGGTAGATATACATACGACACACTTCTCTACCTATTTCATTCTGAGGACCACGGCGGGATCAGGGGTTGGGTGTCCGGTTGAGTCACTCGGTTCTGGCTTCTTTTCAGGTTCGTCAGAGAGACCGTTGCAGAGAGCAGCGGCATGCCCGGCGTGGGAGGGGTGGCCAAGGTCGAGTGAGGAGGGGGCAACCCGGAAGGCAAAGCCAAGCTTTCTTCTCTAAATGTAGGTTGGATTTGTGACCTTGGTTTGGGCGGGTTCTGCCCCCATAGTTTTCTACTAGAAACCGCATCCTGGTCTTGCTTAGGGGTCAGTTCTCGTCCTAAGAAGAATATAGAGCTATGCGAAGAATAGAAAGCAAGCAGACCATGACGACTTAATCACATACCGCATCTTATCATATCGGTGAGGCCAACTAAGCGACTGCCGATCTCGCCCGGTTAAGGCTCAGATATCTGAAAAAGCTACAGCTCGATCAGTAAGGCGAGGTGTGCCAGCAAGCAGTAAAATCAGAGTCTTTAAGTCATATTACCTTCGTCAGATCGCCCAGAGAATCCGAAAAATATCAGAAAAAAAGGGATTGATTGGCAAAATGAAGAAGCTTGGTCTTTCTTTCTAGTGCCGCCCATCTGGGTACAGGGTTGGTTGATTTGTAGACATTGTGAGGGAAACACGGCATCTTTGACGACTACGAGGATGGTAGCCTTCAACCAAAGAGAAATAATCGCCTTCCCCCTCGAAGATGTTGATCTATGCTTTCGTCGACACACCCATTGTCAAAGAAATAGCGATGGATGCAACGCCTTTCGAAAGCAGCATATATCACCAGGAATGAGATGGCATCTAACACTGCTAGCGAGCATGACAAACAAGGTGGTCGTGTAGAAAGCAGCAGTTGGCAGAGTGAAAAAATATCCGTTGTCATGGAAACAAGTCGCGATTTGCTCGAGGGTTAGAGAAAATGGGGCAATGAACTGGTGGAGGGCAATAATAAGCAATTAAAAAAAAAACATAATAAGTGCATATCCTTCAGTTCCGGAGACCAGCTTGGGGCATCGCAAGCCTGCTAGAGATTGACATTGTTAACGTCTCAGTTAGATGAATGTACTTGATCTTACCGGACGGACGCAATGGAGAACCTTGATCTTGACGCTCTTCAACCTCACAGGATATTTGCTGCAAGCGCTGTGCATATAGAAAAGCACCAAACCACCGAGTCTTCTTTCCGAGTGATGTAGCAAGCTATTTGGAATGATAATTAATCGAAGATGACTACTCCTGTGAAGGAATAGGCGAAAATAAGGGCTTAAGGAGTCATAAAGAGACGTAATCTGTAATTATCTGGCCGTTACCCTGGCTCTAAAACGGAGAGGTAGCTGGCGGTTCTTCCTCTCAGTATGAGAGCTCACCCTCTCCGCGAGAGAGTGGATCGCGCATGAAACACACCGTTGTACATTGGCATAAAGTTTCGGAAGCACGTAATCATAACCACAGGATGGCATTTTTAAGCGGAAAAAACATAAACCAAATCAGGAGAAAAAATAAATCCAGGACATCGTCCCTAGTGGTGGTTCGCCCAACGATGTTCCTCAAAGGTCCTCTTGATGATCGTGCCTTGCAAAATCAAACGTAACAGACTCAGAAAAAAATAAAATGAATCCTCCGTTTCTGATAGTCCTGCGCTCCGGAACCAAACAGCACGAGGGAGCCATCTAAGAGCCAAACACAACACCATGAAAAATCCGAGGAGTGTACAACATGAGAATGAAAATCCGAGGATCTTCGGTCAGCATTTCACGCAATCGTAGCAGGCAACGAACAGGAAGTCTCCGCCCCCGTGTCTAAGGCGACATCCAGTCCTGCGCCTGAAAGTCCGCAAGCAGCACAAATGGACCAGTTACATCGACGGGAAAACAGCGACAGCAAGATCCTCTAAAGCGAAAGGAACTGCAGACCGAGCACGCACCAACACAACGGACCGAGATTCCGCACCATCGCAGCCGAGATCGATCACCCTTAGGGACCCCCTCTCGTCCTCACCACTAGGGTTTTGGGATACGTAGTCTGGAACCTTCTACAACCATGCGAACAGCCGCATCAGAAACTTGGCGGGAATTTATACGCCGGAATGGACAAAAGAGCGTAGTGGGCCAAAGTGGGCCCAAATCTGCCCCAACTCTACTCTCTCTCTCCTCCCCCCCCTCTTCTACCATTCAAATTTCTCCATCTGAACCGTCCGTGAGACTGTCGTATCACACGTGGTCAGTGGAGATTTCGGGGCATCGCAGCGTCATCCGTGTGAATATTTAAAATATAAAAAGCCTGCCTAAAAAGAATCCCTGAAATTAAAAAGACGGAAAATTTGATTTCTTCTCAGAGTTTTTCAAGGAAATGATGAGTAAAAAGAAAATGGAAGGAGGGGGAAATGGGCCTAATTGGGCCTGTGAATCTGATGGGCCTGCTGACGACTATATTCTACTAGTAAGGACATAATAAAACAATAATAAATAATATTATTATCGTCCTTCTACTTACACAAGGCTTCCAATGTGGCGAGCATGGTTTATTAGTGGTTGAGCGGGGTCAAAAGGGACTTGCGACATCCGGGCCCACAAAATAGTTTGACCTCCATCTTCCTGGTTTGACCTCCATCATGGGAAGCGGCAGACATTCTTCGTGACTCTTCCGGCTCCGTGGGTGGGTCCGCAGTAGAATCTCGGGGCCCCTGCCAATCAGGGAAGTGTTTGACTTTTCATGCGTTCAGATCCTTGTCTGATCTCCACCCCGGGGCCCGGGGGACGACGCCATCGGCGGCGATCTCGGATCCATTTTCAACGCTGATGAGAGGATCGGATTCCGACTCCTGCACCGAAAAAACAGCCGATCCGATTATCATCGTCCATTGACTATGAGCCGGATAATCTAAAGAGAGTCAATATATAACCCTCCAACATAAACGGAGGTTCTTTTTTTCTTTTTATAGAACACATTTAGGATCTTGCCGGGGAAAGTCAAGAAACTTCTTTGCCAGTAAAATCCGACATAAAGGCTGACTTTTGGTACTAGAAGCCTAAGGAAAAAGACATGGGTCTACCAGAGTCAGCTGAGCAGAGGCCTCGTTGACTTTGTGCTGGCTCTCAAGATAGTCAATATATAACCCTCCAACATAAACGCAGGGTTTTTTTCTTCTTTTTATAGAACACATTGAGGATCTTGCCGGGGAAAGCCAGAAGCTTCTTTGCCAGTAAAATCCGCTGACTTTTGGTACCAAAAGCCCAAGAAAAAAGAGATGGGTATACCTGGATCAGCTGAGCAGAGGCCTCGTTGACTTTGTGCTGGTTCTCGATCGAGCAGATGTAAGAATAGAGTATCATCCCGACCATGGCAACCGCGATTCCGAATATATTCCTCCAGCTAAATGGATCATGAAGAAGAACGTAGCCAAAGGCCAGGACCAGGCAGGTCTTCAGATGCCCCAAGACCTGGTAGGTAACTGGCGACGTCTTGCCAATGACAAGGAATGTGCTGAAGTTGACAGACACCGATAATAGGCAGGATAGCACAATGAACGCCTGAAATCGAGAGAGAGAGAGAGAGAGAGAGAGAGAGAGAGAGAGAGAAATTAGGGCTTTTACCCAGAAAAGGTTTGAGAGAAGGGTAAGGAGAGGGTTCCCTTCTTACCAGGACTTGGGGAGTGTAATTGAAGGCGAAGACATTCTGGTTGGTCAAGAGTCCATCAAGAAATGGACCAGAAATGACCAAGACCATGGCCTGGTAAGGGCAAGACTGATACAGCAGCTGGGTAGAGGAGACCTTGAACTTCTTCTGTATTGTGTTGGTCATCTGAGGGCAATCAGTTAAGCTCTCAAACAGTAATAAATAAATGCAACGAAAATTATAAAAAATAAGAGGAGCAGAGAGATTTCCCCCAATTTTTCTTGAAAAAAAGGATACAATTTGCGCGATACAGGTAGTGATCACTGCTAGAAGAGATAGAGTGAAACCCAGAACATTCAGCTGCAGATCTGTGACGGTTGCAATGCCAACACCTAATAGAAGGATCGCAAGGGAGAATTGAATGTTTCGACTGTAGCAATAATGAGAAAAAGATTAGTCAAATATATATATATATTATTGAATGAAATACATGTCACCAGTAGCGGTAAAATCGTTACATCACCGGAAGTGTAAATCATATTTTCTATGAGAAACATGTCATTGAATAAAAAATAAATAAATCGTTGACAAGCCATTGATGAATCCAATGAAGAACGAACAGGAAGCATAAAAGGGGAAAAAATCATATTCAATGGTCATTACCAAATGATGTAGTGACCCAACTAGCAATTCTGCATTTTATTTTTTTTCAAGAACGGAGTAAAGCAGGGAAAGGCATAAGCGCATGGAATACTCAGTGTTTTTCTCCCCTCATTTTTTTTTCAATTTTTAATTGACTTAAATAGCAAAAAGATGCTTGTCATATTTTAAAATGAAAAATAAACTACAATAAGACATTTTTCCTTCTTCCTAAATCCGCTGACTTCCTGACCTAGCTTCACACCGAGTATGAAGACGGGTCAACGGACTTTCATCATCTGGGTCAGCATAAGAAAGAAAAAAAAAGGAGTCCTAAAGGGGAAATCCGGACCTGAATCTCCTCCTGAAGAAAAGAGTCTCCAGTAGAACAGTGCAGGGAATGATCGCCAGCTTTGTCATCTGAAAGCGAATTTGAATAAGTATCCCACATTGATATGATTTATTAAATAAATAAATTCGGCTATCCGTTGGAGTCCAAAAGATGAGAAGTTGATAGAATACCTGATAGAATCCCACCGAGTTGAAACCGAGACTCAAATTTAAAAGCCCAATTGATATTCCGTTGAGAATGCCAAAGCCCATTACCGCTCTTGCATCGAAAGGTTTGTGCTCAAATAATTTCATCCATAGCGCCGTGTGTAGAGAACAGAATGTGACAAGAAGATGCCAACTCGTCAACGTTGTGGCTGCAATGATGGAAAACGAGGTTAGCACGGCAGTGTTTTTGGATAAACATTATCTCATATCTCATTAAAAATGATGACAAGTCAAATCGGAGATCATACGAATTATTTCAGAAAAAAAGAATAGGCAAAAACACACGATTAAATCCACAGAAAAAAAATGCCCACAGGCCTAAAAAAGTTGTAACTTTGTTATGATCGGATAAATTGCAAACATAAGTGCTGTGCTTGTCCTCCAAGATCAACAGTTCTATGAGATCTTAGACTAACCATGATTACTATTTTAAGAAAAAAAAACTATTTCAGACATTCAAAATCAGCATTGTACAACGTACAATTTTTCTTCAGTTCACTGAAAAAGAAAAGTAAAAAATCATCTGATTTGCTTCTGATTCAGCTTTCAATATGACGATGTTTATTGAAAATTGCATGAAATTCTTGTAGAACCCTTAGTTTTCTCTTAGATCAAGGTCCGGGAATCTGTATCCATGTGAATTTGATTATGTTTATAGACGGGCTAGAAATGAAATGACTAAGAACTTGAATGGTTTTACGTCCTCCAACCAGCAGCGACAGAGTGGACAACAGAGGGATTTCAAGAATCGAAGATCGTGAACAGATTTAAATATCAATATCTCTGAACACCATGAACAGGGTGAAAAAAAAATATCCGGGATAGAGAGAAATGGAAAATCAGTGATGAAAACGACCAGTCAAGGCATTAAAATCACCATTCATATTCTGCATAAGAAAACAGCCTCTTGAAAAAAAAAAAAATTCCCACCTCAAATTACGTAGTTCCTGTGATCTAGGGCCACAGAAATATTATCAGAAAATCAGTATCTTCTTCCACACAATCCTAGTCCGAAGAAAACCTGGACAATCCCCATACTAATGTTGCAGACATTCTGCATGAGAGATAATTTTTCCCACCTCAAATTCTATAACCCGTGTGATCTAAGATCACAGAACTGCAACCAGAAAATGTCTCTCATATTATACATGATCTTAGTCTCCGTTCACACGATGCTGCAATCCTCACTGCCATCGATATTCTACATCCTCATCACTCATCGAACGACGATCGAACTAGTCGCATCAGCCAGGGATCGACACCAATTGGAAATATAGAATCCTCTCCTCAGAATATCCTTGCATGACACCACTCAAGCTCATATAGATCATCATCGGAATACTGTGACGACAAAAAAAATAAATAGAAAACAAATAATAAGGTACGAAAGGGAGGATGGGAGGTGTGAGAAATCGCCGTGGCCAGAAGCGATTCAATCAGGAGGACGGAAACAACCGAGCGCAAAGTCAACCAAGCCAGTGGCGAGTAGATCCCTCACCAAACGTGAATCCGAGCGAACTAATCAGCGCCTTGTTGCAGATCACGATGGAGACGGACGATACCACCGACAGGCTCAGCGCCCCGACGGTCCCGAGCTGGAACCCCTCGCCGGTACCCATCCCTTTCCCCTGGGGAACAACAGCCTCTCCCCTCGTCGATCCCAGCCGACGAGAACCTACACCGTCACACCAAATCTCGGGACGCGCACTCCACGTCTCGGCGGAGAGCAGAGGGGAGTAGGGCCCTGAGCACCAACCGCATGTCAGAGGGTCCCGCGGAACCGAGCAGCTGTGATGCTAGGATTTACTGCCGCGTTCAGTATTCCAGAGGGGGAAGACGGGGAATTACAGAGGTGGAAGCCCTAGATCTGTCGGCGACGAGACCAAGCCGCGAGAGCCGGAGGAAACAATGGGGAACGGTAAAGAAAACGCACTCTTCTTCCCTCCCCGTTTTTATGCTGTTGTCGGCGCAGGGTAAGACCAGATTTGCTGCAGCAGGGCTAGTTTGATGATGGGTCGGCAAGCCCTCGATCCAGCCCACCAGGCAATGGAGGAGAAGCCCAGTTGACCTTCCTCGCCAACCTAACGGTCGTTCATGTGCCCCTCTCTCTCTCTCTAAGCACCACCACCTGCGGGGTCAGAGATAACCCTAGAGGAAACCAGCACTAGAGAGAGAGAGAGAGAGAGAGAGAGAGAATGCAGACACCAATCCAGAAGAAAGCACGCCTGAATTCGGAGAAGCCATCGCCATTTCAGAGGCGCCCCAAATGAATAAAAAATACCACCCGCCGCCGGGCCATGAACAAAGAATTCAGATCCCCCACCCAACCCGGTTAGAAGTTGCTGTTGCTCTCGCTTGCAGAGATCGGGGAGCCCTCGGACTTCACCGAAGCCTGAGAGGGGGCCCCCATCAGACCCTGCAACGCCGCCGCAGCCGCGGCGCCGCCTGGGAACTGCATGGGGCCCGGCGGAGGGCGGCGGAGCGCGTACTGCTGCGGCTGCTGCTGCTCGGAGAGCGCGAAGAAGCCGGAGGTCCCGAAGTGCTCGGGCTGAGCCCCGAAGCCCTCCTCCGAGCCGAGCGACTCCCCCGTCGCGATCTTGAGCCTCTCCACCTCCAGCTTCAGTGCCTCGTTCAAAGCTGCCGCCATGCCCACACGAAAACGAAGATCAATGATAGTTTCTAAATTAATCTCCCAGAAGAACATCCGATGTTTCTTAGAGAGCTTGAAGGGTGATTGCACAAGGTAACTACAGTAAGGGGCTTCCTTCCCCTCTTCCATTAACGTATGAACAAAAATATACAGAGCCACAGAGTGGGCAATAAAAGCATATGAAGAAAGACTACGTCGAACCCATGGGATCAAAAGCGTTCTTCTTCGTTCTCATTCGTTCATTGAAGATAAATGAACCCATGTGAAGGTTTTTGCTCGACAATATAACTTTATCGTGACAAAAAATTGAAAATAGGTTTTTATGGTCTAACTCAAGATCAAGAATCAGGGCCAGCGAGTTTCCATCACTCAGAACAAGATAATCGGCTTTCTTAGGGAGGGATACTCAATGAAAGCAGTAATCTAGAAAATATTTCCAGGGTTTCTCTTTGGAGCTTACCATCGCGCAACTGGGCTTGCTGTTCCATCGCCTGCAACTGCATCTTGAGCTCGGCGTTTTCTGTGGTCAATCCTGCTGTGTCTCTCTACAGAGAGGGAGGCAGGGAAGGAGAGAGAAGCAAGGGGATTATGCTTCTTAAATGATAAATGACGAGCAAACTGATAAATGCATCGGTTTTCAAGGCGAAGAAAGGAACTCTTATCCTTTAGAGGAAATTCTGGGAGATGAAGGAAGAAAAGTTAGCATGCAAGTGACTTTATATTGTAGCATGCAAGGCTGGAAGGGGCTACAGCAATCTTAGGTATCAATAGAGCAGCAGCAAAACGAAAATGAAGCAGAGTTTCCCTAAGTTGCAGATCCGAAGCCTAGAAGAAAATCAGCTCCCATGTTCTATATAGATTATATAAGAAGCTATCTATTTTTAAAGAAATGGTCGCTCATATAGTGTACGATTGGAGGAACTTATATTACTACGAAATGGGTTCCATGGTCAATAAACATTCCCTGCTTAAAAGGAGAGGACAACCAGCATGCCTTAGAAGACTTTCATAAGATCAATCCATGGCATGAAAATGATCAAGAAAAAGAAAGAATAGGGTAAAATGAATGCGGATGAAGGAAGATAGACCCAGAAGAAAAGGCCACCCATAAAAGGAGCAATGAATTTGTAGACGAGAAAAATGAAATCAACGCAGTATATCAATATGATTCCATCTATGGTATGCTTCTCAAGGAATCCCAGATACCATTTCCTTTCAAATTATGCTTTCAAATCAAGACTATGAACTCTTCAGGAAGCAGCAATGCAGACCTGGTACAGGGTCAGCTGTGCAGAAAGAGTTGTGGCCTCAGTTTGAAGCGTCTGAACTTTCCGCTCTAACTCAGATATATAGCGGGCCTTCCGTTCCTTAGATCGAGCAGCAGACTGTCGATTAGCCAAGATTCTGCATACAAGGAAACATTATCTATTCATGGATCACGAAATAATGTCTCGGTAGACAAAATACCTCAAAAGCAATGCTTTTGTTTTGATTCCTCCTGAATCGTCAAAAAATCACTGTTCAACTAACTAGTTCAGTGATTACTGAGCAACCATAGTGTTTTCATAGATAGCAAACAGGAAAGCACCAAAGTCTAATAGAAACTAGATCTCACACACTGAGAACAATGCAACACTACTGTTTAAGAGACGTATACTGTCTACTTTGAAGAATCAGGCACTCATGTGTTGTGCACGAGCTGGAAGAGGAGCTTCCATCATCTACCTCCAATAATATGAACTTAGAGATATTCATTCAAACGTTTACTAAGTAATGGCAGTTTGAATACAAGGAATCCAATAATTCAAGAAAGCTGTCAGACTGGAATAGGGAAGTAATGCATTAATTAAGTCAAAGAAAATATTACCTTCCATTGTCAATAGATTTGCGAAATGATGCCATGAATATAGTAGCTTTGGATGATCTATTTCTAATATAGGCCCTAAGATCGTGATGAGCTCTTCCTAATTGGCTGCCTGCCCTAAGGCCAAGGATGGGGATAGGTACAAGCTCATGGCCAAGGTCTGCACTGAGATAGTAGGCGTTGCCGATGAGAATGTAAGATGCTTTGGGAGAAATTATAAATATTTAAAGATATCTTATTTCTCAGTTATGACAAAGAATGATCCAAGTTTTGGATGGGAAAATATTTTTTTCTCAGATAGTGAGACATACCCACGTATCTACACTATTAAGTAATATTTAACCTCAGAAATTCAGAAGCTCATCCCACATGTGTCTATTCGGAACCTAGTACCACTGAAGATAATTTGTTCTCAATAGACAATCGGAGGCAATAAACCTTTTACTCTGTCAGTAGTTTACGCATAAATCAGCCTCTAATGGAGTATAAAATCAAAGCAAGCGAGTGGTGTAAACTTTGTTCCATTAAAAATTCAAGCAGCAATCGGCCATGTAGCTAGCCCACAAGAGAAAAAGTTGAGAATTCAATGAACATGAAGAAACATAGAATAGAATGAGATGACACTTAAACATATATAAGCATAGGTCAGAATAAGGATACTCAACAGGGAAGCAAATTCTTTGATAAAACCTTGGAAAGTATTTTCCCAAGACAATCGATGATGGCTGCACAACTAATATGGGGATGGGAAAATTAAAAATTTTATGCATATCATCCTTGAAGAACATTTGGGATGATGATGAAGGCACAAAAGTACGAAATATAGCTTCCCTAAACAAATAGGCAATGATGTATGGATGATACCCACTGGAAAAGACCTAGCCGCATCAGGCCTAAAATCTCTCGGCTGATGTTATTCAAAACATAAAAAAGGCATCACGTTCATATAGTTCTCCAGTTCCAAACTGCCCATTTCCGGTAGATAGTAACAGGAAAGATTTTTTTTTCTGGCCGGTAATTGTATGTTATAATCAAAAGGGCACTCAAAATTAAATTTATATTTCATATAATGTTCTTAACTGATGGACTTTATTTAATTTGGAGATTGTGCAAATACCAACTATGTGTAAAGAATCTGTAAAAAAATTCAAGTATATTTGAAATGTAAAGTTCAAGAAGCAACAGATCACGAAAAGCTCTGAAAGAGGCTAAAGAAGAAGAATGCAAACCATTAGCTAGAAAAAGAAAAAAAAATCCCTCTTTTCCAGAGTGGCCCAAAGGCGTAACGTCCAGCAAAGGAATAACTGAAAGTTGGAAAATAAGAAGAAATTACCTCTTCGCGCGCTTGGGGTCGATGGCAGCCAACTCCGCGAGCTTGTCCCGTGGCATCGCCTTCTTAGCCTCTGCCACCTCCCCGAATGCTCCCTCGGCTTTCGTAAACGCGGATGAAAACAGGACTGACCCGTCAACTGAATTGCTGTACCGATGTTTAGGTCTAGGCACCGTCGATGGTGTGACAGCCATAGAAACAGGCCCCGCCCTTACAGCATTGTCTCCTTTTGCCACCTCTGTTCCTCCTGGTTGACTCATCCTGGAATCTGCCTCCGCCCGATCCCCCCAACTCCCATTACCGAGCGCCCCAGATCCGCATTCCTCCTCCTTGCATCCCATCTTCTCGACGTCCATGTAGGTGCAGAACAGATCGTCCTCCGACCCGATCTCGTCGAAGCCCGACGAAAGAGGGTCGCCTGATCCGAGATCGAGCTCCTCCGAGATCCGGAACGCCAGCTCGGACTGTGCTCGACGGTGGTGCGACACGCGCGTGGAGGAGGGTGAAAGGCCGGCGCTAGGGTTCCCAAACCCCGGCGGTACAGCCGGAGCACCCGCACCGCCGGTCGGCGGCGACCTGGGCGGGACATCTCTCAGAGAGGGAACGGGGTTGGCGACGGACTGAGCAATGCCGTTGGAATTTGGGGGTCCAGTAGAGAGATCGGCCTTAGGGTTTGGTGGATCTGGCGTCCTCGCTTGCATCTGGCGCTTGCTTTACCTGTACTTTCATCACACAGAAGAGAGAGAGAAAGAGAGACAGAGAGAGAGAGAGAGAGAGACAGAGAGAAAGAGAGATAGTTGCTGGTATCCCCAACGGTACAAGAATGGAAGCTTCTCTCCAAATGGCTAGCTCGCACGTATACCCGCTCTGCGAGTACATCTTAGGGGGTCTTACATCAAAAGAATCTCCATCGTTGGATTCTGATCCCCTCTATCCTGACCGTCTGCAAAGGGGTTACGTAGATCCATCGAAGCGCCATCCTGCTATCTCCGCCGGCACTCGATAACGAAATCCATCTACATCTCCACCAGTCTATAACTTGATTACCTCCATTTAATATACATTAATTCTTCACAAAATATCAAAATTAATGTGGTGTACGTATCCTAAACTCCATTTAATAAACTATTTTTTCCCTCACAATTCGATAAATAAATATTAATTCATATTTATCAAACATACGTCTCAAAATCACTGGAAAAAATCATTCACAAGTCCGGAGGCGTGAATTTCCAAAAATGTCCCTAAGTGATTTTAATATTCCTGTCGGTGTGGCCATTCTTGGTCAGTTACGGCCAATGGCGGACTTTTTATATTAAAAATTAATCCGAAAGGGTAGAGGAAAAGATGGACAGCTCGTCATGGGGAGGCAGGGTCTACCATCCTTCCTACGCCGCCAACGAGCTCCTGACCGTCGATGCCACCCGCGCTCGCCAATCGGACGATCGCAACGCGGTCAAACTGGTCGCAGTCAAAGTCTTGGTCGACAAGTCTGGTCCGGGCTGCCGTAATCGTGTCTGACCATCTCAAAGCCCCGCGGAGACCGGCCGTTCTTCTTGTAAGCCCGTGCCCGAAAACACCGTTAGATTTAACATTAAAATCGGCCCGATGCTTATCGCGGCCCGGCCCGAGGTTCCTCCACCTAGCCTATATTTCCGGCCGCCCTTTAAGAGTCTCTTTTTCTTTTTCTTTTTCTTTTTTAAGGACGGGCCTCGAGAAAAAAACGCATAGCTAATAACGGTTTAAATGTAAAAACTGGTAATTAAAGATAATACATAATATTTATCCCTAATTTTGTCGAAATAGTTATTATATTTCCTGGATGAAAAGAGGGGGTTGTACAGGCTGGACGCACGGTCCGCGAGGCGCCGGGGTAAGAGTCAAAGGAATTAAAGTCAACAAGAAAGTCATAATTCTCCGGTCAACATATCCGACTGCTAATTTTGTGAATTATTTATCTTATGGTAATGGAAAAATCTGTGCACGTTGTTCTCCCCCTGTCACACATCACAAAACGTTTGACTGACTCACTGTTGACTCTCATGGGAACAGCCTCCTCTCTCTCTCTCTCTCTCTCTCTCTCTCTCTCTCTCTCTCCCTATCTCTCTCTTTTTCTCGTCCTTGTTTCTCCTCCTTTCTCGTTCGTTCACCAGGCGTCTGAGGCGCCATCTGCATCCCCTTCTACCTGCCTCACCTTCCACGAAGTTAGGGTTTTCAGGTACTAATTCCCCCGTCTCATTCTTCTTCGCAACTGTTCAGGCGATTTGGGGGGGCTGGTGTCTGTCTCCTCTGCTCTGCTTTCGCCGGGAGGGAGGAGGATCTGGTTGCCCTCCGGTTCCTGAGCTCCGCATTCTGGTCGCTCAAGGGAATCCTCCAGGTTTGGATTGTTAGAATTCGGTGCTTGTTTCGATATCTTGTTTGGATTGAATCCACGGAGATCTTCCCGAGTATTTGCTGTCGGATTGGTAATCTGCTCAGGATCGTTCGAGAAAGGCGGTTCTCCGCGTCTCTAGGTTCTTGAAGGTCCTTGGTGGAAAATAGAGGCACCGTTGAATTTTTAATTCTCCAGGAAGGGAAAGAGTGATCGAATAATTCACTATAATCGGTCGCTGATGATCGACTGTGATTTGCCTCTAGCGTTCCTTGTGATTTTGAAAACGCGGCCGAACGTTAAATTCCGTTTAGATCGGCTCTCTTCTATTCGTGATTGTTCTTCGACCATCTATAGTTTTTTTGTTAAAACGTTATACGACAATATAGTTTTTCCAAACTCGTGTTGATCTTCTTCATCACAACTCATCTAATCGTGTTTTGATTTCATCATATATAGCGTCACTGGTGTAAAAATGTTTTGATTTTTTTTTTCTTCTTCCCTTCTACTTTACTACCATAAAATAGCATGGTGCGATCTCTCAGTCGGATCATCACCGATCCATCTTGAATCATCCTTCATACAGTCCACCACTTGTGCAACAAGAGAATCCTCGCTCTACTTCCTCTGATTCATCGGATTGACTTGTTTGATCATTCTTCTGTGCCAGATTACAATGACAAGATATTTCTCTTTCCAGGCCTCTTCTCTCCTGCTCCGTCCAAAGAACAGCGTGATTCGTACTGAGATGGGCTGTTTCTCCCACTTGAAGACCAAGAAGGAGAAATCCCAAGCAGGAGCCTCCGTCATTAACGAAGAAGCTGCGAAAGAGAAGCTCCCGGCCAAGTTCCCCCGCCTGGAAGAAGAACCACGCGGCCGATCGCTCCGATCTGCGCCCTCAAGTTTCAAGACGAGACCTCAGTCCAGCCAGCAGTTTAATAGGGCGGCCAACAGCAGAGCTCGAGCTCTATCTGCTCCTTCTAGCCTGGATTCGGCAGACCAGCATCATCTTCTGTCGGTGGATCCAGAGGAACAGGAAGAAGAACACAAGGATGAAGTCGGGTCGGCGAAGGATCACAGATTTTCGAGTTCTCAACCGCTCCCTCTTCCGTCTCCCCCGGACACTTCCTCTGCTCTGAAGAACGCGGGAAGCTTCAGCTTCAAGTTGACTAATTCGAATTCGGTTTCCGCCACTTCTGGCCCTCTCCCCCGCCCACCATTAGGGGGAGTCCGGAGCTTTTCCTTCAAAGAGATCGCGGCCGCCTGCCAGAATTTCTCCGCTGATCGACGCGCGTTCGATAGCCTCTCGTCCACAGCCTACACTGCCTCCTTCGGAGACGACTTCGGGGGCAAGAAGCTCGAAGCCACCGTCATCCGTCTCCTCCCATCCAAGCAGGTACACATTACGAAAAAAACTCGGATTCTGATCAGTTCATCTGTTTGTTCCACCTTTCTGAAGATCAAAAAAAGTATCCAGAGGAAATATATAGATCCCCGTGTTCGTTCCTCTGCAGGGATTCAAGGAATTCATGGCCGAGGTGAACCTGATCGCGTCATTGCAGCACCCTAATCTCTGCAAGTTGCTCGGATTCCACGCGCGCGAGGGTTCCGACCAGCGGATGCTGGTCTACGAGAGGCTCTGCAACGGAAGCCTGGACCGGCTTCTCCGCCGGAAATCTGACTCCCCCGCCGTTGACTGGGCGACACGCATGAAGATCGCTCTCTGCGCCGCCAGAGGCCTCGTCTACCTCCACGAGGAAGGCCCGTTCCAGGTTTGACCTTCGCAGATCATCACCCCTCCTCCTCTGAAACCACTTCATCTGATCTCGGTTTCTTCTTCAGGCCATGTACAGCGACTTCTCATCGAGAAACATACAGATCGAGAGGGACTACACCGCGAAGCTCTCCGGCCATGGCGGCGTGAGCTCCAAACTCGAGCTGGACTCCTCGAATGCTTCCGTAGTGAGTCTCGTTTAATAAAAAAAACAAAAAAAAAACAAAAGAATTCGGATCGTAAAGGATCATTGAACTGGATTTCAGGCGGCGGGATGGATATCGGAGGAGACGCTGGAGAAGGGACTGCTGACCCCGAAGAGCAACGTGTGGAGCTTCGGGGTGGTGTTGCTGGAGCTGCTCACGGGGAGGAGGCACCTGGACCAGCAGCTGCCCAAGGAGGAGCGCAACCTCGTGAGGTGGAGCCGAGCTTTCCTCGCCGACGACTGCCGCCTCTCCCTCATCATGGACCCCCGTCTCAAGCACCGCTTCCCCACCACGGCGGCGCGCGTCGTCGCCGATGCCGCCCTCCGCTGCCTCCACAAGGAACCCTCCGAGAGGCCCACCATGCGCGCCGTCGCCGAGTCCCTCGAGAGCGTCCAGGACGTCAAGTACTCCTGTAGGTTCCGCCTCCACGAGCCCGCCACCGCCGCCGCCGCCGTCGCCGCCGCTGCCACCGGGAAACAGATGATGAAGTTTCACAGCTTCAACTCGATCGTCGCGCCGTCGCCGGCGAGTCCCCCCCCCCCGGTGAGCCCTCCCTGAACCTCCTCCCCACCTTCCTCCTTCGCCCTCTTCCTCCAACAGCTGCGATTCTTGTACACCACCATCCCTGGAAGTAGATATCATGGCAGGTGCATATATTTGATAGAATAAGAACAGAGTCTGGTGCTGATTCCAGCATAGGAGCCCCGAAAAATGAGTCCCGGCTCCGTGGGGCCCGGCCCGCACAGGGGAAGCCTCTCTCTCTCTCTCTCTCTCTCTCTCGCTCTCTCTCTCATGTCCGAATCTGGGCCGTCTAGGAACTGGATCGGGCCACGTTTTCCCTCTTTGTGCCCATGGTTGGGACTTCTCTCTTTGGCCCAATAATAATAGCGTTAGAAGGAGCAGAGGTGATATACTGACATAACAGGAGAGAGAGAGGGAGGAGGGGTAACTACCACGTGAGGCCAAGGGAATAGGCCGAAGTGGCTTTCTTCCACGTGACGGCGATCCCGATGCCTCGGTCCCTGCTGGACAGCTGGCAGGGGGTCGATGATGACGTGGCGCCAAGCCCCTGGTCCGGGCGGACCAACATGCAAGTGTCCTTTCCTCCGGTTTCTTCTGTTTGGTCTTCTGCCCCCCCGCAGCAGGGGCGGACCACGTAGACCAGAGATCTCCAGAGCCTTCATTTTCCCCAAAAAAATGCAATTTTTTATTTTATTTAACTCCACGACGCTTTCGCTCTCCTCTACAAAAATAAATCCTACACTAAAAAAATAACTAAAAATACGGAGTAGGAATAGGCGTGTCGGTGGGCCTTGAAGCGCACGATAGTCTCTCATGCCTGCGCCATAAATGTAGGTCCCCACCTCGACTGTCGAGAAGAAGACGATACAGAAGAGATAGAGAGAGAGAGAGAGAGAGAGAGAGAGAGAGAGAGAGAGAGAGAGAGATTCTCGAGTATTCATAGCGCCAATGAAATGCAGATGGGAAATAAGCACAACATCAGTCAGTCGCCTTGGTGGTTTGAGGTTGACTTGACTCAGGTGGTTGGACCCGGGGATTTTGGAAGACAGCTAAAGAGCATCGAAAAAATTAAGACTTTTTAAGGGGGGAACAGACCGGAGGAGAAGAAGATGCCTGAGATTTATGGGCGGGGGGAGGGACGGCGGCGGCCGACGAGTGCTAACCCTTTTTCTCCTTTTTCAGAATATTGTCGGGAAAGTCAACCGGCGGATTCGTCTCCGGGGCTGCAGCTGCTGCTCTCGTGGGAGCACCTGATCATCTCCAGCAAACCCACCACCTCCGCCATCTCCGGTCGGTTGGAGGGCACGTGGGAGGTGCAGATGAGACCCAGCTTGACCAGCGGCGCCGCCTCCTCCGGCGGGAAGCGCCCCTTCAGCCGCCAGTCGACCACCTCCACCACGCGTCCCTCCTCCAGAGCTCCGCGCGCCACGTCGGACAGCACCACCACGTCGTCGTCGGCGTACTCCACCGGCTTCCTCCCGGTGACGATCTCCAGCACCAGCACCCCGAAGCCGTACACGTCGCACTTGTCGGTGATCTTCGCCCTGTGGGAGGCCAGCTCCGGTGCCACGTACCCCAGAGCGCTCTGCACCTTGCTGCTCAGCACGTACCTGTCCAGCATGGGGAGCAGCTTCGCCAGCCCGTAGTCGCCCACCTTGGCCTCGCCGGCGCCGTCGATGAGCACGTTGGAGGATTTGACGTTGTAGTGGATGATGCTGCAGCGGTGGAGATGGGCCAGGCCCTTGGCGATGCCGGCGACGATGTCGAACCTCTCCCGCCATGAGAGCACCTCGCCGGCGGCGGAGTCGCCGGAGTGGAGGTGGCTGTGGAGGCTCCCGCAGGGGACGTACTCGTAGATGAGGAACTGCAGAGAGGGAGTCCAGTAGAAGCCCTCCATGGCCACCAGGTTGGGGTGGCGCAGCTGGCCGAGCTTCTTCACCTCCCGCTGGAAGTCATCCTGGGACTTGACCAGGCCGGAGACGGTGAGCTTCTTGATCGCCACCTGCCGACCGTCGCGGAGGATCGTCTTGTAGACGGCGCCGAACCCGCCGCGGCCGAGCTCGCAGTCCTTGTTGAGGACGGCGTGGGCGCCTGCGCTGAACTCTGGGTCGGCGCCGGAGAACATGACGAGCTTGCCGGAGTTGGGGCCTGTGGAGGGGGAGACACCGCTGCCGCTGAGGTAGTCGTCCGAGAGGGCGAGGGCGGCGGCGGAGTTGGTCACAGTGGCGGCGGAGAGGACTCTGAGGTTCAGGACGGTGACCGCGGCGACCCCCACGGTGATCAGGGCGGCGGCGGCGATCGCCACTAGGGCAGATATGCTCAATATGATCTTCTTGTGACGGGCATTTGTGGGGAGGGTGGGGCCAGTTGTAGAGTCCGTGGAGGAGGAGGACGATGGGTCGAGGACGATGGGTTTGGGGAGGACGGCGGGGCAGGAGCTGTTCACGGCGGAGCCGCAGAGGGAAGGGTTGCCGGAGACGGAGGAGGGAGGGATGGTGTTGAAGAAGTTCCCGGAAGGGAGGTCGCCGGAGAAGAGGTTGTGGGAGATGTTGAAGGCGACGAGGTGAGGGAGGTCTCCGAGCTGCTTCGGAAGGGTACCCGAGAGCCTATTGCGAGAGATGTCCACGACCTGCAGGTTCGTCAGATTGGCCAGGTTGGGCGGGATGGACCCTGAGAGCTGGTTCATTGAGAGTATTCTGCAACCAAAATCGAAAGAACTAATCAATGAACCAGAAACTTACCAGAAACTTACAAGACGGAACTCATCAATCGAAAGGAGAAGAAGAAGAAGAAGAAGAAGAAGAAGAAGCAGAAGAAGAGGGAGGAGCAACAAAAACTTACAAGACGGAGAGGAAGGTGCAATTCTCAATCTGGGAGGGAATTCTGCCGGAGAGAGAATTCTTCTGCAGCCGCAGCTCACGGAGAGCCACCGCCCCCCCAATCTCCGGAGGGATGCTACCATTGTATCTATTCTCACTCAGATCGAGGATCTCCACGGCGGCCAAATCCCCAATGCTCGCCGGAATAGGGCCGGAGAAGGAATTTCGGGACAGGTTTAGCAGCCGCAGGCTGCGTATGCTCGCAATCCCCACCGGGAGACCGTCGGAGAAGGTGATGTTAGATGAATCCGGAGCTTGAAGGGCGTGGGAGACTGGATTTGGGATCTGAAGAGATCCCGTGAGTTTATTTCCCGACAAGGAAATCTGCTGAAGGCCCAACTCGAAGATCCACTGAGGCAGCTCGCCCGTGAGACTGTTGTCGCTGAAATCCACCTCCAGTAGAGCTCTGCAACCGGTGATCGTCTCCGGGACACTCCCGGTGAGCCCATTGCCGGAGACATCCAGCTCCTTCAGTTGATGGAGATTGCCGATCGAACCGGGGATGGCGCCGACGAACCCATTGCTGGACAGATCAAGAGCTTCGAGGCTACTCATCTCATCAATCCACGCGGGAAGCTCCCCACTGAAAGAATTCATGCCCAATCGCATTGCATTGCAGAGGGAGAGCTTCCGCATTGACATGGGGAGATTCCCTGACAGCTGATTCTCACCCAGGTCGAGCGATTTGAGCAGCAGGCACCCGCCGATACCGTCGGGCAAGCTCCCCGATAACCGGTTCCCTCGGAGGCTGATGGTTCTCAGGTTGTACATCTTCTCTATTCCCGGCGGGATCTCGCCGGAGAGAAGATTGAAGGAGAGATCGAGTGTTCTGAGGGCGTTCAACCACCAGAGATTTCCTGGCAGAGAACCAGACAACTGGTTCGAGGAGAGATTCAAGGAGGCGAGCGTCGAGCAGGAGCCCAAGCTCGGCGGAATCCCCCCGGATAGGCTATTTTTCGCCAGAGATACTGACCTCAGGGACTTGCATTGGGAGAAGAACTCGTCGGGAATCGTCCCCGAGAGGCTGTTCTCGCTGAGATCCACCTCCCGGAGGTTCTCCATTTTAGTGAAGGGGGTGAGGCTGCCGGATAAGTTGTTCCGAGACAGGGAGAGCGTCTGCAGCGACTGGAGCTGGAAGAGGCCGCGGCCGATCTTGCCCGAGAGAGAGAAGCCATCCAAGAGGAGCTCGACCACTCGGCCGGTGCGAGGATCGCATCTGACCCCGGACCACCCGCAGGGGTCTCTGTCGTCCTCGTTCCAGGAGGCGAGTCTGCCGGTAGGATCCTGGAGATCGGCCTTGAAGACGATGAGCCCCAGCACGTCGTCGTTGAGGCTCGGATCCGCGCACAGGACGAGAACGGGAAGGAAGAGGAGGCAGCAGGAGAGCACCACTCTCGGCGGAGACCGACACATTGTCACCAGATTTGAGAGAGATGGAGAATGCAGAATGGGGATTCCTCACTCTGTAGGGACCGGATGAATCAACAAAGGAAGGAGATTTGTCTAGCAGTCCCTTCAACTTTCCCCCTGGCCACGAAAAACCTAGAACATCGGGAGTGGGAGTGGGAGTAGGAATGGCTAGAAGGAGTGAAGACAAACCCTAGAAACGGTGAGGGAACGGGAGAAAACCTAGACCAGAGCGCCAAACTGACCCCACGGAACGGAACCCTAACACAGATCGCTTCAGAAGCTCAACTAGATTCGGAGCAAGGAGACCCAGATCGGGAACACAAACAGGCCTCGTCGATTCACAGCCAGAGAGAGAAAGACAGACGGAAAACCTCGAAGGATCGGTCTACTACACACTAGCGAGCTGCCGAAGGACGCAAGCATTCCTCCGCGAGTCGGCGAGAAGCCCCGCTGTGCGGTCCGCCAGAGGCTTCAACCCTCGGGCCATCATCACCGAGCGAAGAACAACAGAGGGAAAACAGAGACAGGGAAGGAGACTCTGTTGTCGCTGGTGCAGTGGCCCTGGCCTCTTCTCCTGGACCTTCAGACGACCTGCTGGTTCCCTCTCTGAACAATGGCCCCGCAGAGGAGCACAGAGATCTGTAGCATAACGAGCTAGAGAGAGAGAGAGGGAGGGTGCCGTCGCCGTGCCTCTTTATTTGAGCCGCGCGAATTGAATATGAGCCAAAAAGGATATCCTTAAATGTAAAACCAATAGTATTACCGTTTATTTATTCCTTATCAGTTGTAAAAAAAATGGATTTAAATATTATTTCATTAATAAAAAATCGTACTCAGTCAAGGATCACTTGTCCGAACTGGGCCCGAAGAGAAGTCATTGGCCTGGCCCGTTTCGACTTCGTCCCCATGTGTGCTTGACAACTCGGATTATGACGTGGAAAGTTCGTCCATTTAATGCTCGCCAGCTTGTACGGCGAGTAACCAACCCCTCTCTCTCGATTTCTAAAGAACTTTTGGCATTTTCTGTATGTCCCCCCCGGTTATTACTTTAAATGTCATATATACCCCTAGTCAGTAAAAGCTAGCGATCTAGAGGGCCAGCCCAGGCCCAAAATTCCAACTCAGCCCATTCATAAAAAAATAGCGAGAAGACTCAACCCAAATCGGTCCTCTGGCGCCCTTAACGAACGAACGATGCCCACGTGGCCAGTACAGTCTTCACGTGGCATACTACTGGGCCTATTTCGTCCAAAGGGATCTTATCGAAGCCCGTTTTATTGGCCCGTTATGAAAGTCCGGACCCGACCCCTATTGTCATCATTTTTATATTAAAAAAATGTGAAAATACTTTTTCGGGAAACAATGTAATTAACTTTTTCGAATAGCTATCGAGATGGCTAATTTACACGAAGGAAATTACAAGCATAGCCTACCCCCCACACGTGCTAGACATCTCCAGCTAACTCGGACCCCGAGTTCGCTCGCCCTCCGCCCCCCTGAAAGTGGGAGCGAGCCGACTCAGATCTCGGCGAGGCGAACGCGGCTTGGATTCTCCGCTTGGTTGTCCAACGGCATGTACTGGGCCATGATGGCGCGGATCTCCGAGTCCATGTAACTCTGAGTTTGACGACGACGGCGGCGGTTAGTGTCCATAAAAGAATCGCCCGAGTTGACTCAAAAGCTATCAATTTTTGGCAAAAATGGACCACGATGGCCTTACCCGGATTCTGTATTTGTAGACTGCGTAACCTCCAGCTCCAGTTGAAGCCAAACCAAGGACTATAAACCACAGGAAGCTCCAGCTGAACTCAGCCGTTGACTTCTTGCCTTCATACCCAGGGTGGCAAATATAAATCATCAAATAAATCAAATTACTGGATCCGAAACCAACCTTGGTTTATTTATTTATTTATTCATCTAATCATCTTCAGAAAATCCGCAGTTTTCCATCATGATTAACTCAAATTACCCTCCTAAAACCCCTTTTTTTTTGTTATGATCCATCTAATGATCATCAGAAGACGCTCAGAAGCTCTCATCTCACAAGAAAAAAGAAAAATACTAAAATTTATATATATAAAAAAAATGATCCCAACCATCTCGATGAATTAATCACTTGGAGCAGATGGTAAAGAGGGGTCGTCATATGGGAAACTCACTGATGCAGGCGTCATGTTCTCTGATGTACAGCCGGCCGCCACCGCAGGAGCAGTCGTAGCTTCCCCACGTGTTCCTGCACTTGCAATCTGGGCACTGACACGCCAACTTCTCTTTGCATTCATCGATATCTAGAACAGTTGAGAAAGCAAGCATATGAAAAAGGAAATATATAGGAGAATAGAATGCATTCTGAAAGGGCTTTCTAGAGTGGATGCTTGGAGTTGACCGAATCAATCTCCCATGGATTCAACACCACTTTGTCAACCAACGAGAGAAATGAAGTACCTTTGCAGGAGTTGACCCCATCGCCCCTAAATCCGGGAGGGCACTTGCATCCGCTGGTCATAGCATCCTGCAGGGTCTCCGACAACATTAATGGAAAGTAGACGACCAAGATCCCAACAACATTAATGGAAACCCACCCATCACTTACTGTGCAAGCGGAGTACATCCTGCCATCCCGGGCCTCCCTCCAGCAACCTCCATTGTTAATCTCACAGCGCCTTAGCCCAGAAGCTGCATTTTTAAAAAAAAATATTAATGACACAATAAAAAACAATATTCATTTTTTTAATCTTTTATGATCATTCATATCTCGATTACAAACTAGAAACAGTTTTTCCCCGGTTAGCGCTATGATTACAAGATCAAAGAAACACCATTCGACATGGATTCTTGGTGTTCTTTCAGCCCGGATGTACCTTCACAATGCTTGTACCCATCGCCGACGAGCTTCACTCCTTCGACGACAGGGCACACGCACAGCCTCCCGCGGAAGGTGTCCTAAGAGAATTCCTCGAAAAAGCTAAGATCTTGGAGAAAGATTTTAAAGAAAATAGTACCCAATGAGGCAAGAAAACATCAGGAAGTGCAAACCTTGCAAGCAGTAATATTTGCAGCCTTATCCTGCCAGCACCCACCATTGTTTTCCAGGCATTCATTGGTTTCAATATCTGTGAAATTGATGTAAAATTTGGGGAGGAGGAAAAAAAAAAAAGACCCAAAAAAGATTTAGCCCATGTGAGAGTCTTGAAAGATTGATGGAGAGAATCTTCCCGACCTTCGCTCAAGCATATGGCTGGTTCAGTTGCCTCCTGAAACCCTGCACATAGAGCTTTAAGAACAGCACCCTTGTCCAACTTACCTGAATGGATCAATCCAAGAGAGGATGTTAGAGGGCCAAATTATGTGAAGAAAACGGAGAAAGATAGAAAACCTAAGCGATTAATGAACCTCTGTACTGTCGATTATTGATCACGAGAGTAGGCAAGATGGTCACATCCCCTCGAGAATCCTTACCAATCTAGACAATAGAAATCAAAGATTCAAAAGTATTATGGCAAAGAAAAAGATAATCGTGATTTTTTTCAAAAAAAAAAACATAAAATGAAAAAGGGAAGAAACCTGTGCAGCCTGTTCTGCTCTGAGGATTGGGTTCTCCCTGTCTGCATCTGGATCTCCGACACATGCATCTATTTTTTTAAGATCTAGACCTGTAAAAATCCACATCAAGAAAATTACAAGACTCGCAACGTTTGGTGTACTAAACGGATTTCATGGGCAACCAAAATTCTTGCATAGAGCACAAAAATTGCCCAATAAATAAGAAAACTCACCCAGGGATCTAATAACATCATCTGCACATTCTTTGGTGTACTTTTTCTCCTTCATCGGGCATCTGATTGAAAAATCGGCGACATAATCCCACCAGAGCCAAGGTTTTCCGCTCTCATTGGCAACTTTGAACAGGCAAACCTGCCTCAAATTCTGGATAACCACATCTCTGCCGTCATACCCTCGACTGAAGTCCTGCTCAGGATCTGGGGCACAATATCTCCCACGGTTGATGCACTGGGACTTGCACTGCTTGCTCAGGATGTAAGCATCGGGGCAGTACCACGTGATATAATGAGGGGTGAACTGGGTGAAGCCCTTGTGCTCGAGAATCTGGGCCACCCCTCTGAAGCTCTTCACAAATTCGATCTGACTCTCACACTTGGGGCCGCACTCGTCGTTGCTGTTGGTCCAGAGCTCGTACTCCACACGCTCGTCAGGATGGGGAAGTGATTCCCTCCAGTCTAAGCTCACGGTCACCATCTCCCCATTTGACAGGGCTCTCTTGAAGCCATCTCCCAAGCCTTTGCTGATAAGAACAGAGGGAACCGTAATGTTCTGTAGATAGCTGAAGCTCAGATTCTCTTCTTCTGGCGTGTCCATCGTTATCAGGGGCTCAATCCTATCATCAGCAACGAGGATAGCCGCTGCTCCTGCATTCTGGGCATTCCATGCCTTTGAAGCGAAGTAACAGTCTGCATATCAAAGGAGATCACACATTATATCATATTTTGCCTTCAGTAGCCTTCGTGATTCTCCCCAATTTCTTACAAGTTCGAAAAAAATTACGCAGAAGACGAATTATGTGGTCCATGAATATGTAAACTAATCAAAGGCGGGTGAAATTATTGTCCCAAAAGAAATTATACATTTTTTTCTTTATTGAATGCATAGTTTGAGGCACGATTTTTCCTTCATATGAGGGATTGATTGTATAACTGAGTTGACTCTCACGAGACCCCTTACTGAGAATTCAAGGTCAGCGTCAAAGACATGTAACATTACAAATAAAAAATAAAAAAATCGTTCCTACAATTGAATGAAGTGCCAAATATCACGACATAATTAGAAACATCATGAACGAAGAGCTCAATCTCTGCGATAATGAAAGAAGACAACCTCCTGTAAGAAACAAGGACAGATGCTAAAACCAGCCAAGGAATGAGAAATTTGGTCTCTTCAATGACCATCTGCGTACTATTCTTCACGAGATGTCTTAAATTATCGGAAACCGGGAATCACAGTGCCGCAATCGTCATTCAAGATCTCACCCATTTGACTTTTTTGGAAAACCACTAGATCGTGAATAAGGCAGCTAATCGATCCGCCATCAAGGGCATTGGCTGAATTCAGGACTCTATAGACCATGGCACGTTATCGTTTCTTCATTTACGTTGATTCTGGATGAAAGCAATGGGTGCCTGAAGATTATATTCATTATTCTCGAACTATATACGAAAACCCATCTCATTTAACATCTTTCAGGATTTTTTCCCCACCCGTTGTCAGCACCACAGCAGATGAGATTTCTTGTTCTGTAGGAATACGAGAAAAACCCACCCCGAAGGAATAAGATATGGACATACGGGGCCCTTGGGTATTTTTTAATAACGAAAATTATCGAGCACGTCATATTCCACATGATGCCGCATGGTAAACATGAGCGCCCACATTTTTTTTTCAGATGGGTGAAAGAAGCATCGCATTGATCTGGTAGAACTGCGTTTGGGGTTAAATGACGATGTTTGGCATTCAATGGGAGGGCAGGAAACTGACCTCCTCTGTCCACGAGCAGGAAGGTAGGGAACCCCCCCGGCTTAGATTTGAAGGAAATGTCGAAGTCGTCGAAGCTCTTGCAAGCTTTCTTGTTCGCCTTTGGATAAGTCAACATCCCCACCATCGTCCCGCCGTACATGGGCACCCCAAAGTTCCCAATCGCGCATTCATATACATCTTTGAGCGAATCCGGTGATGTCACCTTCAAGCTGTTCTTCTCCACGACGAACTTGGCCAGCCCATTCACCGATAGAAAGAAGACCCAGAGGGCAATACTAAATACCACTCTCATTCTGACCTGTCGCCGATTATAGCTTGAGAGCTGCGAGAAGAGAGCAGAACACGGGTAGCGAAGTCATCAGCCGAAGCGTTCTGAATCCACGAACGGGCTGCATCAAGAATGAACGAGGAGGAAGTTGACGACAAAAGAAGAAATATTTTCACTGAAATGGCCACAGATATTGAAAATTCCAGGATCATGATTCGACGAGTGGAAGAATCCCCAGTCGAGGACGCTCACCGCCGAGGATGAACGGAGAGGAGGGGAGCCGAGTCTCTGAGCGAAACCCGGTACCCCACGAGAAAATCAGATCCCCTCCGAGTCCCAATTCAAACCCAGATCAGACCACTCTTCCTGGAGCAACCCACCCCCTGTCTCTCCCCCCACTTCCTCCTCCCGGCAGTCCCCAAACGAGGTGGAACTGATCGACCTTCGTTCTTCCCCCGGTACGAAACGATCCCACCCAGTGTCACATACCGAGAGGTCGTTCC